TGCATTCTATCTTTCCTTCCGATAAAAGAGGCTGCTCTAACATCTGTTCTCTCAAAGAGATGGCGTCATCTATTTGCCTTGAGCCCGAATCTTCATTTAGATTACCATGGAGTGGGTACCGGACAAAGTTTCGTCGATTTTGTGGATAGAGTACTGGATGTGTCAGGCAATTTTCCCCGAAGGAAAATCTCAATAAAGTGTCCAAAGAGTATCGACTCGGCTCATGTCATCCGTTGGATATATAATGTACTGAAACATGATGTCTTGGAACTTGATATAGACATAATCTCTGTGATTTTAATGCCTCGCGAGGTGTTTGCTTGCAAGACAATCGTTGAACTGAAACTTGCAAGTGGATTTGAGGCTAACATTCCTGATGATGCTTTTCTTCCATCACTTAAGACTCTTTCTCTTGATTCGATATGGTTGTCTAGGGGTCATGATGATTGTGCTTTGGGAAAGCTTCTCTCTGCTTGCCCTGTGCTTGAGGAATTAACCATTCTTGGTCCAAACTGGCAAAATCGACAATGCTGTTTCACTGTGTCCTCTTTGACCCTTAAGAGACTTACTATTAAATGTACTGGTCGTATTGCATCTTGGGACTTGACTTTTGATACTCCGAATCTAGCCTACTTAGAATACTCTGATTTAGTTCCACGAGAGTATCCAATCATGAATCTTGAATCCCTTGTTGAAGCTAAGATTGATCTTGGTTCACCTTCTGGTTATAGCAATCCATTGAATCTAATTAAGGGGTTAAGTAATGTTGAGATCTTGGAGTTATCATCTATTCGTATTTTCAAGGTAAAGAATGATCTCTTCTTTTTATCGCCTTGTTTCGCTTCCCGAGGATAAGGATCGAAATTTTGATACATATAAAAATGTTTCTTGTGGTTTTTGGATCCATAGATTGCAGAGTGTTGATGACTATATATTGACTAGTTCTGTTGATTTTTATTTTGTTTCAGGTGTTCAGGTATACCGATGAAGCAATCCCAGTGTTCATGAACCTGTTAAGTTTATCTATTACAACTGCTTCACGATCCGATTTGCAATTTCTTCCATCTCTTCTTGAAAAATCTCCAAAACTAGAGACACTCATCATCAAGGTATAGCCGAAACCCCTGAAGCGTATTTATTGGCCAAACTCAAGTCTCTAATCTTTTTCCCTCTTGTTTCAGGGTCCATTGCACTTTAATGAATATGGAGGAGAGTTTGAATTTGTTTGCGGGTGTTTGTTGGGAGACTCTTGTCTATCGTCATGTTCTGTTAAAGTCTTGAAGATAGCTGAGTATCGAGGAACAAAGGGAGAGTTAAAGCAAATGAAACATTTCCTAGAGAAACTGTCGTGTCTTGAACTTGTCAAAGTTCGTGCGTATGCAATAACCGACAAAGAAAAGTCTCGAGTCTCCAGACGCCTGCTAAGGATTCCTAGATCTTCCAAGTGCAAGATACAGATCAAGTTTTATGAGAAAACTAAGTAATGCTTCGAAAACAAACGTTTTTTCTCTCCTAGTTGAATAATTGAACTCTCTTTGGATATGACTCGGTTTTGTCATAATATCTCAGTTTTCTAGTGTTTGAACGTAAATCAGAAGCTAGGTTTTCTAGTATGTCAAAAATGTACTGATACCAAATTTGGCTTTGTTGGCTCGGAACAAATACATAGCGTATGTTCAACCTCTGTTAGTACAAAAATATCACCGACAGAAACTGTTGTGTTTTAAAAAAGATTGTTTTGTTTCTGCTATGGACAAACAACTTTGTAGCCATACTTACCTGGTGACAGATAGGATGAGACTATGCGATCATTGCACATGCACATGATGATAATCTTTATGATGAAATCACTTATGATGTTGATGATATTCTCATGGCAGATCCGACGCATGTGGGCTGTGGCAGTGGAAGCCCATGTCACGAGCATCACTTTGTTTTCTTCTTCCTGATTCAATTAAAAACAAAATCTGCACTATACACTTAAATCTATTCTACATCAAAGAAAAGCGTATTTTAATGTTCTTATAATACGCATAATATAATGTGTGTAGACCTTTTGTAGATTTTGCTTTTGTTTTGTTTATGTGAGCTAATACAGCAACAATTAACATCTGAAGAACGAATACATCCAAACACCTTCTCTTTTGGGAATTAGTGATTTGCGTCTTTGAAGTGTCTAACAAAATCTGGTCCTCAACTTTTCCGTTATTAAAAACAAATTATTTTCTGAAATAATGTCATTACTCAAGTTCTATTGGGACACTTTAAATCCTATAGCCAGATCATTTGAGCGTTTTGTACCAAGATCTTTGATTTTCTTTACTGAAAGCAAGAGTTCAAAATGCAATTTATGAAAGAAATATTAATTTTATAGATTTTTTCGTCGTAAGACAGATTATTGATGATAAACAACTGACAAAATTAAGTTACAGTAAGAAACTACAAACAAAATATTACACAAGTTTTGCATTGGAGCTTATAAGATGTTTTGATCGTGGTGTGGGTTTAAAATTCAGAAATAATATGAACATATGATAAGATTCATGTTCGAAGAAAAAAAAAGTGAAAAAATCCGATTACAGACAAAGTATGATGCAGAAAGGACCCACACCCATGTAACCATTGTCCCAAAAGATCAACCGTCATATTGGGTCTACTTGGTTGGCCCATATTTCTCAACCACAAAATGAGAAGACAAATAATCTGCAACTAATAAAACCATAACATATCACTAGTCTTTGTCCTCTTCATCTTTCATTTTTTTGGACCAATGATCTCATCTCTCAACACCATTTCTTGTTTTAACAACGCACATAAACTAACCCCATTGATGTGACTATTAATTTAGATGACCAAAAAACATTTATGGAAAACAGAAATAAGGTTGCGGTTGAATAATGATTAACCAATGCGAATAGAAGAAGAAGGCTGGCTATGTAGATCTTTTTTGGGGTCGATTATTATTGCAAGTTTGTGTAATTGTGTATAGTATACATATATTAACCCACCAATATATAAATATTAGAATTGGCGTAAGTGTCAGGTTGGTCGATGGTGATAGAAACCAATACTGATAATCTCAATCCCAATAAACCAACCCCCTCTCCGTTCCCTCCTTGGAAACATCACCTACCCTCTATATTTCTCTCTTATACTAGTATGATTAGTAATTGTTAATTTATTAATATAATTATAATTCAATTAGATTAGATTTATGATGGTGTGGGAGGGAACTTCTTAAGTAACTAGAATAATTAGTTAGTAAATACGTAGTAGTATTACTATACCCATAGACCAAGAACAACAACAAAATAAGAAGTTAAAATATAGCCTTGTGTTGAAAAAAAAGAGAGGATGATGAACTCGAGTGAATTGTGTAAAGATTAATGCCGACATGAGGACGACTTTTCTCTTCCTCTTTCTCTTTTTTTTTTGTATGATTTCTCTATAATAAATACTTCCTTGGAAATTCTTGGAAACAGTACTGAAAAATAAGGGAGTTGACAAAAGATTTAGGGATAGAATAGTAAGAAAAGAAAAGGTAGGTTCCATAAAAGATGTCACGTGGCTCCCATGCGAGATGGAAAATCATGTGGATCTTCTTCTGTGCAACTGCAACTAGTTTAAGTAGATCATCATAGTACCACCACCACCACTTCACACTACCTACAACTGTATCTCTCTCACTCTATTAATTCATTCTCTCCCTATTATAAAGAGAGAGAGTGTGTGTGTGACTGTGTGGAAGTAAGAAAGAGAGGCACATGGGAGCTAATTTAGATAGATGGAGAAACTCATCTGAGCACATGTGCTTTCCTTTTCTCTTTTCCTTTTTTGCGGAGCTTTTGTGGCTCCCATCCTCCCCTCTCCCATGCACCTGTCGCAGGTGATTCCTCTCCTATTTTCTTCTCACGTGCGAGAGACTGATGAGCGTGTGGGGCTAGTTCTTTAATTAATTTGTGAATTGTGATTAGTAATTTACCAGTATTAACTGGATTTTAAGTCAAGCTGAGCTCAAGTTTGAAACTTGAAATGTTAAGTAACCTAATAACATAATCAAATCAATAAGTTAAAAGTAAGATTGATTTTTTAAATTCTTACATTCTAAGGTACATACATATTACATCATCATATGATCAATACATTTTAAAAAAATCGTTTGATCCAAACAAATATGGATTTTATAAGAGAATGTTCAAGCAAACTATAAATACATATCTTCATCCATTTTTGGTTTGAAATCTGGATGAAGAGCATGTATTGCATTTGTCGTATGCATGCATAATTAAGGTTGATATAATTAATAAGTAGTTTATCTATAAGTTGTAAGGTGAAATATTGATTCAAACCCATCATTACTGTTTCCGAAAAGAATACTAAACAAAGACCCACAAGTCAAAGTCTGGATTAAGTTTAAACACATGTCGATAACTCTATTATTACTAAACTAAGCATGTTACAAATTTGTTAATGACACGCATTTTCAACCTGTATTAAACTTTTCTGATGTATAGTTTTTTAAAAGACAAATAAAGATCCAATCTATCTATCTGTCAGGACCTCAGGGAGATCCACTTGAGTATAGTGACGTCTCCACTAAACCACAAAACATAGCGCGTGACTATCACGATCCAAATCTCTCTAATAACCAACAAAACAAACAATCCAACACATAATTCGAAACACACAAGAACAAAAAAAATAAAAAATCACAACTGGACCCAGCTTTGATGGCATACCGGCATTACCCAATTCCCAAAATTATAGCCAAACCTCAGACCTAAATCTGAATCAAACAAAACCAAAATCCACAACTAATACATAGTACTAAACTAAAGTATAATAAACCAAACACACTTAGACTCCGCTCATAATCAATCAATTAGGGACAAACAAGAGTAAACCAAAGTAAACGAACCGGAATGGCTTTAACCGGTCCTACTTCAATCTACTAATTCTCATCACTCGTATAAATTCACACAGATCTCTTTACTCCTTTTCTTCCAACACATCTTCTCTCCCTCCGTCAATGGAGAAAACCCTAGCCACTTCCCATACCAAACGCTCTTTTCCGTCTCCATCCACCGCCGTGAACACAAGCTCCACTGGTTTCAACCGCAAAACCAGACAGAGACTGTCCGATGCAACGGCGAGTGTAAGAGAGACTGACGTAGAAGATGAAGACGATGAAGAAGAAGGAGTTGATGAGAAGATCGAGGCGCTTCAGACAATAGTTCCCGGAGGAACAGCACTTAGTGTGGACGCACTGTTCGAAGAGACGGCTAGTTACATTTTGGCTCTGCAATGTCAGATCAATGCCATTAAAGTTCTTACTGCATTCCTTGAGCGTGGTGATGACAAAGAAGATATGAAGTTTGGAGGTTGAAGATTGAACAAACAATTTGGAATTCTGAAAATCAGAAAAAAAGAAAAACAATTTGGAATTCCCTCTGTTTTTTCATTTATTTTCACCTTATATTATTTCTTTTTTTAATTGTGGCTTAGTTCGGGTTCATAATTTAGTTTTTTTTTCTTTCTTTCCTATTTGTTTTAATTTTATGTGTTTTTATTCCAAAATATTACGAGAAAATGAAAAAGAATTCCACAATGTTTTCCTTTGATATTTCAAAATTATATAACTTTCCGTGCTCTAGCCATTAGATTGATAAAGTACACCTCGAGAAAATGAAAATAATTAATTATTTCTTTATCTTATAAGATTCATAGTTACCAATAAAATTGTCAAAAAAAAAAAAAAACATATAAAATCGTGAAACAAGGAAACCAAAAATAGAACTCATCGAACAAAGAATAAACGAATAATAATAACTCTGCAAACGATTGTAGCATAGTTGGGCCTGATGGAGCTTAATTATCAATAGCCCTTAAGGCCCATATAGCAGAGATCACTGAAAATGATGCTCGCCAAGTGGATTTGCTTTAAACCACGTGGGTATTCTTGACCGCCCAATATCTCAACGCCATTTGTGTCACTCCCTGTAAACCCTAAAAATCGAATCTTTAACCGATTAGCCGATCCCTCCACCGGAAAATCAGAAGGTAAACCTCAAGAGAATTCTCTTCACATATTTTTTATTCGTTATACCAGGTTTATTCCGATAAAGGAAATGTCTTTACTCTTTATCATGTTGTTTGGTCGCTGGGAAAAAGTCAGAGTGACTGATTCTGCACTAAAGCATCAAACTTTATGGGATATTGATTTTTTTTACATTTTGTTGAGTTATTGCGTCTTAATTCTGTGTTGAATTTTCTCTAGCTGTAGCGTAAATGGCGGATGAGGTGGTAATCCACGGCGATGTTGAAGATCGTGCGGCAAAGGGGATCTCTGACTACGATCAAGGCAGTGGAAAGACGACGGAACTGGAAAGGAAGATTGATGGAATGGAGAACAAGAATCAGGAGCTTACGAAAGAGAATCGTGAATTGAAGGAGAAGTTAGAGAGGCTTACGGGAGAAATTGAAGAGATGAAAGGTGTAGAAGCGGAGATGAATCAGAGGTTCGGAGAAATGGAGAAAGAGATCGAGGAATACGAGGAAGAGAAGAAGGCTTTGGAATCTATTTCTACGAGAGCTGTGGAGCTTGAAACTGAGGTGTCTAATCTTCAGGACGATCTGATCACTTCCTTGAACGGCGTGGATAAGACGGCGGAAGAAGTCGCGGAGCTTAAGAAAGCCTTGGCGGAGAAAGGAGAGAAGCTGGAGGGGTATGAGAAGGAAGCTGAGGGTTTAAGGAAAGATAGAGCTGAGGTTGAAAAGAGGGTTAGGGATTTGGAAAGGAAGATTGGGGTTTTGGAAGTGAGGGAAATGGAGGAGAAGAGTAAGAAACTTAGATCAGAGGAGGAGATGAGGGAAATACTGGATGAGAAAAAGAGAGAGATTGACGAATTGCAGAAGACAGTTGGTGCTTTGAATCTGGAGTTGGTGAAGAATGTAGAGGAATTGGCGAAGTGGAAATCTGAGAAGAAGCTGACGGAGGAAGCTTTGAGTGAAACTCAAAAGAGAGAGAAGGAGATGGAGTTAGAGAAGGAAGAGTTGCTGAAGAAGGTTGAGGAAGGTAATAAGACGATTTTTGGGTTGAATGAGAGAACCATGAAGCCTAGTAATGGAGTCAGAGACACCAATGGTGGTGACCAAAAGGGTTCCTTGGAAGCAGATTTTCAGTGGCCCTTGGTTGCTGCTGGATCAGTTGGAGCTGCTGGTTTGGTTGCAGCGACCTTGTTCGTCTGCTATTCTAAGCTAAGGTGATGTTGATGAATATGTAGTGAAAGAATAACTGATGACCAAGTTCTTAAGATTGGTTTCTGCAATGGAATTATATAGGTTGGCGGTTTGGATTTGAGTTGTGATGTTTGTTGGTTGTTGGCTATCATACTTTTGTTGATGAGATCAGGTTTTATTATGCCATGCATTTGGTAACTGTTCTTCATCACTTTTACTTTGTCTTACGATTGATTTCAGGAATGGATTTATACAGGTTTGCCACAGATTTCTTTGGGTTTGGATTTGAGTATGTTATGTTTTTTGGTTGTTTGGCTATCATAGTTTTGTTGATGGGAACAGATAAAAACTTAAAAGCTTATATTATGCCACAAATGCATTTCGGTTCTTCATCACTTCTACTTGTCTTCTATTTACTGGATTTAGAAGAGAAACATGTTTCTAATAGATTTGCTTGGCCAGTATGGTTCTTTATCCTATGTCCATGTCTAATAGATTTGCTTGGCCAGTATGGTTCTTTATCCTATGTCCATGAGTACTAACTTTACATTAGAAACTGTTCTAAAATGCTTCTCTGAAGAGCATATCAAGGGTTTGTTTTTGGGTAAACTCATTGCATATTAGGAGATTACCTTCAGAGGGGAAATCTTCTCTAGTTTTTATCTTTTCTTTTTTGATTCATGAAATGTGTTGAAAGGTGACCATTTTAAGACAAGAGGAACACATGAGCAAAACATACAGTTTAACTTCTCAATCTTGAATTTCATTTGGACAAGCAGAAGAATGGTTATGTTTTGTTCATTTGGACAAGCAGTGTAGAACGGTTCTGTCTTGTTAAGGTTAATTAGCATTGACTACTGTCCGTTTATATTTTTGGAAATCAAAGCGTGTGGAAGAAAAAGAGTCATCTTTTTTTTCTAAAACAGCTCCAAGAAATCTGGAAATTCTCGATAAACAAACTTACAACTACTTTAAAGGGTCAATAAAAGTAAAACAACAAAAGTATTATAAAGAAGGCTGAGACGCAGACCCCATCGATGGCTGCCTCCACTACTTTCTACTACCCAATCCCCAAAAGTTTCCTTCTTTCTCCTCCCCGTCACAAACGAAACCCTAATCTCATCTCCTGCTCCACCAAACCCATTTGCTCTCCACCTCCTTCGTCTTCTTCTTCGTCTTCTCTGCAAACGACAACAACCCATCGAAGCCAAAAGCAGAATCTGCGATTACCCACGTTTGAAGATTCGTTTCTTCTTTACCAATTCAGCTCTCCGACCGAAGACCCAGGATTTTCTAACCGGATCCCTGAACAATTCGACGGAGAGCCACGCGAATTGGTGTTGCCGAGAGTAGAAGACGATAACAAGGGGTTGGCGATTTCGTCGAACATGTGGTGGGCAGATCTGAAAGCGGCTCTTGGGCAACGAATCAATGTTGAGGGTATCGTTTCTTCGGTCTCTGTTGTGGTTAAAGATCGTCAATTGGTTCTTCCGCATGTTTCTGTGAAAGATTTAAGGTACATTGATTGGGGAGAGCTGAAGAGAAAGGGCTTCAAAGGTGTAGTGTTTGATAAAGATAATACTCTTACGGCTCCTTATTCTCTAGCGATTTGGCCACCACTCCGGCCTTCTATTGAGCGGTGTAAAGCCGTGTTTGGCCATGACATCGCCGTGTTTAGCAATTCCGCTGGTAAAATTTGGATAAAGTTTGAGTTTTTTTGTTTGTTTGGTTGTGGACCTTGTGGTTGTAGTTTAAGTAGTTTCTGGGTGATGAAGATGCTGACTTTTTTTTTTTACTTTCGGGTCTGGTGAAATATCAGGGCTTACGGAATATGATCATGATGATTCGAAAGCTAAAGCATTGGAGGCTGAGATAGGAATTAGAGTGTTGAGGCATAGTAAGTGACTTGATCTACTGTGATTCTTCTCTTAGTTTTTTAGCATTGTAACTGATAACTGATAAGGACTGTTTTTGATTCATGATTTTAGGAGTGAAGAAGCCTGCAGGAACTGCTGAAGAGGTCGAGAAACACTTTGGTTGCGCGTCTTCGGAGCTTATCATGGTAATTTTATGATGAATGTTGGGGATGAAACTGGTAACTTGATTTTTGGTGGATAAGATGTTTATGTGTTTAAGTGTTTGTGGGGCAGGTGGGTGATCGACCTTTCACAGATATCGTTTACGGGAACAGAAACGGATTTCTAACAGTATTAACCGAGCCTTTGAGTCGAGCTGAGGAGCCTTTCATTGTTAGACAGGTTGGTTTTTTCTCCTCTTCCTTTATAGTACACTTTGGTTTTCTGCATCTCACTTTTAGCTTTTCAAAAACGAAAAACGTTGTATAGTATTAGCTGAAATGAGTTATTTCACTTATTTGCAGGTGAGGAGATTAGAGTTGGCCTTGTTGAAACGTTGGTTGAGAAAAGGTTTGAAGCCTGTGGATCATAGTTTGGTATCAGATGTAACACAGTTTGTTAAAGTTCCATCAGATTTGTAAGAAGGATTCTCAGTTTGCTAAATCAACAACTTTGTTTCTTGTTTTTTTTTTGTGTAATGGAAATTTTGACTTTGGGTTTTGGCCAAATGCATCAAGATGAGAAATGCCATTTTTGATATCGTACTTGTATTTTTGTACCCGCAAGATCTTCACATCAGGGGTCTTCAAATTAAAAGCACATTTACGCATAGAGCCATAGAATTAGAGGTATGGAAACAAACATAAATGTGATGTTTCGGAAAAAAGTTGCATAATATATATATATATATATATATATTTTTGCATAATATTTATTTCTTTTGCGATTAAATCTGTTAAGTCTTTCTATATTGACCTTAAGATGATAGGTATATTAGCTTATTAGCCACGTCAAGAAGTAAAGACGTCAACAAAGAACAACTCAGCAAATCGTGGCGAAAGTATCAAATGATGTAAGCCATCGATAGTAGATTACTAGAAACATTCGGAAAAAAAAAACAAAGAAAGTTCAATGGTTTTGCAATTGGTTTGGTTTGGGCTGAAACGGTTTTCAAGCCAATTAAACAAATAAACCGGAATGAATTTCCATGGGACCTTTTGCAAAACTTTGAGCAAGTTTTGTTTTTTGCAGTCCACTTCCTTAAAGTTTTGCTCAAAGGAGTTCGACGTTGCAACTCGATAACTTGTTGTATTCTTCCATCATCTGCATGATACATTTAGACACTTCAGGGACTCTGAGCTCTGTAGGATCATTCTCTTCAACATAGATGTTCATCTCCTTCAGACACGGAAAATAGACCAAGAAATGCTTTATCATTGTCATCTCTTTCATTGTTCCTCTAAACCCTCGAATCTCTAACATTTTTACTGGACAAGATGTCAGCGAACGACCTTTGTCCTCCCTAGAAATGCAGTCACAAGCATCCCCGCATTTATCTGTGACATGGTGCAAGAGACCCTGAAAGCATAAAGAAGACAATAAGAGATTCAAAGTATGAACTCTATCTTTGTACAAAGTTTGGAAAATGAGTTGTTTATATACCTTAATGACTAGAGTTTCTAAATGTGGACAGTTCCTTAGAAGAACCGGCATTGCCTGCCAACCTCGTTCCTTGTTACTCTTAATAGCTAATGATTTGAGGTTTTTGAACACCGGCATCGATTCACAACATCGCGAAAGCACCTGAAAGCAACTAAATAAATTGCAATTACATGTTTCAAAACTAGACCAGTTATGCTCCAGAAGTTGAGACGAAGTCATGTTTACCTTCTTTTATTTCCTCGATACCAGTTGAATAAAAATATTCCAAGAGAGAGTAAAAAAAATAGAAAACTAACCTCGAGAGTACCAGGAGACAAGTAAAGATTTGTAACATTTTGTAAGCCAAGAAAGAGTTTCCACACATTGCTATATCTGAGAGCAACGTCTTGGTCGAACCAATGATATTCATCTGGTTCTCTAGCTCGCTGGATTTGTAGTAACAAGATGATTCGAGCATCAAATAAGTTTTTCATATTAACTACTGGGTAGTCCTTTGCAACAAAACCAGTGTACTTAAAGTAAATGAGACTCGGTGTATCAAATGATAAAGTGCTAGAACAATAAATGTCATATATTGTGAGGGTCTTGAGGCTTGCACTTGATATGTTCACACCCTGATCATTCCAGATTACATCAAACAGGGATAATTCCTCAAGCGCAGGCAAAGCATGAAGAAGAATCTCAAAGTTATCAATCCGAGCTGAGTTAATAGTGAGAGTTTTAAGCATCGGTAAGAAAATGCTTCCAGCCACCCAACCAATATCAATTCCACCGCCTAACTTCAGGCTAACTAATGTGCTGCTCTGGAAACATTTTGGAGGCAGCAGATAATGATCATCTCCCTCTGAATCCAAAATGATTAATAGATCAAGGTCGGAAACACCACGCGCCAGCACGTTACTTATCCAACCATCCACACGATTCGAATCAACCTCAGTTAAACACTTGAGAGAGAATTTTCTAATGGGGGAATTACCCTGCAAAGCCAAAATTCTATCCACAAAATCCATGAAGCTCTGTATAATTTCGGGCCTATCCCGCTTACCCTCTTCAGGATGGAGAAAGACAGAGTCATCAATGTAGAGATAAGGGACAAATGCAAGGAGATTGCGCCACCTCTTGGAAAGAATCGAAGTCAAAGCAGCCTCCTTTGTGGTAAGGAAGGACAAGATATGACAAAGAAGCTCGTTTGGTAGACTGCTAACACGATCCATCTCCTCTGCACGAAAGAAGAGGTAATATATTATTAAGTAGACAAATCTCAAAGCTTTCTATTAAAACATCATGGATACATAAATAGCAAACAGTTCCACTGGGCAGGATCTATAAACAGAGGAAATTTTGACAGTAAGGTAAAAATGGAGTAACTGGATGCCATCGGGAATCTAAATAGGTTAATTCAAACATGAATTTGTAACTACGCAAATTGGAATCCACACAAAGGAGCTAAGAACCCACAAAGGAGAATAATAATTAGTAGAAGCAGTAGAAAAGTGTAAACATCAGCACCTACCTTAAGACCCAAAATTAAGAGATTGCAGTGAATGCGTCCAGTGAGATGAGAGAGAGTGGGAGTGATTAGTAGCTGATTTCTATGGCCTTACACGCGAAGATATGAAGAAATGCAAAATACCCCAGCGAAAGGCAGAGAGGGGAAAGTCCCAGGCTTTTAGTTCGACAAAAGGCATCGGAGAACGTAAAATTGAAAGCAGTAGACTCGAAGAATCTAGTGTAAGTGTTGGTTCTATTTTATCCGGTTTTCTAAATATCATCGGTTTAATTCGGTAAACAAACCAGGATTGCTTGACTTTGGGCTGATAACGTATGCAAGAACAAGTCAGGCCCAAGTAGAAGCCTAGTGGGCAAATTGGTGATGTACCTGAGAATCAGAACAGGGCATTGTTCTTCTTCTTAAACGTAGTGTTTAAATTTGAAGAGAAGCATGTAGACCCTTTGATAGTTTGGGTTTTAAAGAATTGGAAATGTCAGATACAAACAACAACAAATTTATATAGGATATGATACATACGTTGGGGAAAAAACACTTTTGTACACAAGACAAACATTGAACCATATTAACAAAATGGTCAAACAAAGTAGATGATAATGCAAAAAACACTTTGTCACGTCGCTTCATTGGCGTTCGATCTGAATAGTCACGTGACTTATGTTGTATTCCCTCTTGATGTAATCAATAATCTTGTCCAAAACCATATCTGCCTCTGCCTCAGGTCTGATTTTAACGTGACAAGCCAACAAAAGTTTGCCAACAGTAATCGCCCAAATGTGAAGCTCATGAACAGCCACCACTTCTTCTATCTCACACACTCCCTTTTCAAGCAATGTCGGGTCGATCTCTCGTGGTGTTGACTCCATTAAAACCTCTAGAATGTTCCTGAGCATCCCAATTGTCGTCCCCAACACAATCACAGAGAAAACCAATGTGCATATCAAATCAAGGATCTTCCACTCCGGTTTATACCATATGATTGCTCCTCCTATCATCACTCCTACGCTCTGTATCGAATCTCCCAGCACGTGAAGATAAGCCCCTTGAATATTTACATTCCGCTTCTTCTTTTGCTCGATTAAGACCTCAGATAGATGTGATTCATCATGCCTCTGGCCATGATGATGCTCAGTTGCAACTATTCCATGGCCATGATCATCATGACTATGACTATGACCGTGACCATGGTCATGACTATGACTATGACCACCATGACCATGGTCATGACCTAACAGAATAGCCATTGCAATGTTGACAAGTAAGCCAACTGCAGAGACAGCAAACATAAGAGATCCCTCAACTTCGCCACTACCGTTGTTAAGTCTAACAATGGCTTCATAAACCAAGATACCAGCAAGAAGCCAAATCATTTGAATGGAGACAAGAGCACCAAGAATCTCTATTCTGAAAAACCCATATGATTGCTGCGGGTTTGCCTTCCATCCGGAAGCCCAGAGCGAGAACAAAGATATGGCAAAGGCTGCAACATCAGATAACAAATGAGCTGCATCAGTGAGAATAGCGAGACTATTGGCCTTGATTCCTCCAACGACTTCTACAGCTATGAAAATGGCACAGAGAACAACAGCAATTAACAGCTTTTTCATTGATGCTGCACGTTCTTGAGCTTCTATTGAACTGGTCTTGGCATCTGAGAATCCGCAAGGCACTTCTCCACATGTCTTCTTGATGCCCACCAAGCTTGTTTCTCCTGATGAAACTTCCCCACAAATCTGAACCATGTGTCCATGCTCATGAATAGGGTCTTCCATCTGAAACAAGAAAAGAGAACAACTCCTTGCAATCAAAAACGCATCAAAAGAGAGATATAAGGACGCAAAATCAGGACAAGATGAAGAAAGACGAACATGTAAGATACCTTTTGTTGTAAGAGAGAGAGATCGAGATGTAATTTGGGTGTAATCATACCATTCTAGTCAACCTTTTATATATAAAATCTCAAAACCAAAAGTCATACGCAATATTGGAAGATTGAGAGGGAACAAAAAGAAATTGAGAAAGTTATGAGCCATGCCTCCCATCTAGTCAACCTTTTATATATAAAATCTCAAAACCAAAAGTCATACGCAATATTGGAAGATTGAGAGGGAACAAAAAGAAATTGAGAAAGTCATGAGCCATGCCTCCCATCTAGTCACTCTTTCTCAAAACTATATATTATATATTACGTTGGCAATCCATCTGAGACACACTATTGACTATATCAAACCTTTCTTTATTTTGTAAATTTTATGACTATATTACACTTTTAATTAGAATCTCTTGAACAAGTTTCAGGGAATAGAAAAAGAGAGTAGCAAATTGTAACGAGGATCAGTGAAGCAGATTCTAACCAAAAAAGAAAAACAATTCACGTTTTGCTATTGACTTGTAACCAAAGTGACAAAAAGGAAACAACACAAAGAGTGAAATTTTTTTTTTTAAAAAAGGAAATAACACGTTGACAAAAAAAAAAGGAAATAACACAGAAAGAAAAAAAAAGGAAATTTGAATACCAAAACAAAAAAAGGAAACTTTGAATCCCAAAGTTCATAAATAGTCCCTCGCACCTCCTCTATTCTTTCTGTCGAATCGTTTTCGTTTCATCACAAAGAAATCAGAGAAACGAGAAACACAGAGAGAGAGAGAGAGTTATAGAGATAAACGTTGTGATTTTACGATTCTCTTCTTCAATTTCTACTTCGTTTACTTTTATTCTCTTCGAATTTCATCTTTGATTTCTTCGAATTTCATGAGTTGTTCATATTTGATGATGAACAGCGGCAAACAACAAAACAAGCGTCGAACAAGGTGGAGTCCAACCAGACCAAACATGATACGAGCGTGATGGAAGATGACGCTGATACTTCTTCAACTAAGATGAATCCTGAGACCGACGGCTGAGGAGATGGCGACAGAGAGACGGCTGAGGAGAAATCAGAGGATTCAAGTGTCCGGTGAGGATGGTGGAGGAAGAAAGCAATCAGCAAAGCCCAATAAAAAGAACAAATTTTTCAGCCCATAAGAAACTAACAAGCCCATGAAAAAGGGCTTTCCATTAATCAGGTCAATTTCTACTCTATTTTACTCTCTCTCTTTTTTTAATTAGAAATTAATAGACTAGAAAAACGGATTTGATTTTTTTTTTTCTAACGGAAATTTAAATATTAAATTTACAAAATAATGTGAAACTAACCGGATTTTGGATCCAGCCTTATGACCTAGTCATTTGGTCGTTAGCCGATTCCACATATCTAACTTGTTTTTCGCATCGTTTTGTAGATTTAATATTTTAAATTTCTAAAATTTTTTTAAAAAAGTTTTAAATTTTTGAGGTTTTTTCTTACGGTTTTAAAGTTTTTGAAATTTAAAATATTAAATTTACAAAATGATGTGAAAACTAACCGGATTTTGGATCCTGCCTTATGACCTAGTCATTTGGTCGTTAGCCGATTCCACATATCCAACTTGTTTTTCGCATCGTTTTGTAGATTTAATATTTAAAATTTCTTTTTAAAAAAAAAAAAAGTTTTAAATTTTTGAGGTTTTTTCTTACGGTTTTAAAGTTTTTGAAATTTAAAATATTGAATTTACAAAATGATGTGAAAACTAATCGGATTTTGGATCCTGCCTTATGACCTAGTCATTTGGTCGTTAGCCGATTCCACATATCCAACTTGTTTTTCGCATCATTTTGTAGATTTAATATTTAAAGTTTCTAATTTTTTTAAAAAAAAGTTTTAAAATTTTGGGGTTTTTTCTTACGGTTTTAAAGTTTTTGAAATTTAAAATATTAAATTTACAAAATAATGTGAAAACTATCCGGATTTTGGATCCTGCCTTATGACCTAGTCATTTGGTCGTTAGCCGATTCCACATATCCAACTTACTTTTCGCATCGTTTTGTAGATTTAGTATATAAAGTTTCGAAAAATAAAGTTAAAAAAGTTTTAAATTTTGTGGTTCTTTCTTACGGTTTTAAAGATTTGAAATTTGAAGTATTATATTTAAAAATAATGTGAAAACTAATCGGATTTTGAATCCTGCCTTATGAGTTATGACCTATTGATTTGGTCGTAGCCGATTTCACAAGTCCAACTTGTTTTTCGCATCGTTTTGTAGATTTAATATAGAAGTATCTAATTTTTTTTAAAAAAAATTGATTGTCAAATGAGCTAAGTAAAACCTGTAGTCCATCAGCACATAGACAATGTGGTATCAGAAATTTTAATAACAAAGAAAGAAAGCATTATCCTTTGGATTTTTTGTTGAACAGCCATTTATTAAGTACGAAATCCTTTTGCTACCTACAGAAAGAATGAAGAAAGTAGAAACAAAGATATTATATCCATAAGATGATCTCTAGGAGAGGATTTCTAGCTTTAGAGTATGTCATTATCCCACAATATCCCTCAATATGGACAGCAACTTACAAGAGCTTGGAATAGCATCCAACATTCTTACATTTAGAGTTCTTACAGATTCCAAAACCACAACAGACTTAGTGGTCTTAGTTAACTACAAACCAATGAATCAAAAATTGTCTTCTTAACTCTAAATCACAGCCACCAGGGTGGCCATGATCTTTTCAGACTCAAATCGTAAACCGACTGTTTAGGCATGTTCCATTGGAGTCAAATAGATTATCCTGTGCAATGCATCTTACAGCTTTCAAAGAATGATATTGTTACATGAAAATCTGACAGCCAATTAGCTCATATGTGACTCAAACCAGTTGAAGATTTGATCAGACTGCAAGCTCGTCATTTCATGATATGCATATGCAAGATTCAGTTCTTCCTCAACAGGAGTTATCAAACTTTGTTCTAGTGATATTTTGTAGCTACCGAGAGCTTGTTTCCACGGTGTTCTCCGTCCATCCCGTTTCATGTATCCTTTCCCATCAACAAATCCCTTGTCTTGAAATAACTTGAACAGTTTGGTCGATACATCCGGATGAAGACCTGGAATCCTATCTGCCAAGAAATCCGGTGAAATCGGCAAATCCAAGCATTCAATCTCTGCAGCATCAATACCTTCCATTCTGAGACCTTCTAAAAACTCTCTAATCTTTTGTTGTCTGTACACATCTTTAGGCATGTGCACAAAAAGAGTCGGCGGATACTGTTTACTGATACGAATTTGATCAAAGACTCCTTCGGCAATCATAAGCACAATGCTACTAAACTGCACCTCTGTTGCAAGAGCAGAGACAAAGTAGCCACCAGATGAAGCCCCTAACCCAACAAGCGGAAGCCTATCGAGCTTATGCTTATTGACCCACGATTTTATCATCTTTCCAACAATCGATTTTTCCTTCCCGAATGTCCAGCATGTTCCAGCACTAGATACAGTTAAAACAGCGAACTTTCGAGCTAGAGCAAATCGAACAAGAATCCTCTCCTCTGGTAGACCAGTACATTCAGGACAATCTGAAGATTTGTCCCAAAAGTCAGAAGCTTTCCTATGGCAACCATGAGCAATAAACAGAACTGCTTTTGGTGAATTTGGTATCGTCCATATCAATTGAGTCCCGTTCTGAATCTCTACTGTTGGCTTGACAGTGTTCGAGATCTGTGTCGGTCGTTCCAGTTCCAGTTTCGTGCTCTGATTCTTGCCACTGAAACAAAATAACAGAACCGCAACCAATAAGATCCCAACAACGAAAACAAGTCCGAATTGATGGATTCGAGATCCATTCGAAGATTTCCATTTCTCACTACGCTTCAACATCACTGCAAAGATCAAGGTAAATCTCAGGATCAAACGGAACTCTGAGAACAATTCCAATTTGTAAATCTCACCTCGTTGGAGAATCACATTCGTATATCAACCAAATTCTACAGAAATTTCACTAATGAATCAGATCAAGCATTGGTTTACAAAAAAAAAAAAAAAAAAAAAAAAATCAGATCAAGCATTAACGAATCACAGGGACTAAGACTAACGAAATCGATGTAGCATAAGGTCAACACTTACCCGATGAGACGAGAGGAATTTGTTAAACCCTAAGTCCACTTTATTCCGACCGGCGAGATGCAACCACGACCCTTTAAGTTTCCGAGAGAACTCCCGTTGCTTTTGACGACGACTTTTAAACTCCGTTCCGTTTTCTCACGATTGTGAATAACGACATTTAACTCCAACCGTTTTTTTTTTTTTTCTGGTGAAAAGCGCTCCATTTTGCATTTTATAACTCACAATTCCTGCCGTTTTAAAACAAGTAGGGAATTTTAAAGTTGTCTTCTTTTACCATTGACACACAGGTAAACCGTGACTTGAATATTGTGACACTATTTAAAATAAGTTTTTCCGTAGGTTACAAATATTAGTTTCCCTATATGTTTTAAATAATTCAATTTAAATACATACAATTTAAAGATTGACAAGTCTAAACAAAAAAAAGAGATTAATGCATCAATAGAAAATATATTCGATTGCTGGTAATCAAATCAAGGCTTGGTATTGGTCTAAAGTGTGTATTAGTATCAAAATATATTAAAATATTGACAGAAATCAGTTATGAAAAATCAAATATGATGGTGTAGTGGTTGAGTATGGTTGCTATTATTGTGAGTTTGTTTTTACAAATATGTTTTCTTAACGAGTTTGTGTAAATACTACGAACCTTACCTGCCTTGTTGGTAACCCATTAAGAAGACCAGTAAAATATGTACCAAGATCGAGAAGAGAAAACCTTGGGGTAGAGTATCGCTAAGACCAAAGTATGGAGAAAATGTTTGACTTAAAAACTTAAAAGGACTTTCTTAGGTACGTAAAAGTATGGGGAAAAAGGTTATGACGCTGTAAAGTTTTAAGGTAAGGTTTTCAAACCGATTTTTAAACATTGCATGAAAATTTTCCAAATCTATCAACTTGTGTAAGGAACATTGGCAATTGCACTACCAATACATGCAGAAACGACAAAACGCATGTTATCTTCAAAAATCAAAATTATTAAATTGTGCAACTTTCTACATTGAAACATATGATTTATGTTATCCAAACAGCTGACACTGTTTTTGTATTTATATATTTTTACGGTTTTTTGATATATTCTCGCCAGACTAATAACACATATTTGCTTCATAATGTACATTTTCCCCATATCGATACATATCAGCAGCACTCATATAAAAAATATAGTAGCATATCATCAGTGATACTGTGACAGTTTACTTTCCCTCCACACCTCCCATAAGACCATAATTATGATATGACTTATTCGTCTCCCATGATGAACAAAAACACAAAATAAGGCAATATTAATGTCACACATTTCACACCTAGGCACAATATAGCACGACAACACTCATAAATTCTATGAGTGCTTATAAAATAAATTAGTGTAGGGGTTTTTTTTTTTTGAACAATAGTATAGGGGTTGTTTAGAGTTGTTTTCTTTTTAACTAGGATCTTTTAGAGTTGTCGGCAAACTTCTTTTTTCACTAGCTGAAGATCATATCTTACAAAAAAAAGTAGAGTACAAACTAGTATTATAATGACGAGGACACTATGAGTTACGGAGACTTGAGACCAATAAGTTTGTCCAAGTGGTGCATTGATGACTACTAAGATCAATTGACTAATCACAGTTAAATCCCAAAAACTTTGTTTAACTACCAACTCCATAGCCATAAGAGAGCAATTAATGGACGGTGATCTCCAGGAATAGCGCACCATTAATTCCATGTGGGCTCCCACACTGGAACCCTCTCTCTGCTATGTGTCGGTGTGACTCCACAAAATACAAATCCTCGTAGAGAAGGACCTTCCTGTAATTTTCCGCAGCGTTACTCTTTCCATTTACCAGTAAAATATTTCTTTTATAGACTATATGCTAAATTCCCGCGGAGTTGAACGCGGCATCGGTTTTGGCTTTTTTTTTTTCAAAAGAATAAATTTAATTTATTTTTACGAACCTACTCGTGACTATGATAGGAATAATATTGGTGAAATATTATCTTTTACGAAAATAATCAAAGCATTTATTTTGGTTAACATATTGTCCCCTTGGCTTCTTTAGAAGAAATTCATTCCTCTTTGAATGTTGTTTTTATTCCCGTCGTACAGATCAAAAACCCAGAGTCCCTCTCTCGCTCTCGTTGTCGAGCTTCGATTCTCCCATTGCTTGTTATCCAAATCCTGGATTCGCCTTTGCTTTGATCGTCACTGAGCTTCTTCTTCTCGATCCTTGTGTTGGGTTTCGATTAAGTGATAGTGGAGATCGGAGATCTGGTAAACAGAGTCGTGTGTTACTGTTTTGGATTGATGGAACTGGAGAGAAAGTGTGAGAAACTTAGGGAAACTGTGAAGAAATGAAGTTTTACATATCGGCGACTGGGATTAAGAAGGTTACCATATCAAATCCCGGCGTCGGAATCGGAAAAGGAAACGGAGGATGCGCGGCTGCAGCGGCGGCGTTAGCAGCGCGGAGATTCTCTGGTCGGACGTTGTTACTGTTGCTGCTGCTTCTCGCCATCGTCCTCCCTTTTATCTTCGTCAGGTTCGCGTTTCTCGTCCTCGAATCCGCCTCCGTTTGCGATTCACCACTCGGTACCTTTTTTCTCTTAGATTTTGTTCTCTTTTTCTCATTCTTTCAAATTATGAATTATTGTACTAAAAATTTTTTACTATGAATTACTATATTAATCGCGCTTACTTCGAATTATAGTATATGGTAATAAATTTGCAAAATCTACCTATTTTTTGGATATGAATTGTTCTGATAGCTACAAAGTGTGAATTGAGTTAATGAATGATTGGTTTCGAATTCGATATGGATAAATCTTCTTCGTATTGAATGCTATGTGCTTGTGATCTTTAATTTTTTTTCTTGTTCTTGTATTTATTTATTTTCGTATGATTTGTAAATTTAATAATACTACTTTTTCATTTGACTCTTTTTTTTTTTTTTTTTTTCCTCTCATTTGACTCTTTATTCACAGATTGCATGGGACTGAGACTTTTTCGTGGGGGCGACACATCTCTGGTAAGCTTTTATTATACTTTTACTTACTCTAATAATGTCAAGTGTATTAAACGTCTTTCTCCAGTGTAAGTAATTTTATGTCGGCAAATGTTATATACGTAGTTACTTTAATTTAAGATATTTTCATTTCATGATTTTGGTTGGTTTAGTTTTCATAATCATTAACTTTAAAATCGATGGGAAACAGGAAAATTTTCAAGACTTGCACATAGTGCTGCTATTAAAGAGAAAAAAGATATGATTGTTGTATGGGAACTCAAAAAAAAAAAAAAAAAAGTCTTTGCCAGCTGTTTTACGTTAGTGTTGCTAGTGTCGTATAGTGAGTGATGAGATGAGTTTGCCTCTTGGACCTGGTGGGGTAAAAAATATGTAAAACCGTGATCATTATCATCTATGTCATTGTCTAGGAACAGAGAGATGAAAATAGTCTATAAGGGTGAATTTTGCTGATTTCTGATTTGTGGATTGTGATTTTGCTCTAGACTCTAGTTTCGTTATCCATGCAATGACTTTTTTCGTGTATCATTTACTTTGATAGTATATTAGGATGATTTTGATAGATTGATTTGTTATTATTCGCGCTTGATCTGATGTCAACATGTGAGATTGTCGGAAACGAGCCCACAATGTGGTTTCTTATCAACTATTTACCTTTTTTACTTTATTTAGAACATAGCATGCCCTAGAGAGTGTAATTAGGAGCTCCATTGAGGGAACTTTAAGTTTTAGTGAATGGGAAAAAAACAAAAATCTTCGTATGGATTACTATAGATGCCATAACCAATGTAGTAAACTTTAGTTAGATGTAGGAGTTTCAACTTTCCACTCAGTTTTTTTTTCTGATAGGACACGTGGCAGATTTTGCTGCCACCAGAAAGTGCATAGCCACTTGGTTCCTTTCTTCTTTATACGTAGCAACAAACAGGAACAAAGAGAAACGAGACAGACGGATAATTCCAATAGATGACTTAAAAAATTGCAATGTTTCTGTCGAAGCAGTTTTGTTGTTTTGTGTCATGAGTTGATGTAAAGACATTATTATGACAGCTTTTTTAGTTTGTAACAACTCACACGGCAAGAAAATGCGTGTATGTGCCTCTTTCAGAAAATTGGGGAAGAGTTGACACGAGCTCTAGTGGAAGAGACAGATCAGGACGTTAATGGAAGAGGAAAAAAAGGATCATTGGAGTCATTCGACGACCTTGTCAAGGAGATGACGTTAAAACGCCGTGATATAAGGGCGTTTGCTTCCGTAACTAAGAAGATGGTATGTCCCTTCTAGCTTTATTTCTTAACAGTTTCTGGCCATTATTGTATAGTGTCAACTTTGGTACAGAGTGACATTAGTTTCTACAACTATCCTAAAAATCTGATGGATTAGAAGATGGTTGTTCTACTAATCATTCTACCTTAAGATATGATCAACCGCTAGTGGATCATTCAAAAGAATTTTGTTGGAGTTGAACCCAAGGGTGTCATTGTCTTGTCCTGTACAAGTGATATACTGTTGGAATTTTTATTGGTGTCTAGATTTAGCACAATCATATGTTGGTTTTAAGGTCTATTAATGGTATCAGACGTATTAATAAGCAATAAAAGCATACAGACATAAATCTTCTAGTACTGAGTAGACAAAAGTTCTTCTCTTCTATGTCAAGCACTCAAGACTAGAACCTTATGTCTCACTAGCTAAGTGGAGTGTTTCCACTTTTGCTCTGCCCCTTCTATTTATTTGACACTTTGTTTTCTTTAATTTTCAGCTGTTGCAGATGGAGCGTAAAGTCCAATCAGCGAAACATCATGAGTTAGTGTACTGGCATTTAGCCTCTCACGGTATTCCCAAAAGCCTTCATTGCCTTTCCCTCAGATTAACTGAAGAGTACTCTGTAAATGCAATGGCTCGAATGCGTTTGCCTCCGCCTGAATCCGTCTCTCGTTTGACCGACCCATCTTTTCACCATATTGTAATCTTGACCGACAATGTCCTGGCTGCCTCTGTCGTCATATCTTCTACTGTACAGAACGCTGTGAATCCCGAGAAGTTCGTCTTTCATATTGTTACCGATAAAAAAACCTATACCCCTATGCACGCTTGGTTTGCTATCAACTCTGCTTCATCGCCAGTTGTTGAAGTAAAGGGACTTCATCAGTATGATTGGCCTCAAGAAGTGAATTTCAAAGTTAGAGAGATGCTGGACATCCACCGCTTGATTTGGAGACGGCATTATCAAAATTTGAAAGACTCTGATTTTAGTTTTGTTGAGGGTTCTCATGAGCAGTCCTTGCAAGCTCTAAATCCTAGCTGCCTCGCCCTTTTGAATCATCTTCGCATCTACGTTCCCAAGGTAAAGTTTCTCTCCACTCAACTCTTCTCTGAGCTTTAAATCCAACGCATTTATCATTTCAAATCCTCTTTTTTTCATTTTGTTGGACCGCACAGCTTTTTCCAGATCTCAACAAGATAGTGTTGTTGGATGATGATGTAGTAGTACAGAGCGATCTTTCGTCTTTATGGGAAACGGATCTCAATGGTAAAGTTGCTGGTGCTGTCGTTGATTCGTGGTGCGGAAACAACTGTTGCCCGGGAAGAAAATATAAAGACTATTTCAACTTCTCACATCCTCTGATCTCATCAAGCTTAGTTCAAGATGACTGTGCTTGGCTTTCTGGTATGAATGTCTTTGATCTCAAAGCCTGGAGACAAACCAATATCACAGAAGCTTACTCTGCATGGTTAAGACTCGTGAGTATAAATAAATAGAGACCGATCTCATTTCTTCGTTACTTTATCCGCACTGCAACAAGTTAAAACAAATCTGATGATTTAATTTTAATGCAGAGTGTTAGTTCAGGACTACAATTATGGCAACCAGGAGCTTTACCACCGACATTACTTGCTTTCACAGGACTCATACAGTCTCTTGAACCATCATGGCACGTCGCTGGACTAGGTTCTCGATCCGTAAAATCCCCTCAAGAGATTCTGAAATCTGCTGCGGTTTTACATTTCAGCGGTCCAGCAAAACCGTGGCTAGAGATCAGTAACCCTGAGGTGCGATCTATTTGGTATAGATACGTAAATTCCTCCGACATCTTCGTTAGAAAATGCAAAATCATGAACTGAGATTAAAAGACAGATTAGAAACAAATATAAAGAAAAGAGAAAACTGAGGGATAAAGCCAATACTTGCGGCTGTATGAGAGAACAGAGGGAAGAAGGTTTAAGCCTTCAGCCTCTGCTCATATTTCTCTCATGTCCATATACTAAACAGTAATTTAGATAAAGGACAATTTCAAATTAGACTTTAAGCATATGTAGCTTCTTTTTGAGATCATTATCTCAAGCAGTATAGTAAAAAATGTAATTTTTGTTTAATTATAGCTACACATATTATATAATAACTCGTCACATTATAGATCGATGTTTGTAAGTTTGTATTTTTGTAACCCATAATTTATTTATGGACATGTTGTATTGATTTTATGATCAATGTTTATAGTATTGATTATCTCTAACTGTGGGTGTTGGTGGACATGATCTAATCGAAGCTGCTTCTGTATGTAAATATAGTTCATTAGAAGATCAGCTCAAGGTTCAAGAATTCATGAATATGCATCACATACTTGTTCGGTTTTGCATTTAGTGTCTACAGACTACATAAGCTCATCACTGTTATGTTCTCATTTCCTCTAAACTAGAGTATTCACACAAAATTCAGTAGGCTCTTAGACACACAGTAGCATATCACTAATATCTTCAACATCATCAAAACAAGTCATCTTGTCTTATAAGTTATATAAGAAACTATTTGGAATGATCTAAATAGTCAAACCTTGGATGTTTATTTCCCTGAACGAGAGCATTTACATGTCAGTTTCTTCTTTTTACACGCAGCCCCACATGTGTAACAGAACTCGTGTTTGCAATGTCTGCCAGGAACAGAAGACAGATAACTAAAGTCATGTTTGAATAAATAATATAAAACCAGGCTCAATAACAAATGTCCAATACCTGCAAGTCATTTGTTTGCACCCGCCACCATGTTGAACGATGCTCTGACACTGGGAACACTTTTGCCATCCCTCTGTCTTCACAAAAGACTCCAAAAGCGCCGCGTCAGATTTCAGGTAAGACTCCGACTTCTTGAACTCATCGCAGGTCTTCTTGTAGTGCCATGGAACATGGCATTTTTTGCAGAAAGACAAGCCGCACTCCATGCACTTCCGTGCTTCTGACTGCTGAGGATTATTGCGTACGTGCCTAATGAGGTCGAGGTCCGACATCAAAAAGGAACAAGAAGGGTTGGGACAATAGACTCTGTCTTTAACGGGGATCGCCTTCTCCTTCTTGCGCTGGATCATAAGAGTAATAGCATCAGCATCAGCAAAACCTCTACAATCCTCTGGCACAAGATCATTCTCGCAATCCGGGTAAGGGCAGATTGCTGTGTCCCCTCGTAGTAGTTGTTCGGATGAGAACGGCTTCCTCATGCACGTAACGCAGATGCGGTGGAAGCAGCCGTGCACCTCAAACTTATCATTAGGCGAAACGTAAGCGTAGCAGACTGGACAACTCTCATACTCGGTGTCGCCTTCACACCATCTAGTTTGGGAAGCTATAGCATCTTTTGCTAGCTTAATAACAGAGATGATGTCTCTGCTTACAGCAAGTGCCTGACAAGACGTGAATCTTGTCTGAAGAAGAGACACTTGCTCCAAAAGTTTTGCTACAATGGACTCGTTCGGTGCAGCTTTACGAGTAACCTGTAAAAACATAAGAGGCGTGAATAACACACGTACAGGATAATGGATTCAGGGTAAAAGAAGAGAGAAACTTACGTAGCTCAAGATATTGGAGTCGTCACAGAAGAATTGGATACTTTCCACACCAAGTTCCAAGGCCCATTTCAAGCCGTGAATGATGGCAGCCAGTTCCGCAGCTTCTGGGTGTGCCAGCTTTTGGTTTCTCAGAGCTTTACTAATCTCCAGTTTCGTGTTATCGTGTGAGTCACAGAGGAACAAACCTAAACCAACGACCAGCATTGTATCATCCTTAATGAGCTCTTCACTCACCAAACCCTTGGAGTATAACCGATAGGTATGAGTTGTGGTTGAGGATTCTCCGAGGATTATCCGAGGAGGATTCTCCAAGGAATCAAGATCAAGCTTGGTCTCCTCCGGAGCTAACAAACGGTCTTTACTTTCTTGATCCACACGTTTAAGATCATCCGCGGTGATTGCATCCTTTATCGCTAATTCCAAGTCATTAGTCGTCATGGCTATGGCCGTATCTGTAGGAAAACAAAACCAAACTAAGTAAAACAGTAAGTGTTTGGATTTATAAATTTTATATTCAAACAACACTCGGATGATACAAATCTGAAACTTAATTACAACCCACTAAGAGAAACCTAAACCCCGAATTAAAACTTGAAGATTTGACGCTCACATACCTCCAAATGGTGCCCCTTAATCACAGTTCACAACTAAATTTGTTTTTTTTCAATCAAAGTACCTATATCACCAAAAAGTTGACTTGTTTAAAAAAAATCGTACAGAAACAGAGATACGGTTGATGATGTCAACACCACCTAGATCGAGTCCGACTGTATGAGAATCCATCATATGTTAAGTTTCATGTTTGATGGTTAGAATTTCTTTCTAAAAACAGAAAAACTTAACAAAGAAGAAATAGGACTGTAGGAGGAAAAAAAAACATACATGGGGAACAAGAGAAAAAAGCTAAACGGCAGAGATTGACGATAGAAGATTCCGGTGGCGATTGATGGTGATTAGGCGGAGATTAGTGGGGTTCCGGCGAAGATTGGAAGAAGAAGAGGAACCGTCTAATAACGAAAGTTGGGTTTTTAGGGTTTGCTATTTAATCACATATTTTTATATCAGTTAATATAATATATGGAAATTTAATTAAAACAGAATATTTTGGATTAGAAAAATTAGGAAAAAAAATTGTTTGGACTTTAAACAAGAAACGTGGGTTTGGTTTGAACCCTTTATGGACATGTTGTAATGATTTTATGATCAATGTTTATAATTTCGCTTGTCTCTAATTTGTATCACAGGCGAAGCTGCTTCTGTATGTAAAATATTAAAAGGCACTTAAAATTTAATAATTGATCGTTTATGCGTCTAATCTTTTATGACAAACTTTGTAGTCAATTAATTTATATGAAATTTACTACAGTTATAACGTTCGGTTCAGATTCATGAACTTCGGTTCGATTGTAATGCCAATCTTAGTTGTGTGTTTTGATTTCGAACAACTAGTTGTATGCAATAACGGGTTTTAGAACTTTTGATTTTAATGTTGATGTAATTAGGCAATAGAAACACGAGTTTTGTTATTATCATTATTTGAACCTAAACTATGAATTTAAGAAGTCGCATTATAAATATAAAATGAATCTCTCTTAATAGTTTTGAGGGGAAGAAACAAGTTATCATGTTTTGAGTTACACAAGCTGAAGAGGAGGTTGGTCTTGGCCGGAGAATTGCTGATTCGGTTCAAGAAGGTTCACCGGAATATAGTTCCGATTATGATGCTGCGACTGGTCATGAGAAGATACACCGGATTCGTAAACAGTCGTCCCTTGTATCACACTCGATTCCTGCTGTTCCGGATTCAATCTGGCACCTTCGGCTATCTGTTAAACCCGAAAGTAAAAGTTTGCTTGTGATTCACGTTATCTTAGTTACACAATGAAGAGATTGAGATTGAGATTGAGATTGAGATTGCGATTGAGATTTGGAACAGAACGTGGCTAACCTTAGCTCGCAGGTACATGTTATTGTGTTGCAACTCCATTTCCTACACATAATTTTTGGGAAAACTCACACACTCAAAAAGACCCTCAAAAAGACGAAGAAAGATCTAATTACTTGGAATGGAAGAAACGTTGTTACCCTCTTCTGCATATACTCTATCTCTGCCACTAACAGCTCGTTCTGCAAAAATTTCACAAAAGAGTGAGGAAACTATATAAGCCAAGGGGAAGTTTTTTTTTGTCAAAGAGAGACGTAGGGGTACCTTTTTGGATCGGACACGGCTGATTCCTTTTTCAAGCCGTCCTTCGAGGTTTTTGAGTTCCTTGAAGTTCAAGGAACCAAGTGATTCCCCAACAATATGCCTTCAATTTGCAAACATGAACATTAAACAAAACAACTTCTAAAGAAAATTACTAGCAAACTTTTGCGCCAAACCAAATTAACTAAATCAAATCAAAAAGATTTTAAAACAGTTCTATACATAGCAGTAGAGTATCCAAGAAACAAGAAACCATATATATCAGAAACCTCATGAAAACTTACCGAATTACCTGTTCTAAGTAATCGTTAATTAAGTAAGGTATAAAAAACCAGAAATTTTAACAAAAATTACCTGTTTGAATTCTGAATATCTCGAATCTGCCTCCGAAGCTTAGAGGCTTCTTGCTGATAGTACTTCAAAAATCCATGTATTCAAACACCAAAACGCAACCGTTTCAATGCCTTCCAAGAACTCTCTCTCTTTTTGTAGGTTATGTATGTTTATTTATTTTTAAAATTTTATATATATATATATATATATATATATATATTATAATTAAAACAAGAAGATAAAAACAACTATATAAATTGTTACCTGAGTATTAGCTTCGGTGACGGAAGGAGGGTTGACGGCATCGGAACAAGCTTTCTTGTACCTTTCAATTGTTCCCCTCACACTAACAAGATCGAGAGAAAAAAAAACATTAGATGTATATATAGTAGGAAATTCTTGATTAATTAGAGTTTCGAAATGTTTTTTTTTCCAGAAAAGGGAAGGCTTTGTTTGGAGTTTGGACCAATTTCTGACCAGTACGAGGAGAAAATTTATTCAAACGGTACTATAAATTTATTCAAACACATGACTTGAGTAGATTCACAAGATATTATAAATAAACAATGGCCCAAAGTTAAGGATAAAATATATATATACGTGTAAATATTATGGTTTAAAAATTGGTAATTAGGTTTTGAGGAGGATTCATTACATGTATCGTGTATATGATTCAATGTCATCATGAATGAAGCTCAGAATGCCAGAGATTCTAATTGGCTCGTACCATTTTAATTTCCGACACTTCTCTGAGTTCTCTCCCTCTCATTGATATATCAATGCAACAAATATACATACATACATATATATATATATATACACCCTAAACAAAAATAAAAGAGACTAAATCTTTAATTTCATTATTTGTATAATTTTACACTTGATGATTGATAAAAATGTGTTAAACAAAGTCATCTGTGTGGTTATTGTTTTTTACGACTTTTTGTTAGACAAAGTCACCCTAAACAAATATACATAGTGTTAAGTGTTTTAAAAAGAGGGTTGAAAAACTTCAGCATATAATTAACTCAAATCTTCGTTTCATTTGGGTTGGGATTAAATGATGAAATGGATCCCTAGTGACAACTCATGAGTAGACTTTGTCCCTAGTTTCACCAGACAGAAGGTTACATAAGTCTTGATCATCCCCTATTTATATGTATACATGCTAAATCGTGTCAAGAACCCAATTTTTTAACAGAAGTAAACCCTAATCACAATTTGAATAAGGAAATTTGATAGGCCGTCAAAATTAAAGTACATTGTAGAAACTGACATGCATCGGGTTCAAATGATTTGCAGAAAAAGAGTGAAACCAAGGAGAAAGCAAAATCAGAATTTGAGAAGACAAGACAACTTTTTCTTCTTCTTCTTCTTCTTCTTACATTTGCATACATATACACACTTACACACACACATATATATATATATATATATATATATATATATATATGTAAAAATAGAGAGAAAGGGAGAGAGAGTACCGTTAAATCTAGCTAGAGAGATATTAAATAAATCAACAAATAAAATCTGGGATTCTAAATTAACAAAACCCTAATCTTGGCTCTCAATCCCACTTCCGCATCATTTTAATTAACTAGGATCTTGTTTAGTTAAATCAAGAAAGCAAGATCAAGAAGCTAGTGTAGGAGAAGCGTACCTGTTGTTGGCGTACTCATAGAGACGGCCACGAGTGGAGAAGATGACGAGGGCAACTTCGGCATCACACAAGACAGAGAGTTCATAAGCTTTCTTGAGAAGACCATTGCGTCGTTTGCAGAAAGTTACTTGACGATTTGTTGTGTTCTCTATCCTCTTTATCTCTATTTTCCCTCTCCCTATCTTCTTGCTACTCTCTCCGTCGTGACTACTCCCACCTTCCTCCATTGATGATTGATCCTACGACATCATCAAATGAAAAAAAAAAAAAAGAGTTTAGAGAGAGAGAGAGAGAGTCTAATCTTGATTATCGAATCCCTTTTGCAGATCAAGAATAATCAAGAAATAGATCAAACCCATGATCTGGTAAAGAATCATGTATGGAATTGAAAATAAAGAAACTTTGATCACAAAACTTTGGGGTTTAAGGGTTCTTATACTTTATAATGATCAAATCTCTTTGTTGATAAGCAATAACCAAGAAGCATATCAAACCCATGAATTGGTAACATAAGAACCAGAGACTGAATTGAGAAAGAAAGAAACTGTGATCATATATAAATCTTTTTATTTTTAGGGTTAATCTATATATTCACAACCTTACCTGAGTTCGATCAAGATTATGATAGATCAGCAAAAAAGGAGAAGGTGGGTGATGAGAAACTTTGAAGAGAAACTATATATTATTATTTATCTCAGTACCACTTAACTGCTGCTTCTGCTTTTCTAATTATGTTGTTCTTGAAAAATATCTCTCTTTCTTTTTGTAATTTCTGTTTTAATTGGTTTATGAGTTTCATATATTTGAAGGAATATTTCTTTGAAGGTAATAAGACCCTACTTGCTGAAAACAGAAGGTTATTAGTTTTTCTTTGTGCTCAAATATATTTATACACAGAAGAAAAAAAGAAAAAAAAATGGACAGATCATCTAACAATTGTCCAAACAACACATACTCAACATACCTAGAAACTCACACTTTTTTATTCTTTATACATGCATATAAATAGATATGGATATCTATAAGTGAGATGTGTATTTTCTTTTTACAGAACTAGAAATTTGAAATTGAAGGGGAAACTAATTAAATGATTAATAATAAGAAAGGAAAAAAAAAAAAAAGAAGAGAAGAAGAGAAGAGTAGGTGGAGGACATTGAAGGAGGACCATCCAATTTCTTTCATGGGAAGGGGAAAAAGGAGAGGGATGGGCTCTGTTTCTCATCAGAACCATCTTTTGGAAACTCCTTATTTTTGGTAATCTTTCTCACCTTTTCTCTCTTCCTTTTTTACCCTTCTGCATTAACATTAGATGCTCTTATAGATCTCTATCTATCTATCTATCTGTGTTTATTTACAACAACCATATTCAAATTTATACCACAGTCTAGAATGGGTATGTGAATCAAGCCAAACCAAAGGCAAGTCTAACCGAAACCAAATGTCTTTTCTAGCGTTCATGAAGATGTTTTTGATAATCACTTGTACTGTTGAAGAATGAAGTTAACGATCGACCCCTCGTTTGCAAGAAATACAAACTTGAGCAAGAACCCGAAAACATAAAATCAAGTTTTACTTAAACAAAACAAAAAACGTTAATACATCGATAAAAAAATGTTTTGCTTTAAAAAATGTTTTTAAGGTCACAAATTACAAATATCGCAACTCTTGACGAAAGTTGGAAAATATCGCAAACTTCAGGTTAATGAAGGATTCATGAATCACTTAGGATATTTTCCTCAAATTTTAGAAATCTTTTGTAAACCAAAAGTTTATGGTAATTTTGGAATAAAAAAGAAAAGAAAAATGGACATATTTGAAGGGATTTTTTGCGTGGGGACATATACATTTAATACTTCTAACGTGAGGACATATTTAATTTCTTTCATATATGTAAATACGCTATACACAAATGTACCAATGATGAGAATTCACAATAATCTAAGTGAATTAAATTGTAAAAATAAATGAAAATTTAAATTATTCATGAGAGAGTCGATGCCAAGATACACGCATAGAGACGTAGGTGTGGTATAATATGGATATATGATGACAGGGACTTGCATGTGAAACTTGCCTCAACTTCTCCTAGTACCTGAATCCTTTATGGGAAATAGGGTATAAGTAGTTGTTTATTGTGCTTTAGTCCTTCATCTTCATTTTTCTTATTGTTTTGAGCCCTCTTTAACTTTTTGGATTTCGAATCTTGCACTCTCTTAGTTTCATTCTCTACAAGAAAAAATCCAGACCAAATAAAATCATATTAGTCTTTTCTTTTGCGTGGGTCCTCGAGTGACAACAAGTAACAACTATGATAAGACATCTAGTTTAAATCCTGAGTATCTAGACATCGCTCATGATTCAAAATTGTTGAACATATATAACCGTCAATTTCAAATATTTATAAATATAAACTAAACTTAATGTAGTATTAAACGATTATTTAACAGATTATTTGATTTCTTTGTTCATAATTAAAATAATAATTTTAAGATGAGAATTCATATGTGAATAGGCTACTTTTACGCTTAAAAAGACAATTCCGAGGAATTTGACAATGATATTATACTATCTATGAGGTGGTTAATCTTATCGCACAAAAGAAAGATTATACTACTAAAATACGTACCTAATCTTCCGTGAAAATTTTGTCCATATATATATATAGAAACATTGAATCTTGATTATGAGGTTAATTATTCCATTTATTGAGATAATATTATAGGCAAGATTTTCCGTATAAAGATTTGTGTCTTAGTGAATAAGTAATTATAATGACATGCATGTTAAAGTTAAACGTGTGAATTAGAATTGCACTGAAAGCAAACTTGAGAACTTGATATGAATAATAATCATCTTTAAAAGACCAATTTGACACTTTGGATGGCAAAGCTAAGTATTATGTTGTGTTTGCATTGTTTCTGGCATTGTCAAAACCTCGTCAAGTCCATTTTGTTTTCTCTTTTCTCTGTGGCAGATCTCACTAGTCCAATTTAGATTGCATTGCAGAATTTATAGATAACAGATTGGGGGAGGGATATAAAATCAAAACAAATAAAAAGAAAAATAAATGATGAGACGACAACTTAATGAGGGAACAAGAAATTAAGGAATCCAACAAATGGTGACTAATCATACGTATTGTCATAATCATCCACAACCCTTTTCACAGTTCACATTAACTATTCGTTTACAAATGGAAACTCTCTTTGTTCCATACCTCCTTGCCTTTCGTTGTAATTAGTAACTAGATCATAACCCGCACGTACGTGCGGGGTTTCATATTTTAAAAAATTTCTAACAAATTTTAATTCAGTATAGATTATTTTGTTGTTTTTAACTTTTTATGATATATATTTTAGTGTATTAGATCTGGATCCATGTACGTGTAGAGATATTTTTATAGAAATCGTTATATAGATTTTTAAAATATAAAATATTTTGTTGTGTTAGTGCTAATATAAACAAAAACTAATGGCATTTTTGTAATACTTTACATTTTATAAGATTATTTATGTTTGAGTGCTTCCCAATTAATAATATAGATTGCAACTTATCTTATATTGTGCCAAGTCGTTTCAAACATTTGGAAGTACTTATTTTTGTCTGATCTTTGCGGGAAAAATATGGTTATTTCGACCAGCTAGTAATATCTCTAGTTTAATTTCTGTTAGGTGCAAGTTTAAAGTCATTTAGAAGTACTCTATCGGGTAATAAGCTCTCGGTTTAATCATTGGAAAAATAAAATAAAAAACTGACCACTGCTGAATAAAACTTCCGGTTAATTTTTATGCATAATAAGTTTATCTAAAATCTTGAGATTCCAATTCTTTTGATAGGGAAAAAATGAGAAATCTTATTTTTAAAAAAATCACATTTAAGTACTTCTTTCAAAATCTTCTTTAAAAGTGTTTTAAATAAAAAACACAGAAATGAAAAAATGACTTTGAAACAAAAGTAAAGATTTGTAAAGAAAGACCAAATGATAATCAGATCTTCTTTGCATCAGTTTGACCTTTTTGTTTTGGGTCTGTTGGAGTAGATTCTTTATTTTACTATCTCACTCAAAATTCTGCCTGATGATCTTGAATAACGTGTATATAAGAATGTTTATGGATTCCAAATTGATTCATGACACAAAGAACAAACTTACCTCGATGCCGATTTTTGTTCTTTAATTACTATATGATCCAGACTCCAGATAGAATGATAGTAGTATAGTACAACTGCAGAAACTGTAGAGGGGACTACATGCTAAAGCGTGATGTACCTAGAAGCTTTTGCCAACATTGAAATGTTCAAGAACAGATCTTCGAGAAGCAAGCTTAATTAGATGTATACATCAATGTAACAGCATAAGTTATATACCATACTTTCATACTCCTTATGTTTTCATCTTCTTTGTTTCTTTTGGTGTTGTACTACCTAAACAAGGCAATGATGCACAGCAATTCATTCCAAGTAAGGCATTATCACCAAATAATTCATAAAACACACAAGGGATGGTTCAAACAATTACAAGGTTATATACCCTTAGACTCCTAGATTAGTGATTTCCTAATTTGCTGGCCTGCAAAGAAAATCTTTAACATAATTTAAGCCATCTTGCATTGGCAGCAACTTGGGGATCTTATGGTTCTTCATTGGATACTCCTCTATGGGTGCTACCCGCTTATTTGTAGTTCCAACGTTTATTATGGACGAAGATAAACTTGACCCATAGAAGGACGTTAGTTGCTCGCTGGGGTTGATGAAAGACAATTCAGAACAAGAGTTGTCAAATGAACTTTGAGGCCAAGGAGCCTGTGACCGTCTAGTAGAATCTGCGCACGAGAAAGGCAATCCGAAAGATGGTTTTCTAGCATCAGGTAGGAGACCAATATCAACATTGTTGTAATTAGATGGAAAAGGTAGTTGTTGCTGGCTGAATGTGAAACTGTTTGGTAGCCCTAAACCAGATCCATGGAAGTTGAGATCCTTATCAGACAATGGAAGAGACGCGAGCGAGCAACATGGATTCAGGATTGATTCAGGAACTACATATGCTCTGGATTGAGAAGCCAAGCTGACATGTGGTTCACGAAACAAAGGAAAGGGATCCTTTGAAGTATCACGTAGCAAAGCTCTGTTGCAATTCTTATCCAATGTTGAGGTTGAATGACTCATTGAAACCTCAAGTGTTGTCCTTTGACATAGCCAGCTCTGGTGAGTATGGCTCCACAGAGAGGAATAATCTATAGAAGCATCCGGTGCTATGAACCTATCGCCCGTTCTTGTGCTGACAGAAACATCCTGACCCATCAGCCGCATTGTTGCTTGAGTGTTTTGTAAACACAAACCATCACGCTTTGAAATCACCTTTCCACTATTTAGGTTCTGTTTGACACAACTCTGTTTTGACATATTGATTGTGTGGCTCCTTGGATTGACTTCAGAAACCGATGAATGTACAGTGTAGCCGCACTCTCCATCATTAGTGTTTGTGAAATATGCTTTCTCTGTAAAGGTCTCATCAAGGCCTAACCTAGCAGGAAAGTACTTGTGGCGTTTCTCATTACGAGCTGCACTGTCTTTGGCAAGTGCTGGCTCAGTTGAATGCTTCTTTTCACTGGAAAAGTCCACTAAATTTCCAAGTAAAAAATCATTCCCTGCAGATGCAGATTTAGAGGAACTAGTACATAAACCTGACCGATCAAAACTTCTACAAGCCTCTCCATTTGCGTCAACTAGTTCACCCTCTAAATTTAGAGGGAACCCTAAGATTGCCTCTCCCACATGCCTTTGTCTATATAAAGCTTCTTTTTGCATCCATTCGACAAGAAGTGGATCAAAAGGTGATTGGTACAGCAATGTCCCGCGGTGCATATCAGCTGACACAGGTTGAGAAAAAGAAGGACAAGCTCTGTACGGACTCTCACTCGAAGTAGAGATAAACGATTGAATAGGTTGAGCAACATGTTCCTTTCTCTCCAAATCCAATGCATCCTTTACTCTTTCCTGTAAACTAAGCTGTGGTCCAAGGAAACAAGACAAGTCAGATTTTGAAACCGCAGGCTGAAACTTGTATTGTTGCCTTGTTTCGAAATGCATAACTGTACTAGTCTGATCAGTCGACATAACCTTCACTTGCTTGTCATTTACAGATGAGTGATTCTTCCTCTGAAAATGATTTCCAGAGAGACTCAACCTATTCATTTCCAAACAGCAGAGTTCTAAAGAGACAGTACTTTTCTCCAGCTGAGAAAGATTTCCAGCGTGATCAGAGAAACTCACATGAGTTTTTGACTTATCAGGACTCCTCACAAAGCAAACTTTTCGTTTTGCCTTAAAAATTGCAGGAATCTGAAACTCAAAATCATGATCGTTACTGACTAATCGAGCCTTGTTGCTACAAAGAGACATAACACCAGAGCATTCTTTAATCCCAAGACTGCATTTTCCAACATGATCCACTTTTTGTTGAGCTTGTTCTTTGCATTGATTAACCTGAATATACTGTGACACCAATTCACTAGTGTTAGTTTACACGGATGCTTCACATAACATACTAATGAACTAATGCAAAGCCAGTGTAACATAGAGAAGCTCCAATTGATTTAGAAAATCTCCACATATTAGAAGGTTTTGTAATTTGCTATCCTTTTAAGTATTGAGTATCGAGTTTAATCCTAGACAAAATAAGATGACCAAACTTGTCCAGAGATCTAAAATAAGCTTCATAGATTTAAAAGTTATATGTATATGACCTTGTTAGCAAATTCCCGATGGCCGGAATCTTTGGATTTCGTGGTTTTGATCTTCTTGTGCACCACATGATCTTCTGCTAACTGGATTTTCGGTGCCGTGGTACAAATTTCGATGATGGAACGCTTTTTACACGGTTTAGACTTTGCTTTGGCCTGATGAGAATCATCAACAGAGACCGGAGATTTCGTAAGCAGAGAAGCTAGCTCATGCGACCACCACCGGAACTTGGAGACAGTAATCGGAGGAAGAAACGACTGAATAAGATCTCCGGCGAACGGCCAGCATTTCCGCACGTTTTCACTCCTTACCTTCTTCGTGTACTCTCTGCGGATTTCGCCAGATGAGAAAATTCAAAATCGCCATTAAGGCATCACATTAAAACCAAAATCAAAGCTACCTAAAGAAATATGAACATTCACCTGATAGAAAATCCACCGTAATCAACCTCCATGGTTCATACAAAGTCGAGGGAAAATCGATTTCTTGAGAAGAGAACGGTCAAGGAGATGAAAGAGAAAGTTTAGATGGACAGAGATGAGAAAATAAAAAGGTTTCCCGCTCAGAGAGTCTCTCTCTCTAATGGCGCTTTTACAGCTTTTTATGGAATTAATTTAATTTTATTATTTAATGGAGATGAAAGCGATAGAGGAGACGGCAACGGAACCAAAGCGTAGAGGCTGAGTTAATTTCTTAACCATTAACCATTAGACCCAACAACTAGGACGTTCTAGTATATCTGTAAATATTTAAAATGGTCAGAGCTTAGTGTATCTACATTTCTCAAAAAGTCAAAATCTACTGATTCGATTTGACGTAAGACTGAAAGTACTCCACTGATTCAAAAAAAAAGGACGACTCGATTTGACCTCATCTTATTTTCTACAAGACACTCCTTTACACTCCTACAGCTAGTACTACCTTTTTATCGGCTCGAGGTCTTCTTATTCTTATTTTTCACGCAAGAAAAAAAACAAGTTTAAATATAATAACGTCTTAAACTTATTCAGATACTACTAATTACACTAAATCACTCAAATTAGCTCAGAGATCTCATTATTTTATTTCTCCACTGCATAATAATTATTATACACACCACCATATTCATTCTGGTTAAGAAAAAACAGTCATGATGTCATATAGATACAAAGACCGACCTAAAAAGAATTTGACAGTGTTTTCCTCAGGCAATTAAAGAAAAACAAACCCAAAGCTCTTGGAGTCCGTCATCTCGCGAATGAGCCTGATGAACGGTTACTTCCGGGATTCACATAATCTCGCTTTGTAAACAATCTGATTCTTGGAATGCATCTTCCTAGCATCACCTGTTTCGTAATCAGTAATCAAACCGTCTCAGAAACTTTAAATATTAAAGGGAGTGTGTGTCTGTGAGAGAAAGAATGAGTAACAACAACCTTCCAGCTCCTTTTGCTTGCAATTCGATCACTTATCAACTCCAAAATAGAGATGATTTCTCGAAACGTTGGTCTTTTTGATGCTTCTTTGTCCCAACAATCCTGGATTAGCCTGGCAAATAGAGAGAGATTTTAAGACTCTCAGAGAGGAGCCATGAATGAATGTTGTTTCAAAAACAGGATACTTTTTCGAAACACTTACTCTCTTAACCCGAAAGGATATGATTTTGTTGGTGCATTGAATGGTGGACGTTCATCTTCAATATATGCTTTAGGAACTTCGCTTTCTTCTATCTCATGAAATGGTTCACAACCTTCTATCATCTGTTAAGTTTGTTAACACTCTGAACATCATACTTAAGATTAATGGTGTAACACAATACTTTATTATGAAGTCTCATTTCGGTTGCTTTACCTCTTGCAAGATCAAAGCGAAAGAAAATACATCTACTTTTGTATCATACTCTTCGTTTCTGTAAACTTCTGGAGCCATGTACCGCCCTGCTTATCCAGAACGACAACAGATAGTAACATCAGCATAAACCCATCCAAAACAACCATTAGATTGGTTGCAGTCTAGCTTTAGATAATAAAACACTAAAGCTAACAGCTCTAAGCTGGCTCAAGACAGTAACATCACAACTCTGACAGAGCACCATTATTAGATTATCAGGTAAGAGAACTTACAAGAACTGTCCAATGATGTAACAGGTCTGTCTTTTTTAACTGTCTTCTTAACTACCAGTAGCTTGCTGACTCCAAAGTCTGCAACTTTCAGATGTCCCGAATCATCCCTCAGTATGTTTCTGTTCTCTTACTCGAACAAATGAGAATCTTTTGGATTTTTTGGATATATGAAACATAGTACAATAGAAAAATTGTTTAATGAAATAAATTATACTGATACACTCAAGAGGAATACATACGGAGGTTCTAGGTCGCAATGGATTATTGCTTCAGGTTTATTCTCGTGCAAATAATTCATTCCCCTGCAAATATATGAAGGGATACCATAGAGATAATCAGAAGCTACAACATCAGAATTCATGAACCTGCATGACAATGAGGAAAATATAAAAGTACAGAAAATAGCCACTTAACCTAGCAATTTCAAGGGCGAATTTCACTGCGTGCGCTGGCATTAGAGGTCCTTTCCTGTCTAGATATTGTCGAAGATCCCCCTACAAATAAACACATAATAATTTAATACTTAGAAGCATAGCTTTTTATGCAGTGAGATATGATACAGAGCAGTTTGCAGAGGTGAAGATCTAAACATCTTCAACAACAACTAAACATCAAAGCCATTCTTCATGTCATATCTAACCAACTGTCGAGGTAACCAAAGGACTTGCTCAAAACATTGTCGGTTTATTTTGTAAGCTTCTTGAGATCCTCTCATCCCAATATTTCCAGAATGTTTATAGGATTCCAACTGCTAGTGTTCATGATGGATCTCGAAACTAAGATGAGAATTTGTAAATATAGAGAGGTCATACATCCTCTGAATGTGGTTATACAGATTGAGAAAGAATAGTACCTTTGGTAAATACTCTGTGACAATCATCATGGGGGTACTTTGAGTAACTGCTCCCAGAAACTGGACAACATTCGGATGGCGTATCTTTTGAAGCAGTGCAAGTTCGTCCCTAAACGCATTCCTGGATACCAGAAGAATATTAAAAACCTTTAGAGCATGATTAATACAATAATACAAAGAAATCGATGGAGTGTAGACTCACACTTTGTCTTCATCAGTGAACATTTCCTCTCCAAAGGTTTTCACAGCCACGTCAATTCCACGCCATGAAGCCTTGTGAAAGGTACCCTGTAAAGCAGACAGACAGTAATAACAACTGTGAACATACCATAGCAGTTGTTGGGAAAAGCCTAATACTCGTTTTTTTATCAAATTAAAACTTTTACTAAAGATTTTTGGACCTGAAGCAAATGAAAACAGCAACAAACAAGTTTGGGCAAGGGAAGTACTTACCTTTGAAATTTTGACAGAGTTAGAAAAATCAAGCTCTGAAGGATGAATCTCGTACTCTGGAACTTCTTTATCAGTTAGGACATGCATAGGAGCAATCTAAAATCAGAAACGATTATAAAAGAAATCAATCAAAACATTCAGAAAGTATAACATCCATCAACGCAATTATGAGGGATAAACACATACCGTAGGCTTAGCACCATGTTTCTCCAACAGTTTAATCACTTCATGATTTTTGTAATACACTGCATCTGCAAGAGGCTGGTAAGATCAATCACAAATTGTTAACCATCACTATTATTGCAACCGAGTTTGCTAAATAAATCTAAGTGCTCCACTAAAACATATGTTTTGTGCGGCAATTCGTCGAACACGTAACGAACTATGAAGTTTACGAGAAGTCAAGTCAACCAAAGGTCCAAAGCAAACAAAATTCAGCCCGGAGAAAGTTCAAATTCATACCGTACTACCCCATCGGTCCTTCGTATTAACCTTAGCACCACGGCTAAGCAGCAGCTCAACGACATCGGTTCGTCCCTGACAAGCGGCGACGTGAAGAGCAGTACGACCATCAATGTCACGGTAATCAACATTAGTACCCGAATCAAGCATCTTATTGATGCCATCGATATCACCTTCGTTGGCTAAATACATAAGACGAATCGTCGGATCCACGATCCCAGCTGTAGCCGCCGCCAACTCGTCGTCCTCATCTTCCGTTAACGTCTCTATGGGGGTTCTTGATTCCGGCGCAAGCGAAGATTGCCTCCCTAGCTTGAATCTCGCCGGCGATTTAGGCTTAATCGTCATGTTCGTTCAACAGAGGAGGACTTGGTGCGATTTTTCTGCCGCAAGCAATATGAGCTGTAAATGGAACTGTAACGGCAGCAACAGAAAAAAAGAAAAGTAAGAAAGAAAAAAAAGAACCAATCAGCAGGCTTTAAGGGTTTGCCTCTTAATGCGGGTGAAGTATCATACTCGTTTTCCTCCTCCTACTCATCATCATACTTCAATTTTTTTATTAAAAGGCTAATTGCTTGTGCACCCAAAAAAAAAAAAAGGCTAATTGCTTTTTTCCTTTTCTTCTTTTTTGGACATAACTTTTTTTCCTTTTTTCAATGAACAATTTAACTGAACAAACAAATAAATTTGATTAGTGCAAAAGCAAATGGTACAAAAGGAGTAAGACAAAAGTGTGAGTGGAGGTTTAAATGTTATAATAACTTATGAAATCAAATTATTGAATCACATTAAATTTCAAAGATATTTTGGAAACAATTTGAGCCAGTCAGTTAATAGTAAAAACTATACAAATGCATTAAATTTGCAAACATAACAATGTGTTGTGAGAAGTGACCTCGGTCTAGTAGCGTTCATAAGTCCATCAAAAACTGACATTACTTCATGGGTTTTTAAGTTTCCTCTCATACAATAGAGTTAATTGGGTTAATGGACTGGCCCGTTGTGACCCAATAAAAGAAAAAAAAAATGTAATATGAATTAAATTTATCTAGACTGTTTAGACGACTGGGTGTATAAACATACTGGTGAATCTTTGTGCTAAGTATATAAATATAAATTTCCATATGTTCATAAATTTTAACTGCAAGATATTTGACCGATGAATGATTTTAGAACGATATAGAAATCGACTAACGTTTTAAACACCTAATCCATTTCGGCATTTCCCCTTGTTCTTTCTATTGTCATGAGCCCAAGCAAAAAAGAGCTAATGGGCCGACCAATATACTTTAAGGAAATTAAATTTCTCAGTTTGAGACCAAATAAGTTGGCCCATTATCGAATAGATATTACTTATTTAGCAATCCGAGGACGCCAATCAACTTCTACTCGATCCACATAGCGTCTGAAAGTCACTCGCTCGTGTTATTAGACACGTGGAACTCTCGTTGAGCGAGTAGTCTACACCGTCCTTCGCGGGTAGATTACAGAAACGAAAGTCTTAAGTCCCAGGATAAAACTGACAGATAAGCCTCTTTTAGACTTTCCATTTTAGTTTTGACGAAGAATACTATCCGTCGATCCAAGCTGAATAATCTTATCACCGTTGATCTTTGGATAAACAATAGATCCGTTTTCAAAACTCTTACCCGCAGAGAATAAAAATCTCAGCTACTACCAAAATTAGGAAATTCAGGATACAAAAGCCAAGTCACTTACCGAAAGATTGTTTCTTCTTCTTCTTCGCTTCCTTTCTTTGAAATTGAATTCAGATATTTTTTTATTTTTTTTTTTGAGGGGAAAAATGGAGATTTCGCAGAGAGTGAAAGCTCGATTAGCTGTTCTCACCGCGCATTTGGCGGTGTCTGATACCGTCGGATTGGAACAGGTGTTACCGGCGATCCAGCCATGGTGCACATCGGCTCACATTACCGCTGCACCGCATGGATCGCTTAAAGGAAATTTGACGATCGTCGATGAGCGTACTGGGAAGAAATATCAGGTCCCTGTCTCAGAGCATGGTACCGTTAAAGCCGTTGATCTCAAGAAGGTATATAACGGAATTGTGAAATCGATTATTGATGACCTTGAGTTATTGATGTTTGTTATCTGAATTTTGATCCGTCTTACCTATATTTCCCTGAATCTGAGAAGGAATTTGATGGATTTGCATGTTTGGTGTGCAGATAACGACGGGGAAGGATGATAAGGGGCTGAAGTTGTACGATCCTGGTTACTTGAACACGGCTCCGGTTCGATCTTCGATTTGTTACATCGACGGAGATGAAGGAATCCTACGTTATCGGGGATACCCAATTGAAGAATTGGCTGAGAGCAGTACTTTCATTGAGGTTGCTTATCTCCTCAGTAAGTCTTGATCCTCTCGTTGCTTATTCTTGTTGTTGCTTATTTTACTTTTAGGGGTGTATACTTGTGGAAAAGCAAATGTTTGATCATAGGTATTGGATAGAAATTTATCATCTTGAAAATGGTTTCTCCCTAGTGTCGTGTTGAAATACCCTTCTTTTTTCTGCAGTGTATGGAAATCTGCCTTCTCAAAGTCAGCTAGCTGATTGGGAGTTTACGGTTTCTCAGCATTCAGCTGTGCCACAAGGAGTCTTGGTGAATTTCTACTCTTTCGTTATTTGGATTTTCATACTAGTGCAAATTCCAAACTTTTTATCAAAATGTAAATAAATCTCAAACCAAATAGGGATTTCGAAAATGATTTCTTGTGAACTACAAGTTGTATGTCAAGTCCATGAAGGATACTGGATCTCTTTCAACTATTAGTGCCTTATGTCTTACTCACCGTTGTGAATATGATTATGTGTACATGTTTAGTAAAAGAACTTTCTTTGGATCTTTGACCTGAGACTGTTTCTGAATGTTTTCGCAGGATATCATACAGTCCATGCCTCATGATGCACACCCAATGGGAGTTCTTGTGAGTGCCATGAGTGCACTTTCTATCTTTCATCCTGATGCAAATCCTGCTCTTAGTGTAAGTTGTATAATCCTGTTTTTTTCGTACTGTTAAGATGTCTTTTTTTCTGAATATGTCTATGTCAACTCGATGTTTGTGTTCTTCATTTCACGGAAATTCTCATTGGGTGCAGGGCCAAGATATTTACAAGTCAAAACAAGTTCGTGATAAACAGATTGTTCGTATTCTCGGAAAGGTATTGTTCTATCTGTTGATGGTTTGTTTCCTTAATGTATCTGTGATTTAGTTGCGGGACTAGTAAAAGCTTTACAACGTGTTTGCAGGCACCAACAATTGCAGCGGCTGCTTATTTGAGGACGGCAGGCAGGCCTCCTGTTCTTCCTTCGGGCAACCTTTCTTATTCAGAGAATTTCCTCTATATGCTGGATTCAATGTACTTCCTCTATCTTTTCTCTTTGTTTGATTAAACACTTGCATTTGAAGAGGGTAGTCATAAAACTTGTGTTGCTTTAGTCAGTTTAGATCTGTTTCAAGCTTCAAACGTGTCTGTAACAGGATACATTCTTTAATCTTCCTTTGATTACAGGGGCAATAGGTCTTACAAGCCTAATCCTCGTTTGGCTCGAGTGCTGGACATCCTCTTCATACTGCATGCTGAACATGAAATGAACTGCTCTACTGCTGCTGCTCGGCATCTTGCCTCTAGGTACTTATCACTGATTAGAGATATTCATTTAAACTTCTATGAGAGTGTTTAAATCAGTAGTGTTTCTGCAGTGGTGTTGATGTGTACACCGCTTGTGCTGGAGCTGTTGGAGCGCTTTATGGTCCACTTCATGGTGGCGCGAATGAGGCTGTGCTTAAGATGTTAGCAGAGATTGGAACAGCTGAAAATATTCCAGATTTCATTGAAGGCGTGAAGAACAGGTAACTCAATGTTTAAGAACTACGATCACCAAGTAATCTGAATTGTAGTGAGTCATGCCAGTAATGTTATATCCCTTTTCTATGTTCTCAGAAAGAGGAAGATGTCAGGTTTTGGACATCGTGTTTACAAAAACTACGACCCCCGAGCAAAAGTCATAAAAAAACTGGCAGATGAAGTGTTCTCCATTGTTGGTAGGGATCCTCTCATCGAGGTACTGTAGATCCTTGTGCCCACGTATCTCTCCTAGTATATGGTTTGTCAAAAATTTCTTATATAAGATGACTGTGGTTTAAAAAATATTTGACGGATGATGTTTTCAGGTAGCAGTTGCTCTAGAGAAGGCGGCACTCTCTGATGAATATTTTGTTAAGAGAAAGCTGTACCCAAATGTTGATTTCTACTCTGGATTAATCTACAGGTAAGACATTTCTGACAAAAACCCTGTAACCATTAAGTTCTTTACCTGAATTTTGTGTTGGTAATTGAAATGGGAAAAAAACACAGGGCAATGGGATTCCCACCAGAATTCTTCACAGTCTTATTCGCAGTCCCGCGTATGGCTGGATACTTGTCACACTGGCGTGAGTCGTTAGATGATCCTGACACTAGGATCATGAGACCCCAACAGGTAAAATACATTACATAAACTCATGCATTAACATACACTCTTTGTTCGGTGAATGATGGCTCAAATAAAGGTTGTTTGGCTTATGGGTAGAACATGACTTCTTTGATAGATCAAATATTTTTTGTTTGAGCTCATTGTTTTTGTGGCTGCATATAGGCCTATACTGGAGTGTGGATGAGGCATTACGAGCCAGTGAGAGAACGAACATTATCAAGTGACTCGGGAACGGATAAGTTTGGTCAAGTTTCCATTTCGAATGCATCAAGAAGGCGTTTGGCTGGATCATCTGCCCTTTAGTCTCATTCCTACAACACACCAATAAAGAAGAAAACATTGGGATACCTCTGGGAAAGTAAGAGAGTCTCCTCAACAACATGTGTTGTTTTCTTTCTCTTATAATTAAACACTTAATAATAATACACCCTATTCTTATTGTTTGTCTGTTATTTTAAAATTTATGATTTATTAATAATAACAATCTTGTTATAGGGAAAAAGACATGTACTTTTTCTTTATCAGGAAAGTTCGTTCTAGAAGAAGATCTTCTTATTACTGTTAGTATAACACATTGCTTTAGTTCTAAAAATTTATATTTTAACACATTGATTTGGAAAAAGTTAACTAAACACCAAATCATATCCTTTAGGATTGACTGAATATTATATTTTTAGAGTACTGGATATGTTATGCAGATTCCAAGTGATGATAACAACAAGCTATCCATTCATTCAACATCATATGACAAATTTTCTCCTCAAGATAAGTCCCCACAAAATTAGCGTAGATCGAAATGATTTATTTGCACACTATTTATAATTTGCCTGAAGTTTTCCTCTCATTTTGTATTATTGCCACTAATATTTCCATTTAAAATTTAGGAAAACAATCGTGAGAAGTGTGAACAAATATACAAAAGTGAAAAAAAAAAAAAATTTTAAAAAAAAAAAATACAAAAGTGGTGTTAAAAAAAAACAAACTCTGGAGTACTTGACACTTAACAAAAAGAAGTAAGATACAACCAAAAAAACACATAACTGTCACAAACACATACTTAAAAATGGTTAAAAGCCACAAAACTCTGACTGAAGACAAAAGACAAAAGAAGACACTGTAGGTTCACGCCAATCATACCCACAAAAGTATTAAGACAGAAGTGTTACGTAATGTAACTAATTATTTTCACTTTAAATTATCAAATTGCGCGCACTATAAAACCATGTCTATTTATCAATTTCAACTACAGTCAGTTTCTTATACGCATCCTTTCTTGAATTCTGAGTTTTTTGAGGTGAAAAATGGAGATTTCGGAGAGTGCTAGAGCTCGATTAGCCGTTCTCAAGGCGCACTTGACCGTATCTGAGCCGACTCAGGTGTTGCCGGCGATCGAGCCATGGGGCACATCGGCTCACATTACCGCTGCACCGCATGGATCGCTTAAAGGAAACTTGACTATCGTCGATGAGCGTACTGGGAAGAAATATCAGATCCCTGTCTCAGAGCATGGTACCGTTAAATCCGTTGATCTCAAGCAGGTATATATATAACGAGTCTGAAGTCATTTCTTCACTTGTCTATTGTGTGTGTGTAAATGGATTTGCATGTTTGGTGTGCAGATAACGACAGGGAAGGATGACAAGGGGCTTAAGTTATACGACCCTGGTTACTTTAACACGGCTCCTGTTCGATCTTCGATTTCTTACATCGATGGAGATGAAGGAATCTTACGTTATCGGGGATACCCAGTCGAGGAGTTGGCTGAGAGAAGTACTTATACAGAGGTTACTTATCTCCTAAGTAAGTCTTGATCATCTTGTAGTTTCTTCTTGTTGCTTATTTTACTTTTGGGACGTATACTTGTGCCATAAGCAAATGTTTAATCGTAGTTCTTGAAGTTATTGTCTCCCATAGTGTTCTACTCTGCTTTTTTTTCATGCAGTTTATGGGAATCTGCCTTCTCAAAGACAGCTAGCTGATTGGGAGTTTGAGATTTCTCAGAATTCAGCTGTGCCACAAGGAGTATTGGTGAATTTCTTCTACTCTTTCCTAACTTTCTCTGGATCTTGGAGCTGAGATTATTTTTCTGAATGTTTTCACAGGATCTCATACAGTCCATGCCTCATGATGTACATCCAATAGGAGCTCTTGTCACTGCAATGAGTGCACTTTCCATCTTTTATCCTGATGCAAATCCTTCTCTTATGGTAAGTTTTATAATCCTGCTTTCTTCCTTCTGTTAAGACTTTCTGAAAATGTCCTCGCCGACATGGAAAATCCCCATTTGGTGCAGGGCCTAGGTGTTTACCAGTCAAAACAAGTTCGTGATAAACAGATTTTTCGTATTCTTGGACAGGTATATAAATGTTCTGTCTGTTGATTTGGTGTCTTGATGTGTAACCGGACTTTAAAATATAGTATAACGTGTCTACAGGCACCAACAATTGCAGCAGCTGCTTATTTGAGGAAGGCAGGCAAGCCTCCTGTTCAACCTTTGAGCAACCTTTCTTATTCAGAGAATTTCCTCTATATGGTGGAATCAATGTACGTTATCGTCCCTCTTTGTTTGATTCAACACTTGGATTTGAAGAGGGTAGTCATAAAATTGTGCACTTGATTACTCTCATCTTCCACTGATTACAGGGGAAATAAGTCTTACAAGCCTAATCCTCGGCTAGCTCGAGTGTTGGACATTATCTTCATACTGCATGTTGAACATGAAATGAACTGCTCTACTGCTGCTGCTCGGCATCTTTCCTCTAGGTACTTATCACTGGTTAGAGATTCATTTGATTTGAGTCTGCTATGAGATATTTTTTAATCAGTCCTCTGTTTATGTAGCGGTGTTGATGTGTATACTGCTGTTGCGGGAGGTGTTGGAGCCATCTATGGTCCCCTTCATGGTGGTGCAATTGAGGCTACGGTTAACATGTTATCAGAGATTGGCACTGTTGAAAATATTCCAGTGTTCATTGAAAGCGTGAAGAATAAGTTATTCAATTCTTAATACTACAAGTATCTAGAATGTCATGAGTCAATATTCCATTAGTGTTAACTCTTTTTCTTCCAGGAAGAGGAAGTTGTCGGGTTTTGGTCACCGTGTTTACAAAAAATACGATCCTCGAGGAAAAGTCGTTAAGAAACTGGCCGATGAAGTGTTCTCCATTCTTGGAAGGGAGCCTCTGTTTGAGGTACTTTAGATTCTTGTTGCTCACGTATCTTGCATGTTCCTTGATGAATGTGTGTTTTAAGAAAGATTTGGTGTTAATGTTTTCAGGTAGGAGATGCTCTAGAGAAGGCGGCACTCTCTGATGAATATTTCATTAAAAGAAAGCTTTACCCAAATGCTGATTTTTACTCTGGATTAATCTATAGGTAAGACATTGATGAGTCATCTAATGAGTTGTTGTAACCCAATGAGTTCTTTCTTTACCTGAATATTTTGTGTTGGTAATTGAAATGGGCAAAACACACAGGGCATTGGGAATCCCATCATCATTCATGGCAGTCGCACGTATTGCTGGATACTTGTCACACTGGCGTGAGTCGTTAGATAATCCTGACACAAAGATCATGAGACCCCAACAGGTAAAATGCACCTTTGATAGATCAATGACTTCAAAAAAGTTGTTTGGCTCATGAGTCATTACACATAGAAACATATACTCTTTGATAGATTAATGACTTCAAAAAGTGTTTTTGGGCTAATGGGTGTAATACCTTATACATAGATACATACACTTTTTGATAGATCATTGAGTAATAGTATTTTTTTGGCTCATGAGATTATACATTATGCATAGATACATCATACATACACTCTTGGATAGATCAATGACTTGAACAGTTTGTTTTGGCTCTTGCACTTTTTTAATAGATCAATTTTTTTTTTTTTTTTGGCACAGGTCTATACTGGAATGGGGTTAAGACATTACGAGCCAGTGACAGAAAGAACCAAGCTGTGATTCGGATTTGGATGAGTTGGGTCAAGTTTTCCATCAAGAAGGCGTTAGCTGGGTCACGTCTTAATCCTACTACTTATGTTTTTAAATCTGACCCGGAAAGCCAAACGGAAAACAAAATATATAAAGAATATACATATAAAATATAGTTGGATCAACCCGATCCGACCTCGAGTTAGTAGAATTTCAATATATATTGTACATGTACATGTGTGTGTCTATATATATAAGTTGTGAAAATATATTAAAAAAAAACAAAAATATTTGTACTATAACATGTTTTCGGAATATGATGTTTAACAATATTATAAAGTGATAAAACAGTTCAAATCTAAATTAAACCTAACGGAAACAGTAAGATAGTAGACAACAAATCAAGAAGAGATTGGTAATTGAACAAGGACATATATGCACCAATAAAGACATTGGGATACATGTGGTCAAAACAAGAGGGTCTTCTCTCAACAATATGTGATGTTTTCTTTCTCCTTATAGTTAAACACTCAATAATTTACATACTACACATCGTATTGATATTGTTTGTATGTTATTAAATTCTTTTATGATTTAATACCATATCTTGTAGTGGTTCTATAATTCATCTAACAATAATGTTGGAATATGGAAAGATATATACTTTAGATAGATATATCACCTTTATCAGGAAAGTTCTAAAAGAAGATCTTCTTATTCTTGTTAATATAACGCATTGCTTTATTAGTTCTAAAGATTTATATTTAACACATTTCCTTAGAAAAATGTCATATGGTGTTGAACGAGAGATTAATTTCTCCTCAAACATTTAGAATTTTACACAACAAAATTAGCATAGAGTTTCATACCTGAATATTCTAAATTATTTTATTTTAGAGAAGATGGGCAACAATGGGTCCAGATTTAAGACACGAAAGTCGACCCCACCATAAGTGATGAGCTGTATATTTATTTTATTTTATTTGTCCAAAATAAGTCCTTCATGTTTACGGTTAATTACACAAGAGCCCCTTTGTTTCCTCCACGATCACAGCGACGAGGTCGAGAATACGATCATCTTCTTACCCCTGTCGACAGTTCTTAAAATCAAATTTCAATTTCTCCATTGCCTTTCTCTCTTTCTCTTTGGCTTCTTCCAATCTAATCTCAGTGATTTACTTGTAAAGAAGTCGCCTTTTATAGTCTCTCGAGAGGCCCAGGTATTTCAATCCCAAATCTCACTCTTTCCTCTCAATTTCTCTCTAGTTTGATTTCTGAAGAAATTGAATCTGGGAAATTTTAGGGTGTATCCAAAAACTAGACTGATCAATTCTGAGTACAAATGGTTAGGTGTTCTGTGATCTTGATTTCGTCTTCTGGGGATCTGGGAAAAGGATATAATCCTAAAGTCGTAGACTTTGATTCAATTTTTGTCGTTCGAATTAGAAAAATTATCTAAATTCGTAGACTTTGATTCAATCTGGGAACAAATAGTGGATACCTGATGGATGTCTGTTTGGATCGTTCGAGATAAAGATCGGGTGCTTGCTTCATTAGCCTAAGATTTTCGTAGTGAAACTTAAGAATCTTTGCGTGTTCGAAATTTTGTTCAATTCTGATTAGTAAACCAGAATTTACGAGATTTTAAGGTTGATCTTTGTCGTCGATGATGCAAGTATTGTTTCGCAGCATAGAAAAACCATCCATTTGTTGTTGTTGTCTTCTCTCAATCTAGAGGAGTATTTAAAAAGTTGTTTGTGTGTTGTTTAAATGGCAGAAGATAATCCCATCTCTTTCATTTTCTGTAGTTTTGAAAGATGGCTGGCCAAAACGCGCGTTTGAATGTGGTTCCCACTGTTACAATGCTCGGGGTTATGAAAGCCCGTCTTGTTGGAGCTACAAGAGGTCATGCTCTTCTCAAGAAGAAAAGTGATGCTTTAACTGTTCAGTTTAGGGCACTTCTCAAGAAAATCGTTACAGCAAAGGAGTCCATGGGAGATATGATGAAGACATCGTCTTTTGCTCTTACTGAAGTAAAGTATGTTGCTGGTGAGAATGTCAAACATGTTGTCCTCGAGAACGTTAAAGAAGCTACATTGAAGGTTCGTTCTCGGACAGAGAATATCGCTGGAGTGAAGCTGCCCAAGTTTGATCACTTCTCTGAAGGCGAGACCAAGAATGACTTGACCGGTTTAGCTAGAGGTGGTCAACAGGTCCAAGCTTGCCGTGTTGCTTATGTCAAAGCCATTGAAGTTCTAGTTGAGCTTGCTTCTCTCCAGACTTCTTTCTTGACGCTTGATGAAGCAATCAAGACGACCAATCGCAGGGTCAACGCTCTGGAGAATGTGGTGAAACCAAAGCTGGAGAATACAATCAGTTACATCAAGGGAGAGCTTGATGAGCTTGAGAGAGAGGATTTCTTCAGGTTGAAGAAGATTCAGGGATACAAGAGGAGGGAAGTCGAACGACAGGCAGCTCATGCTAAGGAGTTTGCTGAGGAAATGGTTCTTGAAGGCATCTCTATGCAGAGAGGGATTTCGATAAACGCTGCTCGTAATTTCCTTGTTGGTGGTGCAGAGAAGGATTCAGACATCATTTTCTGAGGTGTGGGCTCTCTCTCTCTCTCTCTCTCTCTGCCTTTTGTGTTTGCTCGGTTTCTATTTTCGCCATCGCGCTGTTATTACTCTCTTCATCAGACTTATGTTTCTTCAAATAAAATGGATTTGATGTAGATGAAATATTGTATCATCTTGGATTGTGCTTTGCTATAATTTTTTTCAAGAGATTTGTGATCGTTACTGTTTTGAGTAATGATAATTCCCCTGTTTCAAGACCAAACAAACAAATGTAGAATCTTTCTTGCGCTTTCTCGATTAAAGTTACCGTTGGATATAATCATTGGTGGCTTAAGCATAGCATAGCATAGCAAGATGGGAAGGGAAGGAACTTTGTGAATCCATTTCAAGTGAGATCAATAAAGTGACAAAGCATTCGTGAAGCTTGAAACTTGGCAATCTAAATATAAACTTCAATATTAATGAAGTGAAGAGGTTTATATGAACCTTAGTTGATATATGAAGCACACTACCTTATACTATTGTATTGATTCTTCTAGATAACATCCAGTTTAAGATTTAGCTCGTGATGTGTGCATGATACTTGTTCAGGAGACAAGACATGGCATCACATACTAGGACAGATTCCTTGCTTAATATATCAGCTTTTAGGGAATCATATAAGTGGAGAAAGAATAACTCAAAGCAAGAAAAAGAATATAAACTGCATTAATACACAAACTTATCATATCCCTTATTTGTAACAAGAAAGGCCAATCATTCTCAGCTATGAACAACAACAGAAATGGCTATTCTTCTGTTCCAAATCAACCCAATTATAGTTATGATTCGGATACACGATCATCGGGTTGGCGAGTTCCTGCTTTCTCTTCGAGTAATGCTTGGTCCAGGAGTAATTCAGTAAGTCGACTTTTCTTCTTGTCATAGATACTCCTAGAGGAATAGTTTAGCCTCCTTATCGGTTCGATGTTTTGGTATTCTCTTTCAGATAGTTAACAGACGCTTGCTCGATGATCCTCCAGCCCCTTACTCAAGTACAGCGATTTCATCAACCGTGTACTTAAATCATCATCCTCTGATTATTCCTGCTTTTTGATTTTGTTTCAAACGTTTAGTCTTTACATCCTCTTCAAGAACTTGAAAACTCATTGTTCTTGGCAGAGATTTAGTACCACCATCACACACTCGGCATCGGATTCCAATCCGTAACAGCAACAACCTACGAAGACAGCACCTCGAGGCACTAAGACAAGCCGTTCACAACCAACCCGCTAGACCCGAGAGCAGCTCAAGATCATCATCACAAACCAACGAAGAAGACGAAATCCTCAAACATCTAACAAAAGAAACATATAACCCAGTCCCAAAAAGCACCCTTCTCAGAAGCCTGAGCTTATACTACAGAAACAAAAACCCGGGAAGCGAAAACTCAAGAAACACTCAAGATCTCTCTGGTGAAGAAGACGACAAGAGATGCTCCGTTTGTTTAGAAGACTTCGAGCCCAAGGAAACAGTGATGCTCACTCCTTGCAAACACATGTTTCATGAGGAATGTATAGTTCCATGGTTAAAGACCAAAGGACAGTGTCCTGTCTGTAGATTCGTCATACTCAAGCCGGCAAAACAAGATTCTTCGCTGACTAATGGATCAAATCATGTCGGAAACATGACAATGAACGATCTCTTCACATTAGAGCTACTCTCTGTGGTAAGAGCAATGGAAGAAACTTTCCTTTTTGGTTATCCACGTCGCATGTAGAATCTTTATTGTACTTGAATTCTCTCAAATGATATTAAATTTATTATTTGGGTTTGTTTTATAAAATGAATCATATGAATCCACCATTGATACACCTTTACAGTGGAAAAAAAAAATTGTTTTTTTTCTTTTGGTTTTGGCTACACACACTCATCTAGAACTATCACAGAAAGGAATGGCGCCAAAATCACATCTCCGATGTTGTTCCTCCGTCGCAACCGTGCCACGGCGGAACACGGAGGCGCAATCAGGTAAATCACCGAGATCACCGAACAAAGACTCATCTTCCTCTTGGCCTACTGAAAAACCTCTCTCTAGAGTTACGTCGAGGAAATTCGAAGAACCAGATGATGATGAGATCGACGCGTCGTAGAACCACCCGAACTCGCCGATTTCGCTGTAGCAGCCACCTAAGAGCAAAGGTGAGTCTACGTGGCTCAGGTCTAGTCCCACCGGCGGTTCTTCTGCGGCGGTGACGGTTAGTTCTTCTTCCTCCTCTTCGTATTCTTCCTCTTTTTTGGCGGTTTTGAGGACGACGGAGGAGCGGTGGTGGGATTTGTTGTTAGCGGAGGAGGAAGGGAAAGGGTGGTTGTGGTCGCAGGCGTAAGTAATCATGAGCTTTGAAGGGTCCACACGGCTTCTCTCCACCTGCTTCCTCGCCGGACATCCTTTTGAGCTACTGCATCTGTAATATCCCCTGAAAAAAGAGAGATTCATCCACTAAAGTTATTAACTTTAAACTTTTTTTTAGCAAAAAAAATTAGAAAATACTCGAAATTAACACCAAAATATAATCAAAGTACACTTTATATGATAAAATATACAAACTTTAAGTATAAGGGTTGAAAATTTAACTCAAAATTTTGAAACACATGAGTAATTGTTAGTTTTTGATACATAACTCTTAAAATAAAAATTTAAAATTAACCCAACAAATCAAATGAATAAACTTTAGACAATAGTATAATATTGGCACGTTAATCACGTAGATATATATATGTAAAATACTTTTCCTTTTTGTGCGCATTACCCTTTTGTAGCTTTTTCTTAGAAATCAAGATCTACCGCTACTTTAATGTTTCACACTTCCCCGAGGTTATCCAAATATTTAATATAGTAAAAACTAAAAAGAAATTCAATTAGTGAGTGACACATCTAAATTGTTCCTTAATTACAAGTTTACAACATTAAAAACTCCCCCAAGAATTAAGGAGCTGGCGCGTGAAAGCCACGCGGTATCAAACGCGTCCGTTTCAACAAAACTCCTACAAGATGCGTACGTTAGCCCAACCACCGTCAAGGCTAACCTACGCTTTTCTCATTTCTTAGCTGATTAAAACGACAAAAGAAAAAGGACAAAACCGGAAATTCAAAGAGTTTAACCTTGGATAAGGCGAGCCTTTGATCGGCTTTTGTCCGTACTTTCTCCAGGCCCATGAATCGGACGGTGGATATACTTCTCCTCTACTCTTAGATCCTTCCACGTCAGCAATCGGAACTGAGACAACTCTCTTCTCTACGTTCCTCCTACTACACCACAATTATTAACATTTTCAGATCATTATTGTTTTTTTCTAGAAACAATTCATAATAATAATAGCAAAATATTCACAAACCTTTTCTTTGGAGTTGGTTTTGAGATCTTTGAGTCTTCACAAGAAGAAGGAGATTCAGGAACGACGTCGTTGTAAGTCTCATCTTCTTCGTCGTCTGATTCTTGAATTGCTCTACGGTGCATGATTGATCTCGACCGTCCGATTTCGCCGGAACAGGAGAACGGAAGATGTTTTTTTGTGCTGTTGAGAGCCGGAGAGGGTGGTGATTAAGAAGGTGATTAGTGAGAGGGTTTTAATCAATCTGATGTGATTATTATTCTCTACTTGTTTTGGGGACGTGCAGGCAAATATCAAAGGGATTATATTGTTATTATATTGGTCATTTGTATTTTATTTGAATAAAAATATGACCAGTTGTTTTGTAGTGGATTAGTTTATTTATTTTTTGAAAGGTTCTTTCTCTCTCTCGTGGAATTTTATTTTATTTATAACCATGAGGTTTGCTAATCAAATGATTTCTTTAATTAGCTGGACATTTTGATTAAGTCCATGCATAATTATGCAAATCTATATTATAATTATCCGCATCTGATCTATAGACTGTGATCTTTTATTTTTTGCTGTCCATGTAAGAGAGATAAAATTATGCACATATGTATATACTCATATTTGTAATATCCGGAATGATGTTAATTGAAACCCATATAACGCTGGTTAATAAAATGAACTCCTAATTAGAAATGTTGTAATGCGATTTAAGTTGAAATGAATTAGTTTTTTTTTTTTTTTCTTAGTGAAACTATCGATTTAGACGATAGTTCTTAAGCTGTCTAGTGAATCCGATTTGATCTATTTTGACTCCTTAAACTATGAGTTGATTTGGTCCGTCCGATTTTCCCAAAATGCATAATGTTGTGAACGTGACATAATATTCTTGTATATATAAAATACATACATACTATTTTTTTTATTATATACTTACGATTTATCCATTTTGGACTAAATCTGTATTCTACTGGAAATTAACCTTTTAAATCTTATGCCAAGGTCATTTTCATCAGAAGTTTCTCGTATTTAAAAACTTGATGTACAAGTTCTCAGTTCTCTTATTCTCTGCTGAGCTTAGTTCTTTTATGACTCCTCCCGTTTAAGAAGATTACATAGGATAAAAAAAAAATTATAGGAAGCTAGAAAGTTAGCACCAACACGAATATAAAACATGACATTGAATAATTTATTTATCAACTGGATTTGAGCTGAAAGCTCATAACCTCACATGATATGATAGTCCAATAGGTTTAAATGAGTACAACCGAAGAAGCAAAAAAAAAATCTGGTCCAAGAAATGAATGATCATAGAGCCATCATCTTGAAATATATAACGTGCTATGAATGTTATATCATATTGAAAACGTGGAATAAATCAGTCGTTACTAATTAGTATCCTTAAAGTTAAAACCATGAAGCTCACAAAAACAACCAATTCACATCACTTTTTATGCAAGATAATCGGTTGCTTGTATGTTTTGGCCCGTACCATCCACGGAACGACATTAGAGCATGATTATAGGTAGTCTCTTAGAAATACCTCTTAACAATATTTAAGTAATTTTTTTGTAAAAAGTGATTGTTAAGAGATAGTATTTTTGAGTTAAGATTTTTGTGTGATTAATGGTAGGTTCTTAACATGTGGTTCTTAGGAAAAAAAATATTAATATAAAAATAAAATTTATAATTATAGAAATTTTAATAATTGTTGCAAATTAAAAAAATTAAAACATACATGAGATACAATTTATAACATGACATAAATTTTTAACATATACGATGTATTGGATCAAAGTAATTGGTGTTTGGTATATTTGGTGTAATTGGTGTTTGGAGAGTTCATAATCACATCAACAACTTCTCAAATGCAAAACAAAGATTCATAATCACAGTTTATGTAATTCACCAAATCCAATTACTATGAAGAATGTATGTAATTCAAAAACATAATCAAGACAGAAATTTGGTGTCTTCTACTTGGCCTATACAAGACACAAATTTCGTGTTTTCTACAGCAAAAACACATTGAACACATTCTAGAAAGTCAAAGACATTACTTAATAAAATTTCATACGTTTAACATAAGCAAATGAATGGACTCAAACATTGCATGAGTTGGATCAAAGCACAACATCCCTTTGACACAAATCTCTTCGGAAACTGCTTCATCGAACTTCTCTAGCTCTCTTCTTAAAACAGAAGCTTGCTTATCAATATTATGTCTGAAGTTGTGCTCCCCAATGGCAAGATCACAAACATTTTTCTGTTTGTCAATTCATTTGTTTTCAAGAATGTATCGAAAAACTAGAAACAAAAGAAAGGGAATGAAACTAACCATTCTCATAATGCTGGTAGCTCTCTATCGAAAAACTCAAACTTTGCGTCTGCACTAAGACCTTTAAGTTTCTGCAAGGACAAGAGCATAAACACTATCAATTCTGTGTCCAAGAATAGTTTAACTCACTTCCGTCAAAGTCCAAGTAATCAAACACTATCCACCAAGAAACCAACCTTAAGAATATCCACATTCAAAGACATCAACTTAAGATGTCTTAAAGAATCGAGTAACACCGAGTTTGGCTGCAAGAGAAGAACAAGAAACCATCAAAAAAAAAAATCTTCACATTGATGAAATTAACAAATTGCAAATTCAAGAACTTTAGATCAAACATCATCTTCTTTGTTGAGCAAGATCTCTTTGATACTAGCAACCTCCTTAGAAACAACAGATAACTTTTCAATCTCATCACTCAAAGCGTGAGCTTCATCAAATGTATAAATTACTAACAATCTGATTACTATTCAAATTCGTCTCATCGATATGATTATTATCTCCTCTGCTACTATTAGCTTTGCTCTCTTTACTACCACCAACCTCATAATCTTCATCAACCGCCGTACCACCACCGCCGTCACCGGTGGTTCCACGGCCGCGATTAGCCTCGTCGTCTCCGGGAACAGACAATTCAAGATGGTCGCATCCGATGCAACGACTCACTCTGCAGGAGAATAAAAGCTCGGTGATTTTGTCTCCTCTGGATTTGAATTTGTTAGGACAATCAGTAGCAGCCACCATGATCGCATGACCCACAGGCGCCGTGGAGAACCGCCGTCCGTTGAGATGCTTGTGATAATTCTCTCCGATTCACCGGATATAACAATAATCGGAGGAGAAATCGATTTGCAAAAAATCAATTTGATTTCGTGTTTTCGCAGTCGGCAAAGAGAGAGAGAGAAACGAAGGAGATAAACGCGACACGTGTCCACCTCTTAACTTTGTTTTAGTTCCTTAGCTAAAGAACGTTTGTTAGACTTAAAGCACATTCCAGATTAAATTATATTGAATTTAATCTTAAGAAAAACCTAAGATTTCTCTAAGAACCCTCCTATAATCATGCTCTTAGATCTTAACCAAAAAGTTTGTAGAGAGTGACACGGGCCCTTTTTATGACAAATAGATACTTGTGAAGATGACACATTTGATGACGTTTGTGGATGAATTTGGCTAGATAAAAGCTGCAAATTCATCTGAGATAAAATGTAATTTTTTTTTATAAAAAAACATGTATAGGTCTAGAGTCTCTACTCCCTAAACAAATGACTTAATATTTTATAAATGTGTACAGAAATTTGGGCTGGACATGGCTATAATAAAATTGTGTGGGATCAAGTCAAGATTCCTCCAGTCATTTATTAAATTGTAAAATCATAAATAGATAAAACTATAAAAGCCTGTGTCATAATTATTAGTTTAATTACTCCATTATTGTCTCCAACTTCTGTCAGAATGGAGCCAAAATTTTTATTTTCTGGTTGTATAGGTTTTCTGATTAATTTATGTATGTAACGCGTGTTTACACACACAAACATATATGTAATGTATATATGTTTGATTTGGTCATTTTCCGATCATGATAATTAATGTCGAACCAATCAATAATTCGCTCAAATCTGATGCAACTGAGAATTGACAATAAAACATGATTGGATAATGTTTATGTAGTTGTTGTTATGTTAAATAATGTCCAAGTACAAGGTAATTTTATAATTGACACGTCTTCTTAATATTAAACATATACATAGAGTCAAAGATTCTCTTAAAAATCAATGTAAAAATGCATTTTCGCATTCCTTCCAATAATTTTCATGTAAATTTATGAGTTAAATTAGCTAGTTGGATCAGGCAGGATAAACTAAATCCGACAATCCAATCAAAAAGTTAAACCAAAATGCGATAATAAGTCATAACCAAATCGATAAGAAACATATTTGGGTTTACCCCTAGGGGTGAACCTTTACATTCACCCCCTTTATTTCAGCTAATCAGAATCTGCCACCTAATAATAATAAAAAAAAATCATTTAATTTTAAAATTTAATTTGTCACTAAAACGAAATTATGTATCGGTTTGGGTTTATTAGAAAGGGTTAGGGTTTAGATTTTATGATTAAACGAGGTTAAATATCGGTTTGGATTTATAAACGGGTTTAGATTTTACAATTAAACGAGGTTAAATATCGGTTTGGGTTTAGAAAGTACGATTAGGGTTTAGATTTTAAACGAGTTTAAATATCGGTTTGGGTTTACAAAGGAGAATTAGGGTTTAGATTTTGTAATTAAACGAGATTATATATCGGTTTAGGTTTATAAAAGAGTGGTTAAAGATTATATTTAATAATTAAATGAGTTTAATTTTTTTATTATGTGGCGAATTTTGATTGGTTAAAATAAAAGGGGGTGAATACAATTATTGCTCAATCGATAATTGTTGAAATAAGAGTGTTGTTTTACAAATACACGGTTTAGGGATGACTTATTTACATATAAGAGAATGTTCATTACCTACTTTCTGTCGGAGTATTGAACATTCATAAATCTAACTAACTCGAGATTATTTTTAAATTCGAAAATGTGTTTTAGACCTTTAGTCAGCTTTTGTCGATAACAATAATTGTAGTAGATAGGCAAATATAAGGAAAATTCAAGGGTCTGAAAAGAACAGAGAAGCAAAACAAAACTGAGAAAATGTAAGATTTGAACCCAAAAGAAAAATTTGTTTGACACATTTTTTTAGCCAGTAATGTTCTGAGACTTGTTGAGAATGACTCCTTCATATTTCACCTGAAACCATTTCATGGCATCATCTTTCGTTACTCTATGCTGGATTCCAACACGAGCCTTGCATCTTCTGCGACGTGCCACACGGTAACCAGGTCGCTCAAGAACAACATAGAAGTCCATACCGTAGATTCCAGTTGATGGATCATACCTGAGATCAAATATAAAAAAAAACGTTTGATCACTGATTACACAAAGCCACTCTTAAGTTGTTGTGTTAGAAAGAATGAGACTTACTTGATACCCAAATCAATGTGCTCTTGAATACCAAATCCAAAGCAGCCAGTGTCGCTAAAGTTCCTTCTCAAGAGTTCATATTCTTTAACTTTCAATCCACTCTCAAGGAGCTGCATTGCCTTCTCTCCCCTGACAGTCACATAGCAAGCAATCTTCTCATTACGTCTGATACCAAAAGAACGAACAGTGTATCGAGCTGCAAAAGAGATAACAAATGTTAAGATTTATGTCAAAACCCTCTTCATGCAATACAAAGTTATCTACCAGAAGCTGAAGATTATAAGGTTTCCAACCAATAGATGCAAAACAGAGACAACAACTATTACCTACTGATTCTCACTAGGATTATCTGAGGATAAAGGTCAGTACCAATAAAATATCATCCTTATTTTGGAGAAGGTGATCACACACAACAATATATGAACTAGTAACAACCTAAACAATACACTAATTTATCGTCCTAAACTTCCAAGAACGCATTTCCAATGTTTTAGTTAAGATCACAGTAATTGTTTCCAGAACTACAAAATTGATAAAACTTAGAAGAAAGCTTACCCTTGGAGAAAACAGGAGTCTGACCACTCAATTGTTCCAACACCTACCAAATTATCCAAGAACTAATTTGGTTAAAATCGAACATACTCACATGTTGAAATGAAACTAGACAAAATCGATAAACAAAGTGAAACCTTGGAGGCTCTGGTGAGACGATCTCCACTCTCACCGACGGAGATGTTAAGCACCAGTTTCTGCACTTTAATGTCCCTCATTGGGTTCGATAGCTTCTTCTCCGACGCCTGAATTCAACCAAAATATATATATATATATCATCAAATCTTTACTTGAAACATCAAAAACGTGAAACCAAAGAAGAAGAGATAACTGGGACGGACCATTTCGGATTAGGGTTGCGATAAATCTCCGGCCGACGGGAATACACGAATCGGAAAGAGGAAACGGAGATGAGGCGGCAAAATATATAAACCCTAGATCTAGTAATAAGCCATCTAGGGTTCTAAAGCAAATTCTACGATTTCTGAATGACAATTCTACCCTCCTTCCTCCATCAAGCCCACGTTCCCCGCACGTGACCTTTTTCCTCATGAAACTAGTCATATCATTCTCGTCTCAGTAGAATATAGTAATGGGCCAGGTTTGGCCCATAGATAATAATAACATGTAGCCCATAGAGATTCCAAAAAGTTTATTTTATGATCATCATTCATCTCCGTGTTTGATGATCACTCAAAAGTGTTACATTATAGTCTGTTTTGGTAAATCCCGTAGTACATACATAATAAAAGCCTCACATTTTGTCTTCGCTGATTTATTGAGAACCGATGCTTGCTTTACCAGGTGAATTAGGCGACCGAGCCAAGCTAAAGCTACTAGAACAGCCACTAAGCTTTGAAGCTGACCTACGGTTTCTCACCAGAGGAACCAGTGACTGCACCACATCTGCCATTAATGGTCTGTAATCAGCCTCTGCTTGAACACACATTGCTGCTATTGCTGCAACTTGAACAACTTCTTTTGTCGAGTATTGTCCTTCGAGTGTTGGATCCATTATGTCTACTACTTTCTCTCTATCAGCCAATTGAGGCAAAGCCTGGAGATAGGAAAAATTAAGTTATCAGAGCAAAGACGAGAAGAAATTACACGAGAAGCTTGTGAAAGGAAATCATACCCAAGAGACAAGAACACCTTCTCCTGTAGGTCTCTTCATATCTACTGGAACTCTACCAGTTAGTAACTCTAACAGGACAACACCGTAGCTATAGACATCCGATTTTGTTGTCAAGTGACCAGTTAAAGCGTACCTGACAGAAGATATTGAAAATATTGGTATTAGTAGCCAACCCTTCAAAGTAAACTGATGAAAGGAAGAACAAAGAGATGATTGAGTGAAAAACATACTCAGGAGCTACGTATCCTTGTGTGCCTAATACACGGGTAGAAACGTGTCCTCCAGCTTTATCTGATCCAACTTTAGCCAATCCGAAATCTGAAACTTTGGCATTGAAGTTTCTGTCCAGTAGAATATTGCTGCTCTTAAAGTCTCTGTGAATCACTGGGGGTGATACTTGTTCATGGAGGTATTCCAAACCTTTTGCAGCTTCAACTGCTATCCTCATCCGAGTTTCCCAATCTAATCTCAGTGGGACAGAACCAGACCCTAAATACAAAAAAAATATAAGACTTTATGAAATCCACAACAAGTTCACCAATTAGTAATTATAATACACTATCCAGGATTCATGTTCAAATTGCTATCACCCAAAGGATATAAATAGAAAGAAAGAGTAAAATCTGGAGTCTACTCCATTCACCATTCAATTTTAGAGGACAACTTCTAACACTACCGGAAGAAGGAACTTACTGTTGGTAAGATACAGGTGTTCCTGCAGACCGCCATTTGCCATGAACTCATACACAAGCAGCTTATGACTATTGTCTGAGCAATAACCAAGAAGTGCCAACAAATACGGTGAACGCAGACGGCTCAGTAACTCAACCTGTCACAGGATAAAAAATTGATCAATCAAGTAATCAAAAACTCTGCAAACAGCAAAATGTCCTTAAGATTGAAAAAACAAAGATCAATAACTAAGCTAAACTAATCAAACCTCCATCTTGAATTCTTCTTCCCCTTGCTTTCCTGCATGATCCATGAACTTAATAGCAACTTTTCTTCCATCGTTAAGCACACCGCGATAAACCAAGCCAAACCCACCATGCCCAACTACATTAGACTTGCTAAATCCACCAGTTGCTGAATGCAATTGCTTAAATGTGAAAATTTGCAACCCATTGTCAGTAACATCTTGTACTTTTTGACAATCGCCTTTCTCCTCGCAATCAAACCCTAAAAATCGACAGGTAAAACAACAACAAATTCAATACCCAGAATATAAATCGAACCCTAATTGGAAAATCATCTTCCAAATTATTCCTTAATTAGAACCAAATTTCAGTATCAGGCGAAAGCAGAGAGCGTGAGAACAATAAATGCAGGTAAAGATAAGAAAAACTGTGAATTGTTGAGCTTACTCTTGCTAATTCTGTGACGCTTAGAAACTTTGTTACGAATATAGCAGTAGTAGCTAAAAGCGACGAACAGAGAAGATAAAGCAAGACAAGCAAGAACAACAATGGCTACTAATGCAGCTCGCTCTTTCTTTTGGTATGCTTCGTCTGTCTCCATTTTTGTTTCTCCCCTAAAGATAAAGAAGAAGCCTTCTTTTACCAGTTTCCAGAAATGGAAAAAAAAAAAAGGAAAATGTGAAAACCCTAGAAATTGCCACTCAAGAGGAAGAGGAGATGAAATTGAAACAGTAGAGGAATAATTTTAAAGCTTCGGGTTTCGTGAAAATTAGTTTTTGATTTTTGTGTGAGTGTGTGTGTGTGAATGTCAGCTTCACTGACTCACTGTACTGTTTTTGTTTTGTGGCGCGGGGAATAGTTGCAGCCAACTTTGCTAATTTGTCCCTTTAGTTTCATTTTGTACAACTTAGTCCCCGACGCGTAAAACGTTATCCAGGCCCAAAATTAGATATTATCCAGCCCAAAAACAAGCTTTCATGTCAAAAGGTCTGTCTATTTGGCATCCGATTAATTTTCAGATTGGCTATATAGAGAAATAACGAGATCAGTTGATCAAATCATTATTCGCAATTGATCGATTTCAATCTAAAATTTCTTTAAGAACATATAATATTCGTGGAAGATAAAGTCATGACGAAAAGAAAGAGAAGTGAATATTTATAATGACAAAAGGTTCCAAACAACTTTGTTTTTCTTACATCATGAAAGATTCCTCGCAACAAACTACTATGCCATTAAACCAAACCAAACCAAACCATACATAGATATAGTTTCTAGGAAATGGTAAAGCATCTGGACTGAAGAGAAACTGCGATTAGCTTTTGTTTTTACCTTCAAGAGCTTTGTTCTACACTTCTACTTCTTTCCACGGAGTTTCGCACCAAGTGCCCTCTCCAGCTTAGAGAGGATCTGCTGATTCGGGATTGCTTTACCTGACTCGTATTCTTGGATCACTTGTGGCTTCTCATTGATCAGCTACAGAATCAAAAACATACAATATCACCATCATGAATTGAATTACTAACCAAAGGCAACAAAAGAAAGAGAAAGTACTTGGGCAAGCTGGGACTGAGTCAGCTTCTTCTCCCCTCTGGCTTGCATGATGGCTTTCTTCAACTCAGTTGGCACACGATCATCTGATTTCAAAACCATACATTACCAAGGTGTTAAAGATAACCAACATTACTAATCAAATCTAACACACATATGGAAAACACAGTGATTTGCGGATAAACAATACATAAAGCTTCAGCTCGTGGCATCTCAATAACCCATCAACAAATAAAGACTTCCACTCACTAATACAATTCAAACTGATAAGAACCCAAGAAAACAGACCCTAAGAATCTAGTTCACCCACAGTGTCAAAGGATATAGAGATAGATACTAACATTACTTTATCAATATAAAAATCAGAATCAAAACCCCTTGAGAAAGAGATTGAATAACTCACGAGATAAGTTCTCAGTGTCATCATCTAGCTTCTTTGTGTTCAAGGAGGTGCCGCTTGATGCAGCCTTGTTGGATCCAGCATTGACTAAACCCAGCAAAAACAAAACAAACAAATCCCGTTAGACGATTACCACAACTAGAATAATTCATATAGAACAAAGGAAATTTCACGAAAAGAGAAAAAATGATAAAAGCATAATCAAATGTCAAAACAGAAACATCAATCTGATACGAACAAGAATCAATAAGCAAAATCAGGCGAACTGTTACTGCGGCAAACGCAATTCGAATCACAACAAGCGAAAACCCTAACACAGATCTCTTCTAAGATACCACAATAATCCAGTGACGGCGAAGGCAAATAACCCTAATCATGACAGCGTAATAAAACTCATCTAGATTCAATCGCCAAATCTAGCCTAAACTAGAGAAAACTTCTTGCACAGCTTAAGCTACGAAGGCAGATCAGAGAGACGGAGATCGAGAAAAAAGAAAACAAACATTTGCGAACGGTCTCAATATCGGCGCCGCTTCGACGAGCGGCGTTGACAGTCTTCTCGTCGCGCTTAGCGGCAGCGTTAGGAGCTTTCTTACGGATCACAACTGGTTCCCAATCCTGAGTCATCGGTCCAACTCCTGCCATGGCTTCTCTTTAGATTTTTCTTTCTTCAACCGCTTTCTAGGTTTTCTTCGTTCGTGGATAATCTATATAATGGGAGAGTTTTCTCTCTATCTAAGCTATCCACATCAGCCTCCACCTAAGCGTCCATTTAATTAAAATTTATAAACTGAAATTTATTTAAAATTTAAATTCAATACATATTTATTGTTATCTATGATTAAAAAATTAAATTTATAGACAAATGAATTAATATTATAAGTAGAAAACTATGAAATATGTTATACGTAATAATATAATTTGAATTTTAGCGAAAAAATCTTTAAGATTGTTCATATATAAATTTTAGAAACATTTCAGTTTTAAAATTGATATATTAAATATCAATATGTTAGGTATTTATAAAATTGTATGAAAGTTGAAAGGTCATACATTTTCAGTTTCAGTAATATATATATATATATATATTCATAAATCTTATGACATATTACTAATTGAAATAATAGTTGATTAGTTTATAAGTGAAACAAAAAATATTAAAATATAGCTAAATATTATCGTTTATAATATATTTAAAATTGAGAACAAAACTAAAAATATAATTATGTATACTTTTATTTTTAGCTTTTCATTAATATAATATAAGAAATTATGAAAGTAACTGTATAAATGCATTTGATAGTAATACAAACATTATGAACTTATTAAAAAGATAAAAAAAAAATTAAAATATCAAAAATAGGTAGAAAGAGCACAAGTGCAACATTGAATTTTATAAATAATAAACAAAATAAAAATAAAAATAAATGAGTATGGAAAGATCGCAACATAGTGACAAAATTAATCTCTGAAAGCGAAATATCTAAAGGGAAAAACAATATATATAACTCTTTCTTTTGCTTAATATATCACATTTAAGTTTCTAGAATTATAAAAGAAAATGTTATGCATAAGAATTGCACTAAAAGAGAAAATATATAATTAACGATCCTAAGAATACTAAGTTGAACAACGAAATACAAAAGAAATCGATATTTGATATATGTAGTATATCATAAATGGTCGTGTAAATCTATACAGTTATCGCTTATAATTTACCAATAGAATTTTATATATTTTTTACATAGTATTGTAGTAACTAAAAATATAACGTGAGTTCCAAAATTACAAAAGTTGAGATTATATCATTAAACCCACGCAACGTGTGGGTCAATTTCTAGTAACAAGAAAATGAGAGAGAGAAGAAGATAAAATAGACCCAAGCCGTGATCGTTTTTCAATTTATATTTTTGATTTTTTTATAAGGGGTACTTTAGTAAATTAGCTAAGCGAAAATATCTTGCCGAGGAGGCATTGAGTCAGACTTTGTGGAACGATCATTTTCGTCCAAATTAGATCATATAGGCTGAGAAAGGCCTTTTGGAATTGGTAGATAAACTTACGGACAAACGAACTTTGACTATGTTTTAAGATGGACCAAATCAGCAATGTTATTGAAGAGTCAGAACGAATGTTGGGCTTTTCAAAGTTTTGAAGTCCGCTAATAGAGTACACGTAGATGATTGACCATAAATACCAAAAGTCACCTAATGTTTGTCCATTTTTATTTTTTTTTAATCTTGAACTGGCTATTTGCAATCGCTTAAAATAAAATTATAACCTTGTGGCAACTCAGTTGTAATTTGACAACTTAATTTTGAGTTATCTAATTTTAAAGTCAAATTAAGATTTAATTTAATTTAATTATGATTTTAAATAAATTTTTAATTGATTTTTTTGCTATTTGGAAATCAATATTGAAAATTTCATACATATTAGAAAAAAAATCTATTACAGATATTAAGTCATAATCTAATAGACATCATAACAAAATCTTTGATGTTTGTAGTTTTTTTTTGTTTTGGACAAAGAAGTTTATAGTTTTAAATAAACTCGTTTTCTTGCATTTTTCCATATACAAAAATCCCATTAATTTTTTTTTAAAATCCCATTGATTTTTTTTTTCATTCTTATAACTTGGTACGACAATGCATCAATTTGTACTTGTAAGTTGGCACACAAAAAAAGTTGTTTGTTCTCGTCCTAGAGAAGAAATAGGTGGAATTGATTCCAACTGAAAAAGCAAAGGGGTTGAAATTGACTGTTTTGAAAGGTAAGGGGAGAGAGAGTGAGACTTGACGTTTTTAAACGACTCACAAAGCAAAAGAAACAAAAAGAAGAAGATCAAATTCTGATTCCTCCGACTAACAACCATTTCCATCATCGTTTTCCTCCGATACCTCTTGTCGTCGCCGTTCTTCGGATTTTCACTCTTCTGCTCGAAAGGTCTCTCACTATTCTCTCTTCTAATCCATTGAAATCGAAACTTCTCTATATCACTACTGCTTCTAGTTTAGCTGCTCATCTTCTTCTACTTGCTGCAACAACTCCAAATCATCATTTCTATTGTTCCAGTATGTTTTCTAATTGTGTTTTTGTTTCTTCTGGTTGTAATATTCTTCAATGAATTTGCTGGGCACCGTTCAATTCAATTCGATTCGATATATGATTCAGTTTTGCAAAATAACTGACCTAAATTCTATTCCTGGCAATACATTAATCATTCACTTGTTAGAGTTCATCAAAAATACTACTCTTTAATATTTGTTTTCAGATGTGATTGTTTAGATTCTGGAGCTTTCTATACGAAGTTAAAGTTGTTGTCTTTTCTCTTCTTTCAGGGCAGTGCTTGAGAATCATTGAAGAAGGTGATCGCTGGTGCTGAAACTCGAAGCAGATACCGTTGATAACTCAAAGCTGTTTTGCTCAAAGAGGGTTACCAAAGTTAGGAGCTCAAGAACTTGGAGCTGTCTTATTTTTGTATCATGCCATATTTTATTCAGAGGCTTTTCAATACTTGCAAGTCATCTCTCTCACCTAATGGTCCTGTGTCTGAGGAGGCCTTAGACAAGGTTCGCAATGTGTTGGGTAGGACTACATTATTGATCCCCTGTCTTGTAACTTTTCTTCCCTTCTATTTCTGCAATCTTGCTTGCTCCATAATGTTCTTTAGACACACTGTGTTACTCGTGATGTCTGAATTGCAGTGCTATATTGGGTATCGCACTTTCTTGTGTCATTCGACAACTGTTGTTTCTCGGGTCTAATACATGATAGTATTTTTTTCAGAAAAAATCAAGCCGTCTGATGTTGGTCTTGAACAGGAAGCTCAGTTGGTGCGTAACTGGCCTGGTCCCGGGAATGAGCGTAATGGAAACCATAATTCTCTGCCAGCAATAAAATACCTTCAGTTACATGAGTGTGACAGCTTCTCGGTGAGCAAAATTTCTTTCAGGATTGGTATCGCCTGTAGACCTTTAGAAGTTTGAGTATGCCTTCATCGATATAGTCAAAAATTGGCTATGAAATCTTAAGATTAGGTGAATAGGCATAAAAATTTATGTTAAGCTGATAATGTTTTGTAGAACCACCTAAGCTAGATTTCTCATGTTGAAACCAGATTTCTCATCATCACTAATCTTTTTGGTTCCTGGTATGGCCATTGCTCTAAGCCATGAGCAGCACGCTCCACATGTTTACTGCAGTTAAACAAAGTTCTAAAATGCAAGATTCTTGCTTTTCTTGTCTGCTTATTATGCTTTGATCATTATTTTGTCAGATTGGAATTTTCTGCATGCCACCTGGGTCTATAATACCACTTCATAATCATCCAGGCATGACAGTGCTAAGCAAGCTTGTTTATGGTTCGATGCACGTGAAGTCGTATGATTGGGCTGAGCCTGACCAATCAGAGCTAGACGATCCATTACAAGGTAAAAGTGACTTGTAAACTGCCCCAGTATAACTTCCGTGCTATATGAATAATGAGTAATCTGTTGTTCCCTTTTACTCATAGCAAGACCTGCGAAGCTAGTCAAGGATACTGATATGACTGCCCCTTGCCCAGCAACCACTCTATATCCAACAACCGGTGGCAACATTCATTGTTTCAAAGCGATTACTCATTGTGCAATCTTCGACATCTTATCTCCTCCATACTCTTCTACTCATGGCAGACACTGCAACTACTTCCGAAAATCCCCAATGCTAGACTTACCTGGTAAAATATCACAAACTTCACGAAAATACCACTTTATAACTTCTTAGAAATGCTACTATATTTCTTAATGTTACAACTTTCATAACACTTTGTTGAGGAATCATGGTTTAAACCACTAGGTTCTTGATTAGATAAAAGGTCTCATACTCTCATGGAACATGCTCATTATGTGTATTGCTAAACAGATTTGGTTTCCGACTATCATTTTTTACTATGGCAATGTTGTTAATGACATCATATGTGAAACCAGGTGAGATTGAACTGATGAATGGAGAAGTGATCTCAAATGTGACATGGCTCGAAGAGTATCAACCTCCAGATAACTTTGTGATATGGAGGGTTCCGTACAGAGGTCCAGTGATTAGAAAATGAGAATTACAAAAAAGGTTTAAGCATATAAGAAAAGAGCAGAAAGAGAAAGGAGCTTATCATCAGGAGAATAATTGGTAAACCATTCAGAGGCTGGCTGCATAATGGTCGAGGTTCTTACATAATTGTGACCACATTAAGTTTCAGCCTATGTCGTTGTATGATAATGTTTACTACATACAACTTTATGATTACTTCACTAGTTTAATATTATATTTTTTTTTTCCTATTTTTATATGCAGCTACCTGCATAAACAATTGCTCATAAACAGTGTTATATTTTAGTTATCATAAATTTTGTTTCCATTAATCTTTTGACTTTCCTTATTTCATTTCTTGTCTATACCATAGCAACTTTGCATTCTTCTTATGACTGAAGTGTTCGCCATGAGAGCTACGAGACCTTCTAAATGTTAAAGAATTAAAGTGTTAACCGTTGGTGAGCCATTTAGATGAAGATCAAGATCATGCAAGTACCATCATAGCTCTCGATCAATGCTTATTGCAACAAATTCAGATAAATAGTCTTTGTTTAAAAAGAAAAACGTTAAAAGGTGCATAGCAGTATGTTTCCTCCACAAAAGCATCAAACCACATTCACCAGTTCGATGTTTCATAGAAGTAGTACAAGATATGAAAGGGCTCAAAATTGTAATACGAACTACGATAGAAAATAAAACATAAATCATACTCAAAATTACTCAATTTAAAAAAGCAAACACTCAAGATCTTCCTTTGTCTCATTTTCTAAGCATACTCTTCTTCCTCTTTGGCTTCAATCCACCTCCAGACTCGTCTTTTGCAATCTTTGTCGTCTTGTTCGCCTTCAACCCATCCTTACTCTTCACAACATCTGGTTTCGTCTTCCCCTTGACCGCTTTCTTCATCGGTTTCTCAACATCTGGTTTCAACTTCCCTTTGGCAGCTTTCTTCATCGGCTTCTCAGTCTCTGCAACCTCACTTACCTCCTTCTTCCTCTTCTTCATCTTCTTCTCCTCCTTATCCTCAGACTCAACAATCTCATTGTTATCCTCATCACCACCAATCTCATCCTCATCAAGCACCTCAGCTACATTACTATCCATATACCTAACCTCATGAATCCTACCTTTCTTCTTCTTTCCCTTCCCTGTAACACTCTTCTCTCCATCATCAACAGCAGCAACTTCTTCAACTTCACCTTCCTTCTCCTCCTTAACAACACTCTTTCCGGTTGCAAAGGCATCGATTTTGAGCTTCAAATCAGGTACAGACTGATATATAGGCAATGCTAAACTCTCAGACAACTTCAAATGCAAAGACCTAACGTATTTCCACTTATTAGGCAATAACTCAACTACTCCATTCAATGTCGCCATCACATTCTCAGTAATTTCGTCAAGTTCCATAGACAATTTCCCAACCTTAATGACACTACACGTCCCAGTCCTTATGAAGAACATAGCAGATCCACAAGCTTTCTCTATCTGCTGTTTCCAGTTCTTGTGCTTCAAATCAATCGCCACCGGAATCTTCTTGCTCGTAAAGAACTTCTTCCCAATCACCCTCGGAAGCAGAGGAATGATCCTCCGATCAGCGAAAAACATGTCGTAAGAGTCGCAGAGTTTCCTCTTCGCTTCGAACGCCTTGTAATCACTCTTCAGCTTCGAAAGCTTAATAACCTTAGTAATCGGAATATTCTCAGATTTGATCTTCTTCATCACATCAGCTTTGGTGAGACCACTTTTAGGTCTGTCGTCGATGATGAGACAAAGCTCCGGCGAATCTTCCGCCGGGTTGATGAGAGGATGAGGTAAAGGGATACGATAAGCATTCGTACGGCTCGTCTGTGGAATCTTCTTCAGAGAAGCGATTAGGTAGACGAGCTCGTCTTGCTCGAGAAGTTGAGGCTTCTCTGTCTTTGATTTGTCGCTTCTCCAATTGGTAAGACCCTTGAGGGCGTTACCCACCGTATAGGGACTCACTCTTGAAGTCTGCGAAGCGGGAACAAGTTGCTGCTCCGTCTGCTCCTGCGGCGGCGGCGAAACTGCGGTGGTCATTGAGAGATTTGGGGAAGAGAGAGAGATAGAGATTAGGGTTTAAGGAGGAGGGAGACAAAAGAAGGATTTATCACTGATATATTTTTCCTGAGTATTAATGGGCCTAACTTTATTATGGCCCGTAATAATTTTCTTATAAATATGGGCTGGACTTTCTTCAAGTGTATCTTTGATTTTTCGAAGGTTTTTTTTAACATCTTCTATATCAAATATATTTTTTTTTACTAACTAAGAAATTAAAATATCCACTATTTTTTATTAACTAAAAATTACTACATTAAAACTTTAAAATATATAAAAACTTAAATATTGATTCAAAATAATGATTTTCCAAATTCAAAAATAAGAAATAATATCCTAATGTGTACATGAGTCAACCTTTCAACCATGTTTGTTTGTGTTTTTTGTCATTGTCTCTTTAACTTTTCACTCTCTGTTTAAACATAATTAATACTAAGATGATTATTTTAATCATTAAAATATTTCGGTTTGTAACAGCTAACTACTGATTAAAAGTTTGGTAGTATATGTTTCGTTTGATATGAAAAGAGCACTCTTATCTTATGTGTTGTGTTGGTGAAAATTAATTTGTTTATAAACACTGTGTGGAAGGAACATAAGCTTCGTTTTACTATCGGCTCTGCGTTGTGAGATTCAAGTCTTCATGCGTGTGAAGCTCCTATCGAATTGTTCAGACATCGTTCTCTTTAGTCGCTACTCTCTTCGGTTTCGCTACTTCGAAGCAACTCAAACCACAACAACTTCCTTTATTCTTTTTTTTTTACTCTGATTTTGTAAGCTCAAAAGTCCAAAAAAAAAGTTTGAACTTTTAAGTGATTCGAATTATAGAATGCAGCATATTACAAATATTCAAAACTATTCGAAAGTGGAGCCCTTATGATATGGACCCAATATGAATTGTGTTAATTTTTTATAATCAAAATGGAATATTAATATACAGTGACTGCACTGTTTACAATAAAGTCTTTGCCTTTATTTTTCTACACCTGAAAATTGAATCGTTATGACCTTTTTTTTAATTATGTTTTTTTTGTCCCCTAACGAATTCAAATTCTCTTATGTTTGAAACTGCAAACTGAACTGAAACATGTATGTTAATAGTCATATAGCAATTTCCATCTGCATTGGATACCAAATATAAACATCATCATGCTATATATATGTAGATGAGATCCTGCTAGAAACAAAAGACAAATAGTTGTTGAAAAAAAAAGATTTTCCTTTTATGTATAGAAAAAAGGCAACACTTTTAATTGCTCAAAGGAGGGAGCTTTCAGTTTCCTAAATTCAAAACTCTCTGTCTTTGTCTCTCTCTATCTTTGCAACGGCTCTCTCTGTCGTCATTTCAATTCAAAATCCACTTCTCTCATTTTTTTAAAACGTCTCTTGCTGCTGCTTCTTCAGTTCTTTTAGCTCACTACCCAAATCCCTAATCTCCATTGCCAAAAAACCCCCCAATCTCTAATCTGTTTTGAGCTTTCCTGATCTAACCCATTTCGCAAAAACCCCAAATTCTTCTCTTTTTCTTTGTTTGTTTATCTGATTTGATAAATCTCATTGTGTTTTTATCTTCTTCAGTGCGATTTGTGAGCTGAGAGAGATAAAGTGGAGAGCTTTTAGTCGATTTTAGGGCTAGATCTCCCAACGCCACAAATTTTTCGATTTGGCTCAATCCAATTTGGTTCTCATTTTGCTGAATTTGGTATATCTTAGATAAGGGTTTCTGCAAATTATACTTAATGGATGGATCCATAATTAAAAAATGAGATCTTTGACATCCTGAGAAACTGAGAGGTAAACAATTTTCATTCCTCATCTAATTTCCTTTAATGTTCTGCTATATCAATCATATTTTCTATATCCTTCAGCTGAAATTGGGTGATTCATTATAATAAAGTGGCAAATTTTGATCATTTTTATTTGGGTCTGCTGTTGTTTGATGGGATCCACCTTCTTGTAAGTGCATTACAGTGAAATGGAATTGATTCAATTGTTGTGATCTACAGGTGAATTAAGATGGACGTTGTTGAGAGAAAAAGACCTAGAGGAGCGTTTCTTAATCTGTTTGATTGGCATGGAAAATCCAGGAAGAAGCTTTTCTCATCTAATATCTCTCAACTCTCTGGTATGTCTTCGTTCTTTTGTTTTCTGTACACTATAGATACAATTTTTGTTGTTGTATATATATATGTATATATATATAAGTTAAGGCAATGCAGTTCAATAATCTAAAGTTTCTTCTTTTAAAACAGAAGAATCTAAGCAAGCAAAAGAGAATGTTCAAAACCCCTCTATTACGCGGCATTCTGTTGTAAGGCTTTTTTCCTCTACACCAATTTCCTTGTTTGATGCAATGTTTTGTGTGTGTGTTAGTTTAGTGAATGACATGAATTATTTGTGTTCTTTGGTATGATCTGTTTTTAACAGTTTGAGGTTGATCAGAGTGTAAAGAACCCAACTTACAACCCGAGAAGTGACTCTAGCTGTTGTGCTTCTTCTGTAACCAGTGATGATGGAAATGTGGTTAGAGCAAGTGTGGTAGCGAGGCTCATGGGTTTAGAGGGTTTACCACTACCAAACGTTTTGGAACCACGGGTTAATCCTGATCTGGATCCATACTTTCTAAGATCCTCGCGCCAAGCAAACACTTGGGATGCTAATGTTGATCGTCAAAGTGACTTCGATGGTGTTTCTTGGGATCATTTGGATTCAAGAACCAGTAAAGGGCCGCGTAAGAGGATGATTGAGCGATTTCAAACCGAAACTTTACCCCCAAGATCAGCTAAACCGATCTCTGTCACTCACAATAAGCTCTTGTCTCCAATAAGGAATCCTGGATTTGTTCCATCTAGGAACCCTGCTTATGTAATGGAAGCTGCTTCAAGAATGATCGAGCAAAGTCCTAGGATGATTGCAAGAACACGGGTGGTGTCATCGTCTGATTCTTCTTCCCCAGTTCCATTGAGGATTCGAGATTTGAAAGAGAAACTAGAAGCTGCGCAGAAAGCGTCGACTTCAGTTCTTCCTCAAATCTCTAATGCTACTCACAACAGTAGGTACTTAAGAGGAGATCAAAACGAGAAGAAAACTACAGTATTGGGGAAAAGCAGTTGTGATGGGTTGAAAAGTGAAGTGAAGCCACCTTCTTTCTCTGCGCAAGCAAAAGCCAGCAGTAATCAGAAGCAAGACAGCTTAACAACGTCCTCAAGTGGCAACAAGAGGATGTCTTCGGGACAAAAGGAGAAAGTGGAAGCTAAGAATAGGGCGGTTAAAAGCCAAAACAGTATCAAAGGAACTTCCTCGAGCACCGGAAAGAATGTGCTTAAGCAGAACCACCAGAAGCAGAACTGCAGAGACAATCAGCAATCCAGGAGAGTAATGAACAAAGTAGTAAATAAGGTTCTTGTGGAAAGTGGATCTATATCGAAAAGTGGATCTATATCAAAGAGCCCGGGATTTACTATGACATCAGCCGAAAAAACCGACTTCTTTACCTTTATCCCGCAAAAAAAGTCTTCCTCGAAACAAAAAACCACGGAATGGAGTGCAAGAATCGGGAATTTATGAAGATAAGAGGATCAAAAGGGGTGAAAAGTCGATAAAATGTAACATTTCCATTGATGGCGACTCAAGTACGAGTAAAGATGATCAGAAAAGGGACATGGATGTGATATCTTTCACTTTCTCATCTTCGATCAAAGGTTTATCATCTCATCCACAAGGAACCAAACAAGATGCAGACTCTGCTATAAAGTTCAATGTGATAGGTGGTGATTCTTTAAATGCGCTTTTGGAGCAGAAGCTCAGGGAATTGACCTCAAAGATTGAATCATCTAGCTCTAGCTTGATCCAAGAAGAGTCCTTGAGTTCCATTTCAAATGATAGAGCGAATGCGATGATTTCATCGCCATCAAAATATAGCGAACTGACTCAAAGCAGTATTGATAGAATTTTAACAGAGAGTGAATCTGTTTCTGACTGCACTTCATTCTATAACAACCAGAAAGTCCAGGTTAGTTTCGATAAACTGCAGCTTCACTATTCTATTATATCGAATGCTTTTCCAGCTTACCAGTCTCTGAGAAAATGTTGTCTTTTTCCTTAAAGAAGAAGAAGACGATACAGGGAGAAGAACAAGAAGTTAGCAGCATCACCACTCTTACAGAAGCTGATGATTTTGCACTCTCCTGCAGCAAGAGTATCTCAGATTGCAGACATGACAGAGAATATGGTATGTCTTTGTGAATTTATGTATGGATTTGAATTGTTTTGATTTGCAGCTAAACAAGCTTATTGCTGTTGTTTTTTCAGGCATGAAACAGAGTTCATCAGATCAAGAGCTCACTTGCGTTTCATCAAACGAGTCCCAGCGCACCTTAGATGAAACAGAATCACCAACACTCGATTGGGAGCTCGAGTACATAACCGAGATCCTCAACTCTGGGCAGCTCATGTTTCAAGACTTTGCCTCAGGGACAACCACTAATGAATCATTATTACCCTCGAGCCTCTTTGATGAAATGGAACGCTCTCGAGGAACTGCAAAGTCAATGAAGACAGAAAGAAAAGCGCTTTTCGACTGTGTGAATCAGTGCTTAGCGGTGAAATTTGAAAGGATGTTAATTGGAAGCTGCAAAGGGATGATGATGTCAGGTGGGATTTTGTTGGAACATAGAGATTTGTTGGCTGAAGAAGTGAACAGAGAAGTAAAAGGGTTGAAGAAGATGAGAGAAATGATGATTGACGAGCTTGTGGATCATGACATGAGCTGTTTCGAAGGAAGATGGATTGGTTACGAAAGAGAGATGTTTGAGGAAGGCATAGACATGGAAGGAGAGATTGTTTCTGATTTGGTTGATGATTTAGTAAGTGATCTTTTCTCTATTAGTGTTCTTAAACGGTCATTGTAAACTTGTATTGTCTACTTAAGAAGCTTCTTCTGGTTCTGAAATTGTCTGCATGAAGTGAAGTAAATCCGAATGATATACGGCCCAGAAGAAGTGTCACTCTTTTCATTTAAATTGATCTAATGAATACTCGAAACTGTTTCTTTTCATAACAATCTACAATTATATTATTTTGGCATTTTAACATTTTAAAAATGTTTGGAGCTGAGTGATATTTAATAGAAAGTCAAGGTGTCGGTGGCAAAATGACGAGGACACGAGCACTTCGTTTCACATTTTCGGCTTATAATTTCCTCATTAATTACCAAAACGAATCATTACCAGAGATAAATTTATAGATTGTGTTTCTTTTTTTTTTTCTTGTCTACAAATGTTAATCCTTATATTTCAATAATTTTGTAAAAATTCTAACGTTTGAAAAATATATTTCCTTGAATCTTGATAAAAAATCACAATCTATTTAACTATTTTAACCATCAAAAACCGTTATGTCTATAATTAAACTACAATGTTAATATTGAGAATTAGCTTTAAAAATATGTTAGGTTTGGTAAATAGTTGTGTTTTGTTTGCAAAACAATTTAAAAAAGGTTAATTGGATCAATGGGTTGCTTGTTTAAATCACACATCAATATTGATTTTTTGTTTAAATTAGTTGGCTATCAGAATTATTCGAAGAATATTAACTTTGGCCAAACAAAAAAACATTATAACCGGGAAAAAAGGAAAAGAAAAAAAAAGGAATTAGATTCGATGATAATGTTCCACGTGCAATTTCTTTATTTTTTGAAACTTTCCTCCAAATCTTATTGACCTTGACGTGATCCACTTTTAATTAATTTTCCTAAATTTATTACTAACTTTGCCATAATTGCACCACAAATAGTCATCATCAGGGCATATGCAAGGGTGCATCTTTGAAGTTTGATCTTAAGGAGAAAAAAATATTAAAATATTGTAAGAGCTTTAATTAAGATCTTTTGTAAAGTAATTGATTATTGGTAAAACATGTTTAGATCATATGAATTAATAATTTAATAATCAAAAACTTTAAATGTTTTTTAAAAATTAAAAAAATTATTTTCAAAATTGAAAACATTAAAAACTAAACTTATATTAAAATTGATTTGAAAATAAAAAGAAACACAAAATACAAATGAAAAACATTAAAGATATAAATGAAAAACATTAAAACAAACAAACATATTAATTAAAGGTTACAAACATTTTATTTAATTAATACAAAGTTAAAAAGACTTATTAATTAAAGAAAAACGTAACCAATCAGACTTTGCCACGTCACCACAAGAATAGACTTAAAACTGTTCTAGCCCAAGAACTAAACTCATGTTCTAAAGCCTGTTCTCAAAAATTATATTCATTTAAATATTTAAGACCACCCCAAAAGATGGCCCGATAAATGTGGTCTCAGTACGTCATTAGATTTTAAAAATAACAGGTTCTGTTCCTCACATTTTAACCCTCTATTTCTTTTTCGATATCGTAAGATCATTTTTCTTTATTACATATGATGTCATTTCTTCTTTGTTTACAAAAGTAATTTCATTTTTTATTAATAAGAAATCATAATAGTATGGAAAGTATGATAACAATTTTAAAATCCGAATCTGATAAAAGTATTATTTATTCAACTTTAGTTTAATTAATCAAGGTCCACTCCATTCATTAAATTAAGGGAATTAAAGACCATCAGTTTTTAATAGATAAAAAAATATAAGTGTTGTCAAAAAACTAAAAAACATATGTAAGTAAATTTTCTGCTTCTTATAAATCTATGTATTAAGTTATTAACAAAAAAGTAAAAAAAAAAACGTGTTGTCAAAATTAAAGACCATCTCACTTTTCAATATATAAAAATATAAGTGTTGTCAAAAAACTAAAAAAAACATATTTGTTAGTAATTTTTCTTCATTAAGTTATTAAAAAAAGAGTTAAAAAATGCATAAGATTACCACCACCAATCAAAAAAAAAGAGAAGCGACGGTGGGGATTCACGAGGGATGACGTGTGATGACAGCTGTCAACCAAAGAGAGGTGCATCTACTTTATGACACGTGACTCATCAAGACGCACGTGACTGAGCCATCGTCACTTGGTCAGTCGTCGTCTCTCTTCTTCTTCCTCTCCTTTCCCTCGTCTTCATCACTTTCCTAAAATCCCATCACTCTCTCTTTCTTTCTTTCTTTTGGTCCCTCAAAACTGTATAAATTCCCAATTTCCCAGCTCATTTACGTACACACATACATATACTCTCTTATTTTTTTGTATGTGTGTACGAAAACGCATAGCTCTTTTGTTGTCTTTGATCGGGATTTTTGCTGAATCTGTCTTCGCTGTGAGATCGAGTTTCTTGTTTGATTTCGTTTATTCGCCAATCGGAAGTTCGATCGGAGATTGAATGCGTGGATCTGATTACGGTGATTTTACAAAAACCCTTATTGAACTTTTCTCCTTCTTATTTTTTTCTTTATGCTCTCTCTGGAATTGTGATTCGTTTATGTCTGTGACACTTTGTGCTGTGTATCGGATCGATATTAGGTGGTTTTTCTAGATGGTCTTTGTTTTCGTATCTGTTTTAAGTTTGGTGGGTTTTGCGTTAGGATTGGTTTCGTGCTGAAACTGAGTTTCTGGGTAAGATCGAACTTATGAACTGTTATTATTCGGGAGTAAATTTATGTAGAATTGTGGTATTTAGTACCCGAGGATTCTCATGGGATCTATGTTGGTTTGCTATATATCCTATTAAGATCCTTAGGAGATTCTCTCGTTGACCTGAGAGTGAGATTGGATTATGAGAGTGAATTCTATTCTTCTAATTGGAATGCTGATGATTTCATTCTCTTTAACTCTTACTTTCCGCTTCTTGTTTTGTATTTTTAGCTGATAATGAATCAATTTATGCATCCAGTGAGATATTTGGTGGTCAATTTGGAAGCTTAGTTTGATCCTTTAGAACAACATATACCGTAGAATTTGAGGAGACCGAAATAGCTTTTAATTATTTGAGACAGACGCTGGTCTTTTGGATGCAAAAGCATCGAAACTCTAGTAGTGACTAATGCAGCCATCGTTGACATGGAGAAAGTTTGAATTTCGTCTATTTGGCATTGCACTAGTTAGGTTCTGATGTGAGAAACTAAATGAAACTAGTTTGTTTCTTTAATGTGTATCTATGAATCCATTAAAATCTCCGCCTTCTTTGTTTCCATTGCACTAATCCCATTTACCATTTTCGTTTCTGTCAACGCAGATCAAATGATCTCCAGCTTAAGGGTTACTGGTAAATGAAGTTTGCTTCTCAATATTTTGGTCTCTAGGATTTCCTTCTTTTATCTACTGTTCCTTTTATGGGATAAGTAGTGGCTGATATAACTATAGACATCAAGGAAGTTGGCAATGGGAGAGACGGGAGATGATGCTGGGCCATCAGAGCAAGGACCTTCTAATCAAACCTGGTGGCCTTCAGAATTTGTGGAGAGATTTGGTTCTGTTTATCTGGGGTCGCAAGAAGAGACCTCTAGTACTAAAGACTCACCCAGAAATCTTGGGCAAGATGGGCTGCCATCTACTACTGCCTCTAATATTCTCTGGAGTACTGGTTCACTTTCTGAGCCCATCCCAAATGGCTTCTACTCTGTGATCCCGGTAAGCTACTTTTATTTTGATACTAGCTCTGTTCAATGATTTTTCAGTGACATTCATTTGAACTCTATTAACCTGTGTCAATAGTCTTCTTCTTTTTGCTTCCTTTGACAATGTTTTTAGTTAAATTTCTACAGGATAATAGATTGAAGCAACTATTTAATAGCATTCCTACATTGGAAGATCTTCATGCTCTGGGTGAGGAAGGTCTTAAGGCTGATGTGATTCTAGTTGATTTTCAGAAAGATAAGAAGCTTTTCAGGCAAAAGCAGTTGATTACCAAACTTGTCAGTGGATTGAACTCAAAGCCACCTACTATTATTAAGAAAATTGCTGGACTGGTAAGAGTATTTGACATACTTTGTATAAATGGTCAGAGTATCTCTGCGTCATATCTTTTATAATCTACATGCTCAAAATTTGTTTCCTGTATGAAATCACTAAATGACCATATTTTTTCTCCATTTTAAAGTTGCATGCAATAATAGTGATCATAAATGGATAAAATTGAGGTAGGAAGAGTTGTGACTATCCACATTGATCTTAACGTCTTCTTTGTTTTCTAAATTGTGAAACTATCCATATATTTCTGCTGTGGTTCAAGATAAACTTCCCCAACTATTTAGTTCTTGCCCTTAATCTTTCTCTAATTCCACTTGTGAATTGTGCTTGCTTGGAAAAAAGCGTTAAATTAGGAAATACGTATCTTTGTTTGCTTGCCCTTTTCTCTCGCATCCCTTATTAGAACATCAAATTGTTATAGATGCGTTAAGGCAAGCATTTCATAAATCTTGTTAACTCCTTTTAGTTATCTAAAAACCTTTGTTGAAATTGTCTGGCAGGTAGCAGATGTTTATAAGCAATCAACTCTGCAGAGTCCGGCAAAAACTACGCAATCATTTGAAAACTGTGGTATTCAACTGCTAGGACAGATCAAGCATGGTTCTTGTCGTCCTCGAGCAATCTTGTTCAAAGTTTTAGCGGATACCGTTGGTCTTCAAAGTAGGCTTGTAGTGGTAAGTGCTAAGTATCATACAAAAATGTGATCAGTGGTCTTGAGTATCACTCCACTTTTGCATGTGATTGATTAGGGTTGATTAATGTTATTCTCGAGAAAAAATATTCATCATGGCTTAAATTCCGAATATTTTGACCACCTTTAAACATGCTTTAACATTTTGGTTGATTTGTTTGATCAGGGTTTGCCAAGTGATGGAGCTGCTGAGAGTGTGGACTCATATAGTCATATTTCTGTCACTGTTCTGCTGAATTCTGTGGAAATGCTGGTTGATCTAATGCGATTTCCTGGCCAGCTTATTCCTCTATCAACCAAGGCAATTTTTATGAGTCATATCTCAGCGGCAGGGGAAAGTGATTCTGCAGAGAATGACTCTTGTGATTCACCTTTGGAGCCAAACAGTCCCATGTTTGGTTATCCAGAGAGAAATGACCCTGAAAAGTAAGTAAATATTGAAGTTTTAAATAAAATCTCACTGCATGAACATGCACTAATTATAAGTATAGTGTGTACCATATTTTACTGCACCTTCTGTTCAATACTCGGTGTTTTGGTGTGCAGAGTTTCTAATGATTGTTGTTGTACAGTGCAGAAAAAGATGAAAACCTTTCGTTGCACAGGAAACTGGATGGGTCTCCAAATACATCTGGTCCACCATCAAGGAATGTGCTGTTACGATCTGCCTCTGCGCTAGAGAGGAAATTAAGGTGATAAGCCTAGTTGTTTTTATTATGTTTTTGTGCTACCAACCCCAGGTTTGAATATAGCTTCTGTTAAACCGAGGAATGGAATAGATGACCGTATGTCATTAGTATTATCTTTTATTCTCCAGTTTCTCACAGAGCGAGTCAAACATGGCTAACGAGTTTTGGCGGCAGAGCCGGAGAAAGGTCATTGCTGATCAGCGGACTGCTAGTTCCAGGTACTCTCATCCCTGTGGAATGGTATATTTATATGCATTTTGAACCAAGTAATTCGATGTTTCATTCATAATTCCATTTCTCTAATTTCTTAGATCTTTTTTTATATCTCGTCTGCAGTCCCGAACATCTTTCCTTCCGAGCCCGTACAAGGTCCATGCTAAGTGGCGACAAGAACTTGGCACGAGATTTCACCGGTGATGTTGCCACATCAAGGTTCATTATGGTTTTTGTCCTTTGTAACTTAGATATGTTGGAGAGATTTTTGCAGACTTGATTTGAGCTTTTAGTTTTATAAATATGCAATATATACACACAAGAGGGTATGGTATTTGTGAATTGTGGTGTCTGGTTTAGTGCCTAAATTTTGTTAAACAAATGCTTATGTATTCAGTGTTCATGTGCAGCTGCAAATCTGTTGGAGGAGCGAAATTGGAAACTAAGAGAATAAGGAGGAGAAGCATCAGTATAACTCCTGAGATTGGCGATGATATTGTCAGGTGGGTGTTTAGTTTATGGCTCATTGAACTTCTTCATGTGCATGGCAAAGCTAGTATGATGTTTTTCTAACTATCTGCATTCTGGGTTACATATATAGTTGCCTTTATAAACAAACTTCTCTGGTTTCAATATATCCTTATTTTCCAGTGATAGGTTGTAGTTGTATTCTGTTTCACCTTATATTTTTTCTCAGTTGTGATTTCATACATGTATTTGTTCCGACAAAATTAGTGGTTCACTCTCTTATGGAAAATATTAAAAGAATGCAAAGAGAGGGCATTCTTTTTCTAAGTTGGGATCACACATATATATCACTGCACGAGCATGTGATTATATAACATTCCATATATGGAACTAAAGTTTTTAGCAACTGCAATGATTGTTACCTCTCATTAAGATTTATGGACCATAAGTTTTTTTTTTTTTTTTTTTTCCATTAGTTATTTGGAACACGGAGCTTCAGTGTTTTTGTTATTTCATTGATAACTTTGTTTTTAAAGTTACCTGTTAATCTTTTTCAGGGCAGTACGAGCGATGAATGAAGCCTTGAAGCAGAATCGCCTCTCAAAAGAGCAAGGGGATGATGGTTCATCTCCTAACTCTCCAAATGACAGAACTGAGAGCTCTCATCTCCAGAAAAATGTACGTTAAGTTTATTAATATATACATCATTGAAATATTTTGAGAAATTTGGCTATGCTGGGAGCTTGTAATCATAGAAGTTAAAATATTGAAACAAAGAAACTTGGGCTGCAACAGCATACTGTGTCTCTTTTCTCATCGACTAAGTTGAAATGGGAAGTTTTATGAATTTCACGATATGGAAGAAAAATCCTAGAAGAGGCTCTGTTGTGATGTGTAGGAAATCAAATTTACTGTTTCACCAAGGCACAATAATCAATTTCAAGTGGATGTTTGTCAACATGATTAACAATATGGTTCTTGGAAACGTTCACTCATTTTGGATTACGACTTATGAAACTTGTGGCTTAACTAGACTTTTCTGCTTCTAGGTCTCTGGTTTTCATCTTGATGCTCATGACCAAGTTTCTGGTGGAAGGTCGACACTTTCAAGGGAACCACTAGATCCGCATAAGGCAATCTCACTACCATCTTCTCCCCAGAACTACCGAAGCCAATATGAACAGAGTGGATCGTCACATCGTAATATAAGCCATATCTGGGATAAAGTTCTGGGATCTCCCATGTTCCAGAATAAGCCATTATTACCATATGAAGAATGGAACATAGACTTCTCTGAGTTGACTGTTGGGACACGTGTCGGAATTGGTAAGGATCTTTAGCTCAATGTTTTTAATTGGATTTATGCGTTCTTGCAAAATTGTTGGCCATGAATTTCCTTCAAGAAAAGCGTCTAATATTTCTTAATTATCCTTCACGCTCCTTACCCTTGTACTTGTCATCAAATACTTTCTTATTTTTATTTTTTTTTGTATTAGCAACCCATCTAAAACTTCTTCATTGATTTTTACTTCCAGGATTTTTCGGAGAAGTATTCCGTGGGATCTGGAACGGGACAGACGTCGCGATCAAAGTGTTCCTTGAGCAAGACCTTACAGCTGAGAACATGGAGGACTTCTGCAATGAGATATCAATTCTTAGGTAAGTCTATAGGCTTCTCTCTGTTTATTCAAATTTAGCAATATCGTCTTGACTTGTCTGACTTTCTTTCCTGCCTTCTTTTTCTGCGTCCAAATAAACACCAGCCGACTTAGACATCCCAATGGTACTCCACTACTCTTCTATCTCTATGACACTGTAAGATTTTAGTATATGTTTTCATTAACGCATGCATCTTCGGCTTCTTGTAGTTATACTGTTCCTTGGAGCATGCACAAAGCCTCCACGATTATCACTGATCACTGAGTACATGGAAATGGGATCTTTGTATTATTTGCTCCACATGAGTGGACAAAAAAAGAGGTTAAGCTGGCGGAGGAAGCTAAAGATGCTGCGTGACATTTGCAGGTAATTTCATCTTCCATACAAAACCGTGTATTCTTCTTTCCAACATAATGTGGTATAATATTGTAAAATATGGGTTTGACGAGAAGGCAATAACAGTATAACACTTCCAAATAGGACCTGGAATTGTGTCTTGATGAAGAAATTTTGTAATCATTTTTTATTAATGAACAGCGTTTAAACTTGTAAAATGTTGCTAGGGGCTTGATGTGCATACACCGGATGGGGATAGTACACCGTGATATAAAGAGCGCAAACTGTCTTTTGAGCAACAAATGGACAGTCAAGATATGTGATTTTGGGCTCTCGAGAATAATGACAGGCACAACAATGAGAGACACAGTCTCAGCAGGAACTCCAGAGTGGATGGCTCCTGAACTTATCCGCAATGAGCCCTTCTCGGAAAAGTGTGATATCTTCAGCTTAGGTGTAATAATGTGGGAACTCTGCACTTTAACCAGACCTTGGGAAGGAGTACCGCCTGAACGGGTAACATAACTGAACAAGAAGAAGGCTCTTTAGTGACATGTGTGATGTGTCTATATATAACAAGTTTCTGCATATTTTTTCTCAGGTTGTTTATGCTATTGCTTACGAGGGAGCTCGGCTTGAGATTCCTGAAGGACCGCTGGGAAAGCTTATTGCAGGTCTTGTTTGTGACTGCTCAAAGTGTTGTTCCTGAATCTTTATCTGATGTTTTTGGAATATCCTTTTCTGATGTGTTTACTCTTGTCCGCAGATTGTTGGACAGAACCGGAACAAAGACCGAGTTGCAATGAGATACTCTCTCGTTTGCTGGATTGCGAGTATTCGCTTTGCTAACTTCTGTCAATCATTTTCCTTCTGTGAATATAAAACTTTGCAGCGAGAGAGGTTTTTTTCTCTTCGTTTTCTTTTTTGAATATTGTTGGCTTTCTTCATTGAGTTTGTACAAAAGAACTTTGGCGGTTTCACAAAAAGCTTTGTGGAACTCTTTTCCGTTTGATCATTTGCAAATTCGTAAATTCAAAAACCTTTTAAAGAAAAAAAGTAGACTTACAAATTTTACAAAAAGCGAGAAGACTTGCTCACTCGTTCAGTTTAAATGATTAATAAGCCTTTACTCTTTTTCGTACCATAAGGTTTGTTCCCTGCTTTGCATTTGCTATGAGAAGGTGTTGTACACAAATAAATATATTTTCGTTTACGTTAAAAAAAAAAATGAAAAGGAGCTTTTTTTTTCGATAACTTTCAAAAAATGATCTTTTGGTCAGACTACTTGGTACTACTAGCATTACATTTTACGGAAACTAAAATAAACTAAATCAAACATCTAATGAGCCATATTCGATTAGTCAATTACCTTGATTTTCCTCTACAGTTTCAGAAAATTTCACCATGCTATAAATTTTTCAATTACATACTATTAATGGTCGATACCAATTCATTTCTTACCGTTAAAAATCATATTCTAATTAAGCTAGACAAAATTGGAAAATGTCAACCAAAACCATAAATAATACCAACTAATCTTAAATTGTGAAAAAACTTCTTATGTAAAATAAAAGTCAACACAAAATTGACTAACCTAGAAAACCATCTTATAAACAAACGTTTTGATACATTGAGATAAAAAGAGAGAAATTAAAACATAATGAAATTTGTTTAGAACTACTACACGTATAAGTTATAACTAATGAATTTTAAACTAGACTATAAAATTTCACATGTTTTTCCATAAAATTGAATATTAAACAGAAAAATATATCTTCTTATCTCGTAAAAAGTAAGAAATTTTAAAAATGAAAATAAAAATATTTTAGCTCTTAAAAAAACGAAATTAACGATATATATAAATGAGTCTGCTCACGGTTTAGTACATGCACACAAAGCAAAAACGCTGGTTTGTTTTTTTAAAAGAACTTCGTTCCTCTTCAATTCCGTTACCGTCACCGTCACCGTGACTGTTCCACCTCCGTTTATCTCATCCTCACCGTTCATCTTCTCCGATCTAACTCGCCGTCGTTCACCGTATGATGGACGCCGTCAACGATTCCTTTTCGCCGGGATCTTCTCGTCCTTCGCCGTCGACGCTTTCTCGTGAAGATTGCTGGAGCGAGGAAGCGACCTTCACGCTAATCCAAGCCTGGGGTAATCGCTACGTCGAGCTTAGCCGTGGTAATCTCCGTCAGAAACACTGGCAAGAGGTGGCTAACGCCGTTAACGACCGTCACTACAACACCGGCCGAAACGTTTCCGCCGCCAAATCGCAGCCGTATCGCACCGACGTTCAGTGTAAAAACCGGATCGATACTTTGAAGAAGAAGTTCAAAGTCGAGAAGGCTAGGGTTTCCGAATCCAATCCCGGTGGCTACATCAGCCCTTGGCCTTTCTTCTCCGCTCTCGATGACCTTCTCCGGGAAAGCTTTCCGACGTCTAGTAATCCTGATTCAACTGATAACATCCCGAGCCAGAGGCTATCACTTCCGATGGCGATTATTCCAGTTCCGGTCGCTCCACGATCGGCGATCCCCAGACGTCCGGCGACCTCGCCGGCGATTATACCTCACGCCGGTGACGATTTACTCGGATTCCGCGGAAATCTAAATGCATTCGCGGCAGCCGCAGCGGCGGCGGCGTGTCCGGCGTCTGAGGATGATTCGGAAGGTTCGAGGTCTAGATCGAGCGGACGAAGCGGAAGTAACAAGAAGCGGGAGAGGGAAATTGAGAAGAAGCAAGGTTACAAGGAAGTTGCCGACGCAATTGAGAGGCTTGGACAGATATACGAGAGAGTCGAGGAGAGGAAGAGGAAGGAAATGGTTGAATTGGAGAAGCAGAGAATGCGATTCGCTAAGGAATTGGAATGTCATAGGATGCAACTCTTCACTGAGATGCAGGTACGTCTTCATAAGCTCCGGCGTACCTCTGGCTCCAAAGGACCGACTTCCTCCGCCTCTGCCGGTGAGACCTGAATCCTTTTTCTCGCCGTATATCGTAATCTGTTCGGAATTCTGTGTCTTTCTCCATTGTTTAGCTGTGTGTAACAGTGACTATAGCATAAGAGTAGAAAAAGAGTTTACCTTTACTTGTGATTCTCTGTGCCAACGACGGCTATAAGTATAATAAACCCATCTGTGAAAGATTTGACAAGAATTCAAAGTACAATGCTTTTGCTTCTTGCAGAAATGATCTACATGATTTCATATATGTTTTTAGAGGTTTATTAAAATTCAGTAGCTTGGGTAGATTCTGCAAAAGAAAGACTAGTAAAGGAAATGATGTTGGTACAAAGCAAATTGATTTCGCACATAGATGATGAATCTGAACAAAAATTAAACTAACTAGTAGCAAGTATTGGTATTCATGGTAAGTAAGAGGTTCTGGGTACTTTTCTCTCCTAGATATTGTTGCATTGTTACTTCTGTTTCTTGCAATTATAGCTTGAGGCTGGAAATTTTTTTACAATGACTGATGTGAGCATTAGTTGGGAAGCAGTTCATGAGCTAGAAAGTTGAATCTGCGTCTGTTTGATACTATAGCTTAAGCATGAGTGCTTTGTGAAGTGGCACGATGATGGTTTCCTCTATTGCATTTCTATTTGAGTGTGATGCCCAATAAGTTTGTTTAAACTCTACTATAAAGAGTAGCCTTAGGAGTTTCCGTATAATACACATTACTGGAATTTAGTTGGTTAGTTGATTGAGAAGATTGTGTGTTTACATGCTGACTGCTTCCAAAGTTAGGAAAGAATGGGTATCAATGTTTGAAAGAGAATGCATGATATGTTGAAGAATAAGTTTTGGTTTAGAGGGACAATGCTCGAGATACTGCTGAAGAATGAAACTGAGAAAACAAACTACCATGACAAGATTTGCAACCATTAATTACTGACATGTCTCAGGAGACAAAATTTGATTTTTTTTGATGCATCAAATCTTTCCTGCAACTTGGCTATGGCATTACACAACAGACCGTTGTTTTTTTTCGTTTTTGCTTGGTCCATTTTTCTCTACTTGTTAGTCTAACCTTCACCTGCTACTTTGATGAATTCCTCTTTGCATTACATGTTTGACCACTAGAACTAATAATCAGCAGCAGTTTATGTGGGAATAATAAGTGAAAATTTTCTGTGTATGCAGCTCTTGATTATGGGATGATGGACTTTCCTAGTTACTTCTGATGGGTAGGCCTCCTTCCTTTTTATCTATTTTCAAAACTCTCTCGTCGATCAAAACTTTGTCTATGTAAATCCAAAAGTCATGTTTTGAGTTGTTGGTCTTAAGTCGTTGATTTTGTTTTGCAGCATCATGAGTTTGTGATTGTAGCCATTGATGAAGATGGGAGAAGTCAGCATCTAAGCGTTCTTCCACCAACTAATAGAAGATATGGTAACAAAGAAAAATGAGTTTGTCTTTATTTTGTAAATTTTTACCCTTTTAGAAGATTCCGATTCCAACCCAGGATTGAAAAGAAAGAAAATTGGTGACGTTATAATGGTATATCTAAGTGCAAGAAATAGTTTTCAGCAAAATTTCTTGGTTATTAATTTATTATTATTTGGTATATCTATAGTAATTCATTATTTTTCTATTACAAATCTCATCTCCATAACATGTTTAGTGTTCACTAAATTTTCTCTTTAGCCTAGTCTAGTACATGTGATATGTTTTCTCTTTTCAAAAATGAAACTTAAAGAGAGTTTGATAACAGAATTTGAATGTATTCCTATAGGGTAAAGATCATATATAGGATCTTAATCTTTTTTTTCTTTTTCAAAAATCATATTTAAGAGATTTTGATATCATAGTAAATGATATGTATTCATTATATTTTTTGTTTTGTCAACATGTGTTCATTAGAAAAGCCCATATATAGGATCTTAACAATTACCAGCTCATAATGTAACTCAAAATTTACTAGATTCACCAATAATAAATTTCCTCTTATTCCTGATAACAAATAATTTTTATTTAAATATCTAATGTATAAAAATATATACAAATAGCAAAAAAATTCCATACAAATTAAATACACAAATTAATAAATAAAAGAAAAATATATGCTTTTACAAATGTAATACTTCAAAAAAAAAGTTAAAAGTTCTAATAATTTTATATTGTAAATACTCTGTAAAACCTTTAAAATACCTTGTAAATTTTTTCCGCCAAAAATTTTCCCAGCCAAAAAAATTGCGGAATCACTTTTCCCGCAAAAAAAATTTTTTGGCGGGAAAAATTTTTACGGGAAAATTTTACAAGGTATTTTAAAGGTTTTTACAAGTGTTTTGGCGGGAAAATTGCGGGATCATTTTTCCCGCCAAAAATATTTTTGTATTTTGTGGACCTAATTTTGTTTCAAATAAGGGTAAAATGGTCATTAAAAATTAAAGAGGGCAAACTAAAAAATAGACTCTCAAAGGGGCATTTTTGAAAGAGAGACTCACAAAAATGCCCTTTTTTCAATACCCCTTTTCAAAAATGCCCCTTTTGGCTGTCCATTTTTAAAAATACCCCTTTTTATGTACAAAATGACTAAATTACCCTTCTTTTAATAAAATATATCACAAATATATAAGGAAATATAACAAAATTAGGTCCACAAAATACAAAATATTTTTTGGCGGGAAAAGTGATCCCGCAATTTTTCCGCCAAAACACTTGTAAAAAAACCTTTAAAATACCTTGTAAAATTTTCCCGTAAATTTTTTCCCGCCAAAAAATTTTCCCGCCAAAAAAATTTTTTTGCGGGAAAAGTGATTCCGCAATTTTTTTGGCGTTAAATTTTTGGCGGGAAAATTTACAAGGTATTTTAAAGGTTTTTTACAGGGTATTTATAAGGTTTACAATGTATTTTAAAAGGTTTTACAACGTATTTTATAAGGTATTTATAAGATATTATAAGATTTTACAAGCAATTTTATTAGGTTTTACAAGTTTTTTATAAGGTTTTACAAGTTATAAATACCTTATAAAACCTTATAAATACCTTGTAAAACCTTTTAAAATACATTGTAAAACCTTACAAAACACTTGTAAATACTCTGTAAAACCTTTAAAAAACCTTGTAAATTTTTCCGCCAAAAATTTTCCCGCCAAAAAATTTCGCCAAAAAAATTGCGGAATCACTTTTCCCGCAAAAAATTTTTTTTTTGCGGGAAAATTTTTGGCGGGAAATTTTTTTACGGGAAAATTTTACAAGGTATTTTAAAGGTTTTTTACAAGTGTTTTGGCGGAAAAATTGCGGGATCACTTTTCCCGCCAAAAAATATTTTGTATTTTGTGGACCTAATTTTGTTTCAAATAAGGGTAAAATAGTCATTAAAAATTAAAAGAGGGCAAACTTAAAAATGGACTCTCAATGAGGGCATTTTTGAAAAGGGGTATTGAAAAAGGGCCATTTTTAACAATTTCTCTTTTTGAAAAGGGGTATTGAAAAAAGGGCATTTTTAACAATTTCTCTTATATTTATCATGTCATCTCTTTTTTTTTAGGATTACTAATATATAAGATTGTTAAACGACAGAGGTACCGTATAAAGTATAGTAAAACTAAGGAGTCATGGAAAGAAGAGAAGAGAAGACAAAAGATATCAATGTAACAACAACAACAACAACAACAACACAACCATATCCTCGTGCCGATTGGATTCCCTTTGATCTAACGAGGGAGATACTTCTGAGACTGTCCTCAAAATCTTTCATGAGGTTTCGATGCGTCTCAAAACTATGGGCGGCGTCTATCACCTCCGATCCAGATTTCATCAACGCTCTTGTCTTATGCTAAACTTCCAAAGAAATGAACAAACAATTGTTCTTATCATTTCCGCAGCAAAAGAATCTCAGAGTGTGCGTGGAAAAATATCATCTCACTTTCGAGAAAGTAGATAGAGACGCACCGATTTTTCAGCTTCAGTCCGTGCATGGTTTGATCTCTTTCCATTATTTTTATCATGTTGTAGTTTGGAATCCTAGCATGAGACAATATGTTACCTTTCACAAACCACGCATATTAGGTATACACTGTTTTCGCATAGCTATTTAGGATATGATCCTGTTGGAAATACGTATAAACTACTGAGCATTTCATACGGCAGCACTGTTGATTATTCTGTTCTTACACTGGGACCTCGAGAATCATGGAGACAGATCGAAGAAATTCCTACGGGTTTTTTTATCATGTAAAGGGATATGCATCAGTGGAGTTTTATTTATTATTGTTGACATTTATAGAGTTCGAAAAGAAATAATGTGTTTTGATGTGAGGAGTGAAAAGTTGAAATTAATCCAAACACACAATTGTATGCGGTACGAAGATTTGAAGCCTAATCCTTCACTAATGAGCTACAAGGGGAAATTAGCATGGCTTATCTTAGAATCATCATTTTACAAATTATGGATTCTTGAAGATGCTGAAAGACAAGAATGGTCGTGCCAAGACTTTCATATACCAATGTCTCTGGAAAATCCTATTGTGGAAGTTGATTACTTTCTAAGTAATGTGACAGAAGATGGTGAATTTGTTTCGGTATCATGGCAAGATAAAGAGCTTTATGTGTCCTATTATGATCCAAAGAGAAAAGGTAACAGGAGGGTCAAGATTGAAAAATTTGAAGATGATGATTTTTGGCTCCGTAATGGATGTCGTCGTGACGATTGGGTATTTCTTGGAAGTATTCCGGATCACATTGAGAATCTCATGTCTCTAAAACACATGACAACTTGTTCACCTTCTGTTGAGAATCGCATGTCTCTAAAGCACATTACTTGTTCACCTTCCGTCTGATTCTTTCTGAATGTTTTAGTTTGTGTTCTATATTTGGTGCCTCAAGTGACTTGTATCAAACTATAGTTTATTTGCCAATGGATATTTTATTGAAAGCATAAAATTAAGAAAAAAATGTTATTACAAGCAGCCCAGCCCACCAGACCCATGCGCTTGTAAGTAAGAGTTTCTAAAACAAACAAAAATAAGAAAATCAAATGAACCTTTAAATTGGGGCTTTTTAGCATGAATGAGAAGCATGCATTTTCCTCAAGACTGATACATACAATCGGAGCAGGTTTCAATATGATAATACAGTAAAACAAAAACAAAAGAATGAAAATTTCAATTAACAAATGGCTCTTTGAATCAATTTACGTTCGTGAAGACTAAAGATTTGAAAGAAAAAAAGAATGAGAAGAGAGATATGTTATAAGAGGAAATGCGTGACAGAGTCCTCTAGTAACTGATGACTAGGACATACCATTTCCTTCACTTTTTCTCCGTTCTTATAGATCTTAAAGGTTGGAACTTTCTTGATGCTCTCTGCTTTCGCCAACGCCAAGCTTTCCTCCACGTCCACCTATAGACAAACCCGGTTGCCGCGTTAAACCAAAAAAATTAACCATTTCGCACCAAATGCTACCGCGAATGCAATGGAATATACTAGATTGAGCATAAGAACAAGTGTCTTGCCTTGAAGAAATGTACTAATGGATACCGTAAGCATAAGGTGTTGACAAATGGAGATATTGCTTCGCTTTGTCGGTTTGATGATGATTTGAAATGAAACACAGAGATTCCTGAGGAAAAGTTTCCATTTTTTGTTAGCAAAGAGAGGAATCTTGAAACTTAAATTTGCAAAGTGAGTTCATTCGATTGTACCGGGTAGTGATGTTGCGGTCTTAAACTTATCTATAGTCGAAACTTCTTCAACTTCATTATTGAATCCCAGGTATTTAGGTTCTTCGGATTTGTTCGATAGAGCGGTCCTTGCTCTCTGTAAAGACTCAGCAACCTCGCTGTCTCCTGGAAGTTCCTTTCTCAATACTTCATAATCTCTAACCGCATCCTCCCATCGGCCAAGCTGCATTTAGCAAAAGCAACTTTGTCAATTCAAATACTTATAAACACCGTTCGAAACCAATTCAGTGTCTTTAATCTAACCTTTCCATATGAAGCAGCTCTTCGGAGAAGAGCTTTGGTGTAACTAGGCTGGATTCTTAGCGCTTGATTACAATCATCAACAGATTTCTCCCACATACCGAGTTTAAACCAACATGCCGCTCTATTACAATACAAAACCGAGTTGAAAGCATCGAACTTGAGTCCATCCCCATAAGCCACACTCGCCTCCGAGTATCTCCCTGAACTAAAGAGCTCGTTTCCACGGGTACGAGATTTTGCCACATTCTTCACATTGTTTAAGACCGATACTACCTCGGGACTATTGCTATGATCAATCGTCATGGCTCTCTCCGTCTTTACAACCGCACTCTCAAATCTGCAACAAACCTATCATCTCTACTCACTCACCCAAGAACCAAACAACACTACTAATAAAGAACCAAAACAACTTAAAAAATTTAAGCATTTCAAAGCTCACCTTCCTAACGCCATATCAACTTGAGCTTGAACACAGAGCACATAAGCATCACATATTATACCAAACAGTTTCGCAGGTGGTTGAGTATGATGATGATCCAATCTCGGAATATTAGATAGACACAAATCTGAATCCTTTATCTGATGAAGCTGCAAAAAGGCTTCAGCTTTACAAGCTACAAGCTGCACAAGATCAAACCTCATTGTTAAAAAAGGTAAAGTCTTTTCGCTGATAATTCAAACACAAAAGAGGCAATGCCACATTATGATCTCTAACCTGAGGAGAAGAATCAGCTCCACTTGCAATGGCTGCATCGATTTCGCTAACTACCGTTCTCCAATCACCGATCTTTCGAGCCTCCGTACACAGTCTGAGATGCTTCTCCAGCGTCTGCAACCTCCGCAAATCAGCTTGATCAGGACACTGCCCGGAAATACAAAGATGACGTCTCGCATTCTCAGCTTCTCCCAATCTAAAACCAATCAAAGATTATTCCTTTTTCAATAAAAAAAACTTGGGTTTAAACTTTGAAGTATAGATTTTTATACCTGAGATAGAGAGAAGCGAGTCTCTGGTGAGCTCTAGCGTAAGAAGGATCAAATCTCACAGCTTCAAGACATTCTTTAACTGCTTCGTCTAACCTCCCTGACGCAGCCAACGCCGCCGCACGATTGCTTCTGTAAGCTGGATTTTCCGGTGACAATGAGATTGCTCTGTCGTAAAGAGCCAATGCCTCAGCGTAATTCCCTTTCCTATACATTTCGTTACCTGCCTTCTTCGCCTCCTCTGAGTCTCCCATTTCCGCCGCCGCTTTCGTCGCGTGACTCACCTTTCCGCCGCTGCGGATGATGTTTCCGTGGCCGTAGTTGGCCGTGCCTGTGCATAGAGTCTCCGGTCTAACAGAGGCTCGTGTAGCCATTCCGGTTTTTAAGATCCTTCCCGACGGACAAATGTTTCCGGTAGGTAAAACGCCGGGATTCGGCGAGGTAGCCCCGCTTCCTCCGCCGCGAGAACTGTTATTGTTCACCGGAGAGAACCCCAAACCGGAATAAATCAACGGCGTTCCAGCAGAAGCAGATCTTCTATGACCCGGTTTCAGACTCCGGTTCACGGATCCGGGTTTAACCGGACTGGTCTCGCTTAAACCAGAAAACTCGCCGGAGTGACCCCGTCTAGCAAACTGAGAAGTGACAGCCGGTTTGCCGGAAGCAGAACCAGAGGAGCTTGAACTGCTGCCACTAGCGGCAGGAGTGGCAGCGGCGGAGGAGGAGCCACGTGGCCTCAACGGAGAACCAAAATCGAGTTCTCGAAAATCGGGTTTGTCGATGACGTCATCGTCTCGTTGGAAATTCAAAGAATCACGGAATTTAGTGGTAATGGAAGGTTCTAGCGAATGTCTTCTATAATGTGACATCTTCTTCAATACCAAAATCTTAATCGCCTCAGAAGAATCACAGAGAATGAAGACGAAGAAGAGTTATTGAAGATTGAGAAGAGAGATGTTTGTGATATATAAAAGGAAGCCGAAGAATTGAGAACGAAGAAGATGGTGAAATCAAAATAATTTTAGATTACCGCTAAAAAAACTTTATTAATTAACTTAAAACGACTAATTCTGTGTGTTTTTTTTTTAATATTGTGAGATTAAGACATTGATCTTCTTCTTATGCTTCTGTTCATCACGAGCCTCTCATATAATTCCGTGTCTTTCACGGCTGCTTGTCGCTAAATATACGGTGATTTTATAAAACTTTAATCCATTTAGATATTATTATGTACTATAGAGACTGTGTCTGTATGTATGGTTGACTTTCAAGTTTATTTATGTTTGAACAGAATCTAGATGAAACTTGTATTTGCCGACCACACAACATAAAAAAAAACCGTAAAAGTCAAAATAAAATGAAATTTGTACTTTGTTGATCTTTGGATGTTTTTGGGGTGTAAATACGAGATCTTACATGTTTCTAATGAAAGGACGGTCAGAAATAAAAGTCCGTGGATATATTACGCATATCTTACATGCATGCATGTATTTAGGTTCAAACCATTGTGTATTTGTTAAAGAAGATAAAAGACGATTTGAATTTGTTTGATCTAAATGTTAGTAATGAAACTACATGATATTTCGATGTAATATATTACATACGGACCATTTCTGTGAAAGCATCGAGATTTCTTTTTTCTCACAACAGAATGTTGGGCAAAGAATCAAGCTACGCAATTCATAAGAAAGAAATTAATATAAGTCACATATCCTATGTTTATAACAGTGATTCGTACCAAATTATAATATTAGTTTGTATGTAATAATACTGTTGTAATGTGTAATGAGATTGCAGCTTGAAATGAAAAAAGCCACCTCCGGATTTTGAACTCTCGTATCAGAGTCAGACTCAGCAAAAATTGAGGGTAAAATCGTCTTTTAGGCCATATGTGTTATATATCAAACTAGCTAGCTAGCTCCAAAAAATGAATTAGGATTTTGAATTTTGAGCTTTGAAACCTTAACATATAGGCCAAAATTGTGAATAAAACAATCATAAAAACATACTAATTATTTTATAAATTCACACGAAAATGAAGAAAAAAGGACGGCATATTTATATTCGTATAAGAGAGAGCAAAAGAACAGAAAACAAAAGCAGAAAAACAGGGAAAATTCAAAAGCAAAAGAGAAGTGAAGGCTCATTTACTGATGCATAGCAGGCAATATTTTTAAAGGCGTCACTCGAAAAGCCTCCTATTCTTTCTTGGATTAATAAGACAAATATTCATTTACTAGTACTCCCTCTGTTTCACAAAGAGTGTCGTTTTAGAGTTTTGCACACAGATTAAGAAAACATTAATTTTTTATTTTTTCTAAACAAAAACATCATTACCTATATACTTAAACACAATCTGCCCAATAGTAAAACAATCTGCAGAATACTAATAGTCATAAAACATAAAAAATCATTAAATTTTGCATTGAAAACCTAAAACGACACTCTTTGTGAAACAAAAATAAAACCTTAAAACGACACTCTTTGTGAAACGGAGGGAGTATTAAACTTTAATCAGTGTTCTGATATATTTACCATTTATATATATCCTCTATGGTTCTGCTATAGCTTAACTAAATAAATGGAGTGTAGTAGAAGCACGAAGGAAACAGAAATAGTTAGAAACGCTAAATAGGGGCAAAATAGTAAATATAGGACGACGCTGGCCACGTGCGAGAGTGACCATGCCAGCTGTTTCGCTACAGTTGCCAGCTAAGCTCGCCGAATAAACATTTTAACGGAACCGAACGGAATATTATGAAAGCGGTCCCCAATCTCCCGCCGAACCGACGATATGGGCGATACACAATTTCTCCATACCGGACGGTCCGTGACATGAGTCGCTCCAAATTTCGGATCAATCGAACCGGTTTTTTCAAACCTTGACCTAAAATAGTAAGTATAAAAAATAGAAATATCAAGTACGTAAATCAGAAGAAATAGAAAATATAATTTGGTCCCCGACTAAAAAAAATAATCATTGATGGATCGGAGAAGCACCTTCCTACCTTTCACTGTTTCACACACTAACAATAATGAACATTTTAACTCAATTATTGAATTATTCACTCCAAAAATACATCAAAAAAAGAGGTCACACTCACACCCAAGTAGATATACTGCAAAAAAAATGCATATTAAATTGCATATCGCATATTATAAATGTATGATGATCACATAATACATATTGTAGCAGCTTGCATATTTAAAGGTTAGCACAATCACAGTAATAAGTAGTTCAATCTTTGTTTGTTGCAATAATTGATTCATAGACTCTCAAGTCTCAAGAAGCATTCTTCTCTCATATTTTTATAGAAAAAATTATAACTAAAATAATACTAGTACTGGTGTTGGCCGCAACAATTGACCCAATCATAAAAAACGACAAAGAGGAAATGGTGAGTAACATTTCAAATATGGAATGAGGGTAATTAGCTGGTAATTACGGTGTCATTAAGGGCCTGATTGGCAAGTGCTTTAGAGTCTTTACAAAGCAAAAAAATTTCTAAAGATTTGAAATACATCCAATCAAGCTTTAGAAGCTTTAGCTTTCCTTTTTTTTCTCACAGCCAAAATATTTCCTTAATTCATTTTTTTGGCTGTAGAAAGCTTTTTTTCCTAAAGCACATAATTTTTAACTTTCCAAAATTTTAAATTCTACAGCCAAAATACTACAGCAATAAAATCTACAGCCACAGCAAATAAACCTACAGTCATATTTCTACAGCAAAAATGTAAAGCTACAGCTGTTACCAATCAGGCCCTAAATAATTGTCGGGGATTGTTCTCAGTAAATAAAATAACAGAAATTGGGTTCAAATAAAACAAAGAAGAAATAAGGAGAGAAAAAAAGGGAGAAAATCGCTTTTTCCTCCGATTGGGGAACATACTTTACACATAATTAATTTTATTTGTAAGAAAATTAGTGCTCCTAATTTCTCAAGGGCATGACCTTAATTAATTATTATTGGTGCTGACTGTGCTGGACGAACATGGACCCACATTTGTAAGATTCGAACGTGACGTCTGTTATATTGTTTAGCCTAAATTTTTCATTAGATTAAAAATTCACTATGGAGCTAATACACAAAACGTCGCCAAACAATAATATGTAATGTATCAAAACTTTTAGAAGAAATAGATTTCTAAGATAAGTCACATGAATTAATGAATATATATTTTCTTCTTTTCATTTATACTTTAAACATCAAGAAAAATTGTTTAAGATAACAGAATATATATAAATGTTTGTATTTACTGTTTTTTTTTCAAATTTTTGTATCCCAAAATTAAATATATACTACAAGACAAATATATCAATTCAATCACTAGTAAAATTATAAAGTAAACATGGATTTTATTTCTAGAAAAATCTATTAAATATTATTGCCATTAATGATTTTATCTTTTACTGCACATCGCCAAAGCTGCTAGTGTTTGCATGACAGTTTAACATATGACTACAAAAATTGATCATTATGGACGAATGAGAAATGGTTGCAGTCAAAGTTTCCCTTAATATTTGTAGGAAATCGATTTTTACAGTGTATGCTTTTGCCTTGGTCACTAGAAGATTCATCAAATGACTATGTTAATTTATTAAGCATAAACTCTGTAGTATCTGTCAATTTAATATTTATTTATCAAAAATATTCACACATATATACAGAACATATGTAACACCAATAACTGGGTCATATACATTTTTTTAAAAAAGGAGAACCTATTAATATTTCGATCTAATAACTTATTCGAATGTAGAGTTGGAGACATTTTTCATTACTGGAAAATCTTTTTGTTTAAAGAATTATTCAGACACTACAGCGATCTAGACAACCTAAAATATTGATAATAAACATATAGTTCTAGCAATTATTTATTTAAGCATATCACATTGTATATTCTGTTTTGGTCTAACGGTATATGTAAGTAATTGGGTAAATAAACAAAATGATTCCCAATACTATATACAACGACAAATAAACCACGTATGGGTGGCTATTATCTGGATTTCTATCTTTTTTTTTTCTTTTTTTTGTTTTGTCAACATCTGGTTTTCTAATTATTTGATTGATAATTTAAATTGATCGATAAACGACGCTTGGCTAAGCTCGATCCTTATGGTCATTAAGGGTATCCAATGTTTCATCATTCATATATTTTAGTTTCATAACCAAAATGATGTCAGTGCAAAATACACTAAGCAGAAGAATATATGCAGATCGCATTACCGTCCAACTCGCATTTTTTTATAAAAATAGAAATGTTGCACGTTTAATCGAGACTGCTAGACCGAATATAATTAACTATATTATCTGATTCTCATAAGATTTACTTCTTGATGTACACTACAAGTATGCGAAAACAAAATACATATATTGTAGATTTGTTCCAAAGATGTTTGAATTGAATTGTATTGTTTTAGTAGTATGTACGTCATGGTTGACGGAAGATAAAGGTCGACGATAAGTTTTTCTATAACTCAAAACGATGATCGATTTATTCTATTTCTGTGTGGCACATATATGCATATTTCTAAACATAGTCTTTTGTATTTATATATACAATCGAGAAGTTTAGGATTTCAACTTATAATTTTCTTAAATCCGAAACTAGTTTTTGATAATTTATGTGAATGTTTAAATCATTATTTGATACATGTTCAAACTAACACAACTCTTCTCTAATCAATAACTAGTAGCATTCATATTGTTGTGGTGGGTGCTAACGTAATTGAAAGATAGCAAGTAGATTGGTTTTATGTTTAGAAATTCCAAATTATATAGTTATATAAGTAATTAAAACAATTAATCAAACTAACAACATTATTGCAATGATCCTTATTGGTTGCCACCTGAGGCTATATGCTCGAGCATGTGAGCATATGCTCACAAGCTGTGAATTATCTTCTTTATCTGCAACATCGATCATCGCCATCATGATCAATTAACAGATTAATTAAGGAGTTTATTCAAAATGGTTATTTTCTTTGGTTTCTTATAATCATGAACGAGGAAAAAGTTGAAGAGCTTTTCGTATAGTATGCACGATTTATGTGCTGTTTATTTAACATCTCACATGCCAGTGTATATATTGATTTTTAGAATGAGTTTTTTTTTTTTTTTAATCTATAAAAGAATTTAAAAGAGTTAGGGCAAACTTATTTGACATATATAAGTAAGTTACTTTTTGATAATATAGATCAGAGATGATGTTCCAACGTTGTTAAAATTGGATTCAAATCTGGTGGTACTATTGGAAAATATAAGATGAAGATCAATAATGTATAGGGGCTATAAGTACACCTTTATACAGATTACTTAATTAGGCTATAGAAAATAGTTAAGTAAATAATAAACGAATGTCGAGATTATTAAACATAAAAAATATATTAAACAATCTGAAAGACAACTTGAGTACATCTCACGTTTGTTTTCTTCTAAATATATTTTCTGGATGAAAGAACTAACATTTATAGGTTTATTTGTATATGGTGATGATAAATTGATAATGATGAGGCATACTCTTTGGCTTGATCGGAATCATGGTTGAATTGGTATTCACAGAAATAATTACAAAGCATTGGTGTCAAATCAAGATGATTTCACACTAAACACCAAGATTTTGTCTTTTAATTAACAAAAACAAAACACCAAGATTTTGTCTTATAACAAAATTAAAGTAAATAAATTTAAAGGGTATAGGCCCCGTCGTGGGATTCCACTAATTACTCATTAAAGTCTTTTTCCTTCCAAAAATAACTAATTGATCATTAAAATCATGGTTTTTTTTTTTTTTAAGTACACTAGACGATAAATTATTTTGGGTTACTCACTTACTTAATATGTTTAGTGGAGATATAAGAGATACATTATTAGTATACTTTTCTTATCATGTATGAAATCTAACTAATTAATTATTAATTTACGGAATGGTATATCCTTTGTCCCAAAAAAAAAAACGGAATGGTATATCAAAGTTTATGTTTTCATAAACTTTTTTTTTTTTTTGACAGTTTTGTTTTCATAACTTGCAATCTATTAAATTTAAATTTGGATGGTGACTCAACAACATAGTAATACAAACCATTACGGGACATATGTTCGTAAGTGGTCTAGGTGTTTCATATATTTTAGATTAGCTTAATGACATAATGATTATGTTCTTGCAACGTTTATCATTGGATAATTTTATGGATGAAAATTTAAGTTTAGTGATTCCACAAAGTTGACAAAAATTTCGTCATTTCAAGATATTAGTCTAGATAATTCTTTTCATAGTGATTGTTCTAAACCTCCATGTATTCGAAAAATATTTTCTAGTTTTTGTTAGTTCAATTCATTACCAGTTATAACTAAACTTAACTCTGCGACTTTAAATCATCACGTTACTTATGCAGTACGAACAACAAACCAAAACCACTAAACTACGATAATAGTTTGAGACTCTAACCTTTAACCCCAAACCTTGTTCTCTCATACTTTCTATCTCTTCTTCTTCTTTTTTTTTGCTTTGCTTAGATTCAACTGTCCTACAAAATATGGAAACTAAGCAATAACCGGAATCAAATTAAACGTAGTATGAATATATTATAGTGTTAGCAGTTTGTATTCGAGCTGTATTTTGGTTAAATAAAAAACATGAATCCTTATCAATTTGACAATAAGAATTCTTGAAGACAAGTTTGAAGTTAAAAGAGAGAAGTTTGTTTTTAGTGTTTTCTTTTCTTTTTTAGGATAAATGAACATGAAATGTGGGAAAAGAGCAATACAGTACGATTGGCTACACATGTTGGTCTTGTCTTTCTCTAATTCTTGAGCCACACTATCATATGATTGCAGAATTTTTAATTTTTATTTATTAATTCAGATTCTCATGTTTCTCTCTTTCTTTTCCTTTTTCTCAAGCATTGTGGATTTATATCTCTCTTTTTGATTTTAGAAGGAAAGGGAAAAAGACTTGACATATAATGAAAATGTGCAGAGGGAGAGGGAGAGCACATGTCATTACATGTGATTCTAATAATTTAGATTCTTCATTTCTCAGTAAAAAGAGAGACAAAAGCATTATGCTCTGCCAATTTTCTCTTCTTTATCTTTAATTTTGAAAAGAAAAAAAACACACACACAAATGATTTTTCCTTGTAATAATAATTATATATAATTGAAAATGGAGATAGTGACTACATATATATTCAATCTATAAAAATCTATCTGGCATTTGCAAAAACTTATCTCTTTATTCTATGTTCAATCATTCAACATAGCAACATAATATTTTTGACCCAAAAAAATAGCATTACAGTATCTCGGAAATGTTGTAAGAATTATAGCCTAAAACAATTCGAGTTTCTTCTTCTAAAACTCTCTAAATATTAAAATTAAGGCAGACATATAAACTTCATCAAATCCTAAACTCTCGATATTGGTTAGTGGTTACTTAAATCCGATATTGGTTACTTAAATCCTGAACTCTCAAAGGTCTCTCTAATCCCAATTCAGTTACTGAAATTGACACAAATTCTAGAAAAAATTAAGTTGTAAGCCTTAGGATCACCTAAGTTATCAAAAAAAAAAAAAAAAAACTGTTTCGAAACTATTTTATTGATATAAGTAGATTTAAGACCAAAGCAAAGAGACATAAATTATTCAGAATCCATCAAACGAAACAGTCACGCCTAAAAAACATCACAAACTCTCGACATACTTAAAACTCCGATTACAAATAAGAGACTCTGACAAACTTTTAACTCTTCCCTCAGTTGCTAGATTGACGCAACTCAGGTCGAACAAAGTCTGCATCAGCAGGCACAGAGATATCAACGGTAGGCCTGAGCTGTGCACAGACCTCAATGGCACCGTGGACTGGATCCGAGAAGAAGTTGCTGATTAGGTCTCTGTTGATTGCTGCACCACTGTCCACAGCCACAAGAGCCTGCTGGGTCAAGATGTAGTCAAACCGCGGCGCCCATTTCCTGGACCCCAATCTTGCTGTGGTCGAGCAGTTGTCAACCATGAAGGACACTCCCCTGGCGTGCATAAATGGGTTTAGAGAGTCCACGGATTCAATCACACTCTCGTTGATGATTTCTGAATAAGAGTGTCCTTTCTTTCTCAAGATCTCAATCTACACAAAACCCCATAGAAACCAAGATTTAGATTCTGATAAATCACTGGAAATCGGTAGCAGGCAGATACATATCAAATATAGGGAACTAAAACCATACAAAAAGAATTCATAATTGAATCCAAAACAGATTGACATGACAATTTCTTTGAAGCAAAATGGAAGTAAGAACAATCCAACTAGACAATAAACCTATTGCAATATCAAATTCTTTGAAAATTCTTCAAATATCTGAATAGAAATTGAAACCGACCCTACATAGCATAAACAGAAAATCCAAAACAATGAAGGGCACACCAGATATAAACATAGCCATACCTGAGCCATCATAAGTGCTACATAAACTCCAGCGGTGAAGGGATACAATGGACCCAAGTCACCAGCAGGTCTGGACTTCCTGACGCGTTCACCCACCTTCCACATTCTTGTCTGGTCAATATTTCCCATTGGGAATGCTGGCAAGCCTTCTTTTTCCTGTTACAAGTAAGAGAATCCATCAAAATTCCTGCACAAACTGTATTTTGGGCAAATGAAACAAAAGGAAGATTTGGAAGCGTCATTACATAGAAGCGACGACCAGCTAAGACAACACTTCGGATTTCGCTGCCACTTTGTACATCCTCGTAACATTCATAGAGAATCTCCATACAAGGATAGAAGGATGCGCTGTATGCAGTCTCAAAATCTTTTTACCTTCTTCAGACAAGGAGTTGTACACAGCCAACATTCCCTGATGTTCACAATTCATCAGGAACAGGTTTCAAATTTTAATTTCGATTTGGTCAGAACGGATTAGTCTGGTCTGTACAGATATTTTCCTACTAACCTGGGTAGAGATAGTCCTTGAAATTGTTCCTGTAATGCATTCTACTGTGTTCTTGTAAGCCAAGTCTTCACTCATCCCGTTTTCAGTGTACCTTCTAAACAGAGACTCCACGATTCCGTGAACAGCACCAAGCAAAATGCCTTTTAACAAGAAAGAAGAAGATACATTTTTAGTATGGGATTTGAGCGATTGAAAGACAGCTCTAATAGAGGCTGCTCAACTCACCTCTTTCTCCAAAGATGTCACTCCTGTACTCTTGTTCAAGAGTAGTAGCAAAAGTAAAAGGAGAACCAAGTGCTACTGACCATCCCAATGCAACATCGGCGGCTCTACCGTCAACATCCTGTCAACAGAATAACAGAAACAGTGGTGAAAAAATGAACACATGAGATATAAGAGTTTTCGCACCGTTGAAAACAAAATATAGCTTTTGCAGTAGAGATAAAGAGATAGAAAACCTGGTGGACTGCAAAACTGGCGTTGATTCCAGCACCGTTGATTTCTTTTCCTTGGACATAAAGCCTCCTCACAGAAGGACCCATTCCCTTAGGGCATACAGCGACCACACTGATGTTCTTTGGGAAATCAAGTCCCGAGGACTGTAAATGCCCTAGTAGAAACCCGTGTGATAAACCAAGAATGCTGTTTGGCTTCATGTGAGAGAAGATTTTCTCATAGTTATCAGCCTGCAAAACAGGATACATTAAAATCGATGTATACACCTAAGGACCAATACCTCAACAAATACGAGAAATATATGTAACAAAGTGCACTTACTTGAGCAGCATCAGAGATCAAAAGCAATACGAGATCGCTGCCAGAAATAGTTTCCCATATATCACCCAAAGTACCAGTTTCTTCAGTGAAGCCAGCAGCACGTGCCTCCTCAAATGAGCGAGACCCTTTTCTGAGCCCAATCTACGTAATAGTATGAAAAAAATAAGAAACGAAGTCAGAACATAGCCTTCAAGTAGCAGCAGGAAGCAAAAAAATATAAGGTATGAAGCCAACTCAGCTGTACCTTGACAACAATGTCAGACTTTGCCTCCACAAGTGAATCTCTTAAATTCTGAGCTTGGGCAGGTCCCTGCACATAGACAACGAGTTTAGTATGAAGAAAAAGAATATGCAACTTATTCATTAATCTTGTTGATTCCAACTCAAATGCATCAAAAGCATGAAAGTGAAAACACTTTATTCATTTACTTTTTCTAACCAATTTCATTTAACATGACGTAATCAAGATTCCATATCCACAAGCCAACGTAAACAATTCAAAAAGCAATCAAACAAGAAGCACCAGTAGCTACAAATTAGGTGAAAAACACAGACACAAATAAAGAGACCAAAAAAAGAAAGTACCTGAGACCCCCAGCCAATAACACCAATCTGCTTAATCCCCTTGAAAGCATCTGGGAGATGCTTGAACAAATCCCTTCCTCCTCTCACAATGTACTGAAACAAAGATCAGCAAGAACCAAACATTAGCAACAACTAACAAAATCTATCCCCACGAAAATGATTATAGAATCACCACAAATTCAATCAAAGGTGGTAAATGAAATAAACCTCTTCATAACCAGCAAGAGAAACTTTCTCCTTTTTGAAGACAGATGTCTCAAAATCGAGAGAAACAGGGGCTTTGACCGCAGACGACGAAACCATACGAGCCGCAAGGGAGGATCCAGTGGCGGAACCAATACCATTTCCAGCAACGGTGGCAGTAAGCGACCTCAGAGACTTGTAAGAAGACGAGAGGAAACCGATATTGGGTAGAGCCAAGGTTCTGGCTTTCGAAGACCTAAGGGTTTTGGATGAAGAAGAAGGAGATGGGCATGAAAGAGAAGGAGCGATGGATGAAGTCGCAGCCGCCATTTTTCTCAGTTGTAGCAAATTGACTGCGCAAAGAGAAGAGAGCTCTCAAATTAGGGTCACAGACTCGAAGTGGAGAGAAATTAAATAAGTACACACAATTTCCACCTACTCATCACCACCAAGAGTCAGATAAAATAAATAATAAAAACAAAATATCCAATGTATTTATAATGGGCTGAAACCCAGTATTTTAAGGCCCATTATAGTAAATATGGATATTGTTTCTATAGGTTGGTCCATCAACTGCTCCTATGTTGACTTCCCAGCGGTGGAGGATATACACGTGTCTAGTCTTTATGAGGGTTTCAAAGTCAACATAATCGACGGTTCAGATTTAACATAGCTAACTAGATCGGATGGTTCTGAAGTAGCTCAGATCGAAGTAATGGGTACACTTGCTACACCTAACGCGAAACCTCTGCGTTTCTTCGTCTTCGCGACTCGTGTGTGAGATTGTGATCACAGTTGGGGAAAGACTTAACATTTAAGATTTACGGGTGTGTTTGATCGATTAGTCCCATCTGGGTTTTTTCTTCAAGTTAAATTCTTTGTCTGAGATGGATCAAGCTTCGTCTTCTTCGGAAGGCAAGAAATCTTTCACTGATCCTGTGACTGTCGATGATAACGAGGAGAGGGAAGCTATAGAGATTGCTCTATTCCAAGTACCTGAATGCTATGTTTATTTGGTAAATTTCTAACTTTTTTTGGGTTATAATGAGATGGGTATTTGGAAATTTTGATGAATTTTGCGTCTTTATGCTCAAGTTACATTCTTTCTTTGCAAGTTCACTTGGTGATTTAGGAGAGTTTTTGGATCTGATCATAAGTTGGTTAGCAATCTCAATCTGGTGTTGTAGAGTTCGTGCAATGGTATCGAGGAAATTATCTTTATTTGCATATGTTGAAGACTTGAATTTAATGTCTTGATCACCCAAAAGTTTTGCAATGGTGATCGAATGCACATTTAACTATCAGCAAGAAAGTTTTCAAGGAGATGTCGTATAATAGATTCAAGGATTGTGATAAAAGAGTACATTATTTTAACCAAATATCTTGCTAAGTGATTTCTTGATGGGGTCCCTGAAATCATACTAGCTTTTGATATACTCGTGAAATTGTTACACGTTCTTTCCATTATATGATGTATGAGATTCAAAACTGGTTGCCTTGATGAACTCCTAGACATTGTGAAGTACTGAAGTGTTGTTATTTAGATTAAGGAGACTTTTCTCAATAGATAATGAACAACGTTGGAGCTTGATGGACTTGTTATCAGTGTTATCTTACCGTTTATGCTTTCTTCTGTGTCTGTTAGGGAAGGTAACCTCGTCATTGTCTTTTTGTTTGTGTTTGCAGATACCTCCAAGGAAAACCGCAGCTTCATACAGGTTCTTTCTTGCCTTCATGACAGAAAATGTCTAAGTCATTCTGATATCTCTAGTTAGGAGATTTTTACAAAACCCTTTGGCTTAGCAAATGATCAAAAACTCGGAACAAATCTTATTGAACGAAGTTTGTATAAATGGTAGCTAAACCTCAATTTGCATCAAGATGGTCATATTTTGCGTTACATTCTTTTTTTATCAACACTTCGAACAAGTGCATTGTGTAATCCATTATAATATGGAGATAGACATCAGCTGATACTTTTTTATATAAAATTTGACCCTTACAGAGCAGATGAGTGGGACGTGAACAAATGGGCATGGGAAGGAGCTTTGAAAGTGGTGAGCAAAGGAGAAGAATGCATTATTAAACTTGTAGATAAAACCACAGGGGAACTTTACGCTCAGGCTTTTCTGCGAGAGGGTGAACTTCATCCAGTAGAAGCCGTAATCGATAGTAGCAGGTAACAAAAAGTTGACCATAGAACTTAACTTGGTCTTCTCATGATGTGCAGCTAGTCTAATAATTTTTCTGTTGTTGTCTTGTAGATATTTTGTTCTCCGTGTTGAAGAAAAGATAGGTACTCACTTACCATATAGACGTAGAGATATTAACTTGTAGTAGTTATTTGAGTTTAGTTTTATGAAGCAATGCAGATGGTCGTGTTCGACATGCTTTTATCGGACTCGGATTCCGGGAAAGAACAGAAGCATATGATTTCCAAGCAGCACTACATGACCATATGAAGTAACATTCCACTTCCAATTTCGAAGTGTTCTTTTTATTCAGATATCAAGCAGTTCTTTCGAAACAATTAACTCATGTCTGAATCTGACCTCCCTCTCTTTCTGTCTCTTTGCTAAAGGTATTTGAACAAGAAGAAAACAGCAGAAGAAATGGAACAACACTTTCAAAACACTTCATCTGTTGATTACAGCTTAAAGGAAGGAGAAACCATTGTTCTCCAGCTCAAAAATGTAAGATTTACAGTTATTGTGTCTGGATACATTTTCCACAAGTTTTTTTTTTTTTTTTTTTTCACATCAAAATGATTGAAACAGAGAAGCGATAAAGACACCAAGTCAAAAACGGTAGAGAAGAGTCTGGGCAATCTCTCGTTGGAGGATAAGGGCAAGTCAATAGAAACCACCATTCCTTCAATCATCCCGCCACCTCCACCTCCTGGACCGCTTTCCCCTGTCACAACCGCTCAGAAGTCCCCGTCAAATCTGCCACCAAGCCTCAGCCTCCAAAGATCGTCTGAACAACAAGATTTAGATACAAAGCCAGAAGAAGAAGAGAAGAAAGAAGACCTAAAAGCCAAAGATGGAGGGGTTGAAGATGCACCAGATGATGACTTTGGAGATTTCCAAGCTGCGGGTTGATTTAAACTTATAATCTTTTTACCATACACAAAGATCGTTTTATAAGTAATGTGACTGATCAAAGTTTGGATTGTTTGCTACTGAGAGCTTATCTTCTGTGTACAATTCCGAAATACAAGCCTACTTCTCTGAACTTGTGATTATTAGATAGATAAACTCTGAAGTTTTCAGTTTCACCATATACAAATATGAACTTTGCAGGAGAAACAACAGATAAATATAAAGATTCGCACTTCTCTTCCAATTCTACTCTCTTCAACTACTGAAAAGAGACGACATTGAGAGTGTTTCTCTGTTCTTCTGCAAATCTATTGCAACCATCAAGAAACGTACGCCATACAGGCGCATCTGCAGGGAAAGGCATTCCGTGAATCAGATGCTCAGCTTCCTTTAGGTAACCGTTTCTTGCCAGAAGATCAACGGCGCAACGATAATGATCCATTTCTGGCTCAATACCGTAATCCTTCATTTTCTGAAACAAATCCATTCCTTCTTTTACCATACCACCATGTCTGCAAGCAGTTAGAATAGAGATGAAAGAGACACGATCTGGCTTAAAACCCAAACACAGTGTTTCCTTAAACTTTTCAAGTGCCTCATGTCCATATCCATGGATGCCAAGAGACGAAATTAATGCCGTCCATGTAATGAGGTTTTTCTCTCTTGTTTCTTCAAAGACTTTGATTACACTCTTAATGCTTCCGCATTTCCCATACATGTCAATTAGTACGTTGCATACAAATGTGTCAGCGCAGCTGAAATCTGTTTTGGTGATCAAACCATGAATAGAACTCCCAAGCGTAAGGTCACAGAGCTTAGAGCACAAACTTAAGATACTAACGAATGTGTAGTTATCAGGGCGGATGTTTGATTGAAGCATGTGTTTGAAAAGATCGATAACCTCTCCATGGTTATCAGAACGAGAGCAGGCTGCAATTGCAATGTTCCAAGATACAGTGTCGGGTTGTTCTAGTGTCGAAATCAGCTTCACAGATTCATGGTACTGGCCTCTTCTGCTATAGATTCCGGCAACAATGTTCAATGGGACAACAGAAGTTGGTCCGCTAGCCCAGTCCAGCAGAAAAAGAGCATCACTCATCAGTTGATTTTTGGCGTACGATCTCATAAGAGAGCTTAAGACATAGTCATTATCTTCATATCCCATTCTCACAATAACAGAGTGCAGCTGCTGTAACTCTGTGACACAACAAAATTTGAGGGCCGTCGAAAAAGTATATTCAGTTGGCCTGAAACCCATCTGAAGCATTTGCAGAAACAAAGAGAGACAAATTGGACCATCTTTATTGGAATAACCCGAAAGCAGTGCATTCCAACAAACAATGTTCTTATCACGTATATAATCAAAGCATAGGCGGGAATCTTCCAGACTACCACATTTTGCATAAAAGTCAATCAACGCATTCCCCAAAAATATGTCAGTTTTGCAGCCATTCTTGATTAGCATGCCATGAATCTGGCGCCCGAAACTCAATAACTGCATAAGAGAAGAGGCACCAAGAACACTAATGTATGTACCTTGGTTCGGGGAAAACCCATGCTCTGGCATACTTACGAAGAGTTTGAGTGCTTTTAACGGGTTCTCACTTTTGGCTGTGGCACCAATTATGGCGTTCCAAGACACTATATCCCAGGAACCTGCCTCCTGAAACATTCTCTCTGCCATATGTGTGTTGCCACATTTTCCATATGCGCTGATGAGAGAGTTAACGACTGAAATTTCACAACCCAATCCCTGTTTCGTTGCTGAGCAGTGCAATTGTTTGCTAATTTCCAAGTCATTTTCACAAGATACACCCTTCAATACACCCAAGAAAGAGCTTTCAGTTAAACAAGCGCCCATCCCAACAAGCTCACGGAAGAGAAACATGCATTCTTTGAGAAAACCACGATGGCCCAACAAAGACATCATATGGTTCCATGTTTCCAAGCTCTTAAACGGCATATCTTCAAAAACCTGTTCCGCCATTTCCAGCAACTCAAGCCTCCCATACAAACACAACAAACAAGAACCAACATATGCATCAGCCATAAACAAGCCATACTTCAAGCTCAAACCGTGCAACTGAGTTCCCGCACGAACATCCAACGATGCACACGACAATAAACCACTCACTGTCGACTGATTCGGCAAATATCCAAAATACCTCATCTCAGAGAATACACCCCAAGATTTCTCCCTTTCCCCGTATCTGCTGTACCCATTAATGATCGTGTTGAAAGACACTTTATTTCTCTCAGGCATTTGATCAAACACTTTGCCTGCAAGTGATACCTCGCCAAGCTTCTCATAAAGACAGATAATGTTGTTGGAAACATAAACAGGCTGCTGAAGAACAGAGCATAAAGTGATGGAGAGAGCGTGAAGAGCTTTGGTCCTTGCAAAGGAAGGAGCTTTTCTACAGACATTGAGTAAGCTAACTAGACGACCGTTGTGATTGGCGAGATCTCCACAGCTGAGGCTCATGCAGAAGGATACTGAAAACAGAGCACTACCCAGATCGATCTCAGTTCTAATCAAGAACTAAATTTTGTGCATCATGAACAAAGTTCTGAAATTTTAAAAGTTGGAACTTTTTATAAACATCAGGAACGAAGTTTGAAGTTTAGAACCAGGGAACTAAAGGATTGATCTAAACCGCAACCGGCTGGTTCAACCACAAGATCACGGTTTGATCTGTCCAATTGACCAATTTGGCCCATTTTCTTTTACAGATAAGATCTTTCAAAATTTCAAACTGGCCCATATTTTCTTTTCTTTTCTCAGAAGTGAAATTTTATTGATGAAAATTGCACTGCTCAGCAATGAAACAAAAAAACGAGCTCAGCCATTTTTTGGCCCGTTAACAAAAAAACAAACTAGAAAAACAAAAACTCAAAACGAGCTCAGCCATTTGCACCACTTCAGAAGAAGATTTTGATCAAATAATTTTCTTTTTATTCCATAATTCAACTTGTTTTATCATTTCCAATGATATTTATTATTCATAAAAAAGGTTGTTCTCCTCATCTCTTCCATATTCCTTTCACATTTCTTAGATTATATATACCTCATGTTTGTATAACACTGGTTTACATATCTAAGTCATATAAAAAGAACCTCTGAATCTCTAGAGAAAAAATAACCATAAGAGTATTAAACTCAGAAAGGGCAAACACCTAACTTTTCAATCTCCTTACATATTTTATGACAATCTATCAAGTTGTCTTCCAAATACCATTTAATCATCTCCTCATTATCATCCAGAATGAATGTTTTTTCAGATCCTATATTCATATCCTCGAGGGGTTTCACTATCCTTACCGCCTCATTAAGTAGATTCTCATGTACCTTTTCTAAACATTTCTTCTCTTCTATTGTTAGATCAACTTCCAATTTCCGTATGTTTTTGACGTCTTCGAACAAAACTAACATAAAAAGATTAAAAATATCAAATCAAATATTTCAGTATAAAGAACGAAAAATAAACAAATTGTTAATTACCATCATATTGCAAAAAATATTCAGCTACCACAACGCTTCTGAAAAGTTGAAAACGTTCTGTGTTTTCACTCATCTCAACAATTTTGATCTAATACTTTCTCTGTTACAGGTTCAAGATGTTATTTGGTAGCGTATTTTTTTTGCTACTTATATAGAGTGCTTGAGGCTTATTTGTTAGGATAAGACCGCTTTATAAAGAAAATTATTTTCCCTGTTCCACTCCACATAAAATGTGGACTCTGGCCTTCGCAGTAGTAAAAAGAAAAAATTGTGTTGAATGCGTAAAAAGAGAAAGAAATCTCTCAACTTTGATTAAATGGATACACATTATTTGTCTTTTCCTTAATTATTTCAAAATAATAATTTGTAAATAGTTATCTAAATTTGGTAAAAGGCTTGCTAGTTGAGGTTTGAAAAGTATTCAAGCCGAGTTGAACCGAATCAACCTATCTATTACATAACCGAGAACTAATCATATCAAATAAAACAAAAGTTAGATATAAACTTTAAATTTGTATAGCTTTTTAAAAATTGAGTAAACCTGAAAAAGAATGAACTTAAGTCAACCCAAATTTGTTAAAAACCAACCAAAATTTTCACTGGTTTTGATCCGCTAACATTTATCGAAACCAAATGAACTAACTAAACGAAAACAAAAGCCAAAATCAACATGACAATTTTTGACAATGTTTAAATGTGCTTCTTTCATTAATTTGACAAATTCAACAATACTTAAGAAGATCAATTGAATTGATAAACTATGCTTTTCTTTTTGGGTAAATCTCACATCTTAAAAGAACAAAAAAAGTACGTTAATTCTACCTGAATTTGCAAAAACCGTATTAATTTGATCTTTAGGAAGAAATCACACTTCCTATTGAATGTGCGTTGAACACTCGCCTATTGGACTCATCTTCACCATTCCTTGTTTGTTCTGATCTTCTAGTATCGGATCTATCATACATATAAACACATTTCTTCTAAGTCATCAATCTTGTTTTCGTAATGCTACGAGTCATAAATCTTGATTTGTCTCTCTGGTTAGTTAGTCATATTTTGTTGTACGCATATTCTTGACTTTTTTTTAAATTTTTTTTTTAAACTCATGATTTTTAATTTATCTTTATACGAACAAAATGAAACGAAAAACTTTCAATCTTTGAGCGCCAAAACCAAATTTTTCTTCGGAAAGGAAGACCAATTAAAATATTATAAAATCATATAATAATGTTTTCAAAGAAAAAAATATAGTTTTAGTATTAAACCCACTCGGGGAAAAAAAACAAAAAAAAAAACAAAATCGATTTCATTGATTTTTTCCATATACACAGCGTAAGAATCGATCCTTATAGAGAATTCCTTCAAGATCTCTCTTTCCACATCTCTATCAAGATTTCTCGATTCGATCTTTTTCCTTTCTTTCTTTTTTTCGATTTTACTTTGGTGGATCCTCGACTTTGGTGTTTTTTTTTTTGTGAAGAAGAAAGACATATTCTAGGGTTTCTAGAGATTGGACGGGTTTTTGGGTCAAGTAAATGGTGGATCAGCCTATCGTACGCTCCACTTCATTAGGTCATCAACGAGAATATTCATCAAATCATCATCAAGGTCTTGTTTCGATTCTGAATCTCTGCTGCTGCTTCGATAGTGTTCGACAATCACCAGGTGTTATTGAAAAGCAATGCTGAGCGTGATCCGAGTGCATCTTCCTTCTGAAATTCCCATTGTGGGCTGTGAATTGACTCCTTACGTTCTTGTTCGTCGCCCCGATAAGAACTCCGCCACTGATGATGTCCCTGAATCTGCTCCTCTTGAAGGCTACTTCTTGAGATATAGATGGTTTGTCTTCTTTATTTCTCTGTGTGTAATTGCTTTCTTTGATCCTTTGGCGAATTGGGGTTTATCAAAGATTGGATTTTGATCTGAATTCTGAGATGTTCTGATTTAGGTCGTCAAATGATTTAATTAGGAAGAATTCTTTGGGGTTTATTTTATAAAAAAGTTATGATCTTGTTGTAGATTCATTCTTTGGATTTCTTTGTTGTAGGTATCGTGTACATAGCGATAAGAAAGTAACGATTTGCAGTGTGCATCCAACGGAACAAGCCACTTTGCAATGTGTTTTCTGTTCTAAGCGTAGATCCCTTGTTCCAAAAAGCTATCACTGTACGCCTAAATGCTTTACGGATGCGTGGCAGCATCACAGGACTTTGCACGAGCGAGCAGCTGCGGAAAAAACCCCAAACGAGGATGATGACTTGGGCCGGAATAACAGTGCGCCTGGGGCTCTCGCTGGTTCCTTATCTGGTTCTATGTCAAATCTTAATATTGCCAACAATGGTCCAGCTCCGTTTTATCCTTCTAATATTACTCAGAAAAATGGAGGAGAGACGTTAGTCGAGGTCGGGGCTTGCAAAACATACACTCCAATAGCTGATGATATTGGCCACGTTTTAAAGTTCGAGTGTGTTGTGGCTAATGCTGAGACTAAACAGATTATGGGACATCCTAGTACCATTTTGACTTCACGGGTTATTCCTGCTCCTTCTCCAAGCCCCCGTAAGCTTGTCCCTGTTAACGGAGTTGATGTGATGGGTCACTTAGATCAAGATGGTCGGATTCAATCTGCAGGATCATTCACTGTTCTTTCATATAACATTTTGTCTGATACTTCTGCAAGTAGCGATCTCTACAGTTACTGTCCTCCTTGGGCTCTTTCTTGGCCATACCGCAGACAGAATTTGTTAAGGGAGATTGTTGGATATAGAGCCGATGTAGTTTGCCTGCAAGAAGTATGTTATTCGTATGGACTTGGTAAAGATTTAAGCATTTTAATCCTGAAAAATCTACTTCTAATGTGTTCTTCTTTTGTTATCTGGCAGGTACAAAGTGATCATTTCCATGAAATTTTTGCCCCTGAGTTGGAGAAGCATGGGTATCAAGCTCTCTACAAGAGGAAGACTAATGAGGTTGGGTCATTGATTCCACACACTCCTTCCTTCAGTGATTTATGTTTTGAAATCTCTTAACCATAACTTTCTCGTTGCTAGGTTCTCAGCGGAAGTACAAGTGCCATTGACGGCTGTGCAACATTTTTCCGACGGGATAGATTTTCGCATGTCAAGAAATATGATGTTTGTATCAGTTCTATATGTTTACTCACTCGATCTATTTAGATCTCCATACTAATTCATGGACTGTAAATCCAGGTTGAATTCAATAAGGCTGCTCAGTCTTTGACTGATGCTCTAGTCCCTCAGGCGCAGAAGAGAGCTGCTTTAAACCGACTGGTCAAGGTATTTTTGACATGCTATACAATTAGGCCACAGCTGATTATCAGAGAGTTATTGTTTACAAAACTGATTCCAATGTTTGTTATAGGATAACATTGCGTTGATAGTTGTTCTTGAAGCCAAATTTGGTAATCAACCTACTGATCCTTCTGGGAAGCGCCAGCTTATTTGTGTGGTACAATTTTCTTTTTTCTTCCCATTCAATTGACTCTTCTCATTAGAACTGTTAGTCTCTGTTCATGCTCTTCAAGTGAAAGCTAACTAGTTTTCTTATTTTGTTGTGGTAACTTGTTTAGGCAAACACACATGTAAATGTTCAACAAGATCTGAAGGATGTGAAGCTCTGGCAGGTTTGTGTATCTCTATATCCGAAATAACTCAAATTTCAATGAACTCGAAAGAATTAGTATTCACCTCAAGTTTTGTTTTATTCTTTTTGAGTTTAGGTTCATACCTTATTAAAGGGACTGGAAAAAATAGCTGCTAGTGCCGATATTCCTATGCTTGTGTGTGGAGACTTTAATACTATTCCTGGGAGGTTTGTTGATTCATAAATTCTTTTGACATGATATATGAAATGCAGAATTCTCTTATGATTAGTGGTGTAGAAAGCTAAAGTTTTTCTTTTTGGAATTTTTGTTACAGTGCTCCTCATACCCTTCTTGTAATGGGAAAGGTTGATCCAAGTCACCCAGATCTGGCAGTCGATCCCCTAAATATCCTGCGTCCTCACACTAAATTGACTCATCAATTGCCTTTGGTAACATTTCTTTCGTCGATCAAGTAAATCTATACCTTTTTTTTTCTGCCTCTCTTCGGATCTTTGATAAGTGAATTTGTTATAGGTGAGCGCGTACTCATCGTTTGTGAGAAATGGAATGGGTGTTGGATTGGAACAACACAGAAGGAGAATAGATCTTAATACAAACGAGCCTTTGTTTACCAATTGTACAAGGGACTTCATCGGCACTCATGACTACATATTCTACACAGGTTTCACCATTTTTAACTCCCTTTTCCTTTTTTTCAACTACATGAGAAATTACAAGTTAACTGAATAGGAAGATTTTTTTCTTTTTGGTTTCAGCGGATACATTAATGGTGGAATCTCTATTGGAATTACTGGATGAAGATGGATTAAGAAAAGACACAGCTCTTCCTTCCCCAGAATGGTCTTCTAATCACATTGCACTTTTAGCTGAATTTCGATGCATGCCTAGGACCAGACGCTGCTAACCACCTTCACCACCCACCACCATTTGCTTACAGATAGGTTTTTTTTTTTGTTCCGATCTTCGTCTTTGATCAGATTATGACATCAACTGTTTAGACAAAACCTTTACCAAATCTGTGATAGAGATGACACAAAGGTTCAAAGTGATTCTGAGTAAGGCAAATCACTTTATGAAGTTGGTCATTCTTTATTATGACCTCTGTGTGGCTTTGCCTAACCTCCTTTTATATCTCATTTTGATCCTCAATTTACTTAAAAACCCCTTTGGCTTTTTTCTCTTCCTTGCATTATAATAAAAGTATGGGTTAAGATCAATTTTGATGTTTTACATGCTTTCTAAGACTAAAACTCATGAAAATAATAGTCGCTAGGGGTTTTTCTTTTTTCACAGTGAACAAAGATTCGATTCGTGTCTACTACATAACCATTTAAAGAGCAAACATACACATCGGTGGCTGCTCCCTAATAATAAACAATAGAGATAAGTGAGAGAGAGAGAACATAATCGGTTCTTGAAGAATTGAAGTTAAAGCTTAATCCCACGCACTAGCCACTCCAGGACCATACCCTTGGCTAGGAACAGTTCCATATCCTCCAGGACCTCCACCATAGTAAGCACCACCACCTCTACCATAAGGTGCATAACCACCACCAGGAACAGTTCCATATCCACCACCTGGAACGGGTCCGTACCCACCAGGCATTGCTCCATAGCCACCACCAGGAACGCCTCCATACCCACCACCACCACCATAGTAGTCAGCACCACCACTGCCTCGGCTAAAAGATTCTCTCCTGAAGTCACGGCCACCAAACCGTCCACCAGACCGCCGGTTCTTACCACCTCCAAATGAAGCACGAGATGCGTATCGAGTCAGCCAGTCAGGGACCTCCTGGTTTGCTTCTTGCATTAGCTCAGCCAGAGGCTTGGCCATTGATGTGTTGTTGTCATTGAAGAAAGCAGTTGCTAGTCCTGAATTGCCTGCACGTCCTGTTCGTCCGATACGGTGGACATAGTCATCAATGTCGTTTGGTAGATCAAAGTTCACTACATGAGCCACATGCGGAATGTCAAGACCACGTGCTGCCACATCGGTTTGCAACCAAAATAGGTGTCCGTCCAGTCTTGAATGATCTCAGTGCCACTTCTCTTTCCTTGGATGCATAAAAACATAATACGGTTTTTAGGTTTGGTTGCACTGAACAATACTCTACAATATCCTAATTTCAATATCAACAACTCACTAACCTGTTGTGACCTATCACCGTGAATGGTCGTTGCTGGGAAACCATTGATGCACAACCAATTCTCCAAAGAGTCAGCTCCCTTCTTTGTCTCCACAAAAACTAGAGTCAAAGCTTGCTGTAGAATAAAATAAACAGGATCGTCAAGGTGCTCTTGAACAACAATGCATCATATAGAACAAAGAGACAATGAAACAGAACCGTGAGGCCGAATAGAGCACTAGTACTGACTATGCATTACCTTTCCTTGGTTACCGTTCTCCCTCTGGGCATGAAGAAGGTCCATTAGATGGCTTCTTTTGTCAGAATCATGGACAAACTCTACTCTTTGGACAATTAAATCCGTACTTGAACCCACTCTCCCAACAGCCAGAAATATGTAATTTGAAAGAAAATCAGATGCAAGTCTCTGCACACAAAAATAAAATCATAATTAAGTGCATATGGAATGTAAAAGAATCATTTGCTGTACAGTACGCAGCTTCTATCTTGTAATTTTGAGAGCCAACCTTTTGGAAGTCTCAACTTAAAACAATAAACATTATTTAGACAACGACGTGAACCCTCCAATAATAAAGGAAAACAAGATTCTGTACCGATCATCCTTACCATCATTTCCCAGACCTACCAAATCTCACTCTTTTCTACCATTATAGGCAACATTCACGGAACTACAGCAAGCAGCTACCCTTAGTTCCCTCTTACTCCCAAGTATATTAAATTTCATTGAAATGAATCGCTATCTTGTTCTTTCATATAACCAACACAAGACCCGCTTTATCCTTCCTCACTCCATGCAAATATCAGATCATTTACACAAGTTAAGGACAAGTGCTCAGTCAGATTTATCCAAGTTAATTTTTAAAAAAGTTATCCTCCGAACAAGTGTACTGGAGACCCAATAAGACCCAAATAAAGCAGTGCCATAACAATGAAGACAGACACTAACAGAGCAAGAGAGACTGAAGATAGAGCTAGCTGAATCTCTTCTCCGGTAAGGAGAAAACATAGAAAATGGCATGTGTAAGAGTTCCACAAACCTGTATCTCCCTAGGAAATGTTGCACTGAACAACATTGTCTGCCGGACACCAGGAGGAGGCATGTCCATCTGCTGAACGATCTTCCTGATTTGTGGTTCAAAACCCATGTCCAGCATTCTGTCCGCCTCATCAAGTGCCAAAAATCTTACCATCTGTAATGAGACTCTACCTCTCTCAAGCAAATCATTTAATCTCCCAGGAGTTGCAACAAGAATATCAACTCCTCTTTCAAGCTCCCTAATCTGTACAACAGCAAAACAAGAACAAATTAGCAAGAGCACTAGACTTACTATCATGAAATGTAGCTGATTCCTGCAGCTTTTCATCTTAAGGACACAATAGTTAATTATGATAAACCCACATATACATGTGGAGTTATGGTATGTTACAGAGCAAAGAACAGCCAGGACATTTCATCAACCAAACTGAGAGCTAAAGCAACTGTCAGAACAAAATTTAACAAGGCGCACTGAAAAACTTTAGTATAATTACAGCCTGGAGAAGCACAAGTAATCTCTCTCTCTCTCACACACACATACACAAGAGTCTATGAGACATGGAAATAAAGTTATAAAACAGTCACAGAAACCTGTTGGTTGACTGGTGTTCCTCCGTAAGCAACCACAACTTTCACTCCAGTTTGATAGGAGAACTTTCTGGCTTCATCATGTATCTGCCAAAAAAATCATAAAACAGATGTCTTTTTATAAAATCTTGATGTGATCAACAAATGCACATAAACCATGATATTATACCAGTGATTCAGACCTGGCAAGCCAACTCCCTTGTTGGTGAGAGAATGACAGCAAGAGGATAGACTCCCCGAACTCCGCGTGGTCTCTCTATATGCTGATCCTTCATAATCCCACTAATAATCGGAAAACAAAAGGCAGCTGTCTTCCCAGACCCTGTCTGAGCACAAGCCATCAAATCCCTTCCGGCAGCCAATATGGGAATTGCATTACGCTGAACAGGGGTCGGCTTCACGTATTTGCACCTCTGGATATTTAGATTCAGAGCTTCTCCGAGGTCTATCTCTGCAAATGTATTAACAGGGGGTGGCACATTATCCCCACTTGTCTCGATGGGAATATCTTCATAGGCTTCAAAGTTAATGACTGTGTTTTCCTGCTCGTTAACAACCGGGTCTGCATTTCCATCATTACCAAACGGGTTAGTTTCAGTATCCCGACGGTCCCAACCTCCACTTCTGGCATTCCAACCGCCCCCAGCACCTCCTCTACCACCATAGCCCGAACCTCGACCACCATAACCTTGGCCTCGACCACCATAACCACTATTTGCACCACCATATCCCCCACGATCATTACCAGGTGAAGGAGCAACAAAATCCGAAGACGGTGTACGGCTCCTAAGATGTGGAGGAACATAGTTGGTTCGAGACGGACGAGAATAACCCCAAGCACCAGATGGTGCCCTCTCTGATTCAGAAACATCAGCCCATGAATTTGAACTCATAATTGCTTAGCTTTACCAGAATCCTTCAATGTCTTGGTCTTCGATTTTGAGTTTGATCAAAGCCCTGGATATATCGTAATAAATATCAGTTAGAACAAGTTCATTTTCCAGAAATAAGTTGCATGTAAGAGATAAGAGAAAGAGTCAACAAATCCAAATACTGGAAATGAAGAACAAATGCGGATCGATTGGAGAGAAGTATCTCCAGAAGAATCTTCAAAAAACCTCAGCTAATCGAATAATCTAAGAAATAGAAACGACTCGTAACAAAACAAATTCACGACGAACTAACACAAAGCTGAGAACAATCGTTTCCTAAAACCAACAAATGCACAAATCATTAAACCCTAGAAGCAAAATGAAATCGAACAGGACATCGTTGCATAGATTTAACGACACCATGCACAGAGAGAGAGAGAAAGCCAGACCTTAAGAAACTTGAATAGAAGACAAATCTAAGATCAAGGATCAATGGTGTTCGAAAAAGCTTGAGAATATAAACCCTAATTTTCCCTTGTTCTCGCGATCGCACACGAAGCAAATGAAACAAAGGTTTCTGGGAAATGAGCAAAAGAGAAAAAGATGAAGAGATATTTGTATTTCGATGAACTTTATTATTTTCCAAAGCTTTTCTCGTTTTTTTAATTTTCAGATTGTTTGCCGTTTTCAACAACGAAAAGCGTGCCGGCGTGGTTATAACGAAGTGAACTGTGTGTCGGCATTTATTATCATAGCGCGTGATAAACACGAAGATCAAGGATTGGATAGAGACGAATATTTATTGTGGTCTGGACAAAAGTAATTACTTACAAATTTAGATATTAATTGCCAGCAAAAATATTAGTACATACCAACTTATTTTTAAATTTTAACAAATGTCATGAATATGAGTATGTGCTATCATTTCCATTTTTTTTTTTTTGGTAAGTTGCTATCATTTCCATTTACACTCTCTCAAACATTTTTTTAGAAATCATAATTTTCTAAATATTGTATATTATCTGTCTCTAACCAATATTGAAATGTTACAATGAAAATCTTTTAAAAAATATCGAATTGAAAATGGGAAAAAAATGTTTATGCCAAAAAATATTAAAATGGAGTATACTTCAGTACTAAAATATGTATGCCAAAAATACTAAAATACTTTTGACATCATAAGTGATTGATAGATACTTCAATAAGACCATCTTTAAAGGTATATCACCTTAGATAGATCTTAAAAATGGTTTTATTATTAAAATAAAAGCTATGAATTAAATGCAGAGAGATACTACACTAAAACAAACCAAAAAAGTTTACGTGGCACTAAGACTTGAGGAAGAACAGTTCTTGGGCAAGAACTTTTACTCACCTGTTCTTCTACTATTTACTTATTTCCTAATATTTTAATTCTAAGATCATTAGACCATCTGCATTGGGGGATCACCCCCCCTGATCTAAGCATTATTTAAATCCAAAAAAATGGGTTAATGGGCTTAAGATCAGGAACTGGGCTCTTGACCTGGATCTGTTCTTGTGGGTGTTGCAGGGTGACGTGGCATTTGGGCATTGGTTGGAATATTCAACATATTTGGAATAAATTTGGATAATAAACTATGTATTAATTAGATAAAATATTTTTGTGCTTTTATTAAGTAATATGTTTGTTTGTTTATTGTTATTTATATTTTTAATGTTTTTTTCATAAATATTTAGTATTGTATTTTCACTTTTATTTTCAGTTTTTCATAAATTTGGCATTTGCAATTTATATGTTATTTTTAAATGTTTTAATAATTGTAAAATCTTAATTTAATTTAGATTATTATATTATTAAGTCTTAAGATCTTACACATGTTCTCCCACTAATCAACTTCTAAACAAAAGATCTAAACACATGATCTTACATTATTTTAACATTATATTCTCTATAAGAACACCCTCACATGATCCCCCATTGATGATGCCCTTACAAAAGTTATTGCGTTGCATATGCCCTTACGTCATAAATGATTAGGACAATGGATCTCGTTAGTCACGCATACCAACAAATACGATGTATGTATAATTTTATTTTTTTAAAAACTAAATTATACGAAAATATGCTAATTTATTGTGGAAACTTCCATTTCAATTTTAATTGATCCATGCTAATTATGACATATATCTCGGTAAAAGAAAAATACATGTATAGTGTCGTTTTTTAAAAAGTGTATATTTGTGTATAAATATTGTACTACTCAATTTGCAGCCTTTTGTTCCCTTTAGAAAAAAATAAAAATAAATACAGTCCGTAGACCGTATAGGGTCTTTGTCCGTCTTTGGAAATTAATTTTAGTCGTAGCGAAAATTTCGATCCCACTCTACTCTTGGATTTCAATTTCATAAATTTTAGGTCGTAAAATTCGGGGTTGGAGAAAAATTGGGGGTAAATCTAGGGTTCTGGGAGAATTAGGGTTCATCTATGCTGGCGGGTTTTAGGGTCAAGTAAATGGCGGATCCATTAGGGATCCGCTTTATCTCTTGTGCTCTCTTTTATCAATTTGTATCTAAAAGTTTCAACCTTTGTGCTTCGTTAGTGTTGATTAGCTTTGAAAATTTTACTTAGTTACGGAAAAAGCAATGCTTAGCGTTATACGGGTGCATCTACCGTCGGAGATACCTATTGTTGGCTGCGAACTTACACCTTACGTGCTTCTCCGGCGGCCTGATAAAACCCCTACCACCGATGATGTGCCTGAGTCTGCCCCGCTTGAAGGTCACTTCTTAAAGTACAGATGGTAAGTTATGCCTGTGGCTTTTCCTCGAGTTTCTTATCGGCGAGTTTGTTTTAACCAAAGTTTGACACTTTTCTGTGAATTCCTGGGTGTGGTTTATGTACGTGTTTCTTAGTAAGTTCAAGTCTTTGTTCGTTTGCATATTTGAGTGTGAAAATGATTCTTTTAATTGTAAAGTGGTTTTTTTGTAAGTCTCCAATCTGTCTTTTGGCATCTGTTGCAGGTATCGAGTACAGAGTGATAAGAAAGTTGCGATTTGTAGTGTGCATCCATCCGAGCCGGCCACATTGCAGTGTCTGGGATGTCTAAAGTCTAAGGTTCCTGTTGCTAAAAGCTACCATTGCTCTACTAAGTGCTTTTCAGATGCCTGGCAACATCACCGTGTGTTGCATGAGCGTGCTGCCAGTGCTGCTACAGAAGGAAATGATGAAGAAGAGTTGCTCCGTTTGAATAGCTCAGGGTCTGGATCTGGTGTTCTCAGCACCAGTGGTAGTTTAACGAATGGGTCATCATCAGTTTATCCTGCAGCCATAACTCAAAAGACAGGTGCTGGAGGAGAAACACTTGTTGAGGTTGGACGCTCTAAGACATACACACCAATGGCTGACGATATTGGCCATGTTTTGAAGTTTGAATGTGTAGTAGTCAATGCAGAGACAAAACAGAATGTGGGCCTTTCTTGTACCATATTGACTTCCCGTGTTATTCCAGCTCCATCACCTTCTCCCCGTAGGCTTATCCCTGTTAGTGGAGCTGATGTTATTGGGCACCTGGATTCTAATGGGCGACCTTTGTCTATGGGATCATTCACTGTGCTGTCCTACAATATATTGTCTGATACATATGCTAGCAGCGACATATACAGTTACTGCCCCACATGGGCTCTCACTTGGACATACCGTAGACAGAATTTGTTACGGGAAATTGTCAAGTACGGTGCAGATATAGTTTGTCTACAAGAGGTATGTTAAATATTTATGGCACAAGTTGTACTGACTTGGAAACGTTTCAATTGCTAGTTAACGGATAAATACCTCTCCAATATTTTCTTTTTTCATCTTGCAGGTACAGAATGATCATTTTGAGGAGTTTTTTTCTCCTGAGCTGGATAAACACGGATACCAAGGTCTTTTTAAGAGGAAAACAAATGAGGTTTGCTTGGACGCATCCCCTTGATCCTCCATTACCTTTTCCTGGTCACTTATCTGCTAGATGTACTAACCAGAAAATATTGATTCACTGGATAATTTTAGGTTTTCGTCGGTAATACAAACACAATTGATGGGTGCGCTACTTTCTTCAGAAGAGACAGGTTCTCACATGTCAAAAAATACGAGGTATGTCTTAGTTTTGTCCTATTACCTATCAAATTAGGCCCATTTACTAAATCATTGGGCTGCTCATCCAGGTTGAGTTCAACAAGGCTGCACAGTCTTTGACTGAGGCTATTATCCCTGTTTCCCAGAAGAAAACTGCTTTAAATCGATTGGTTAAGGTACTCTGAGATGTTCTACAGTACGATTTCTGTTTTCCACACATTCTTGGTGATAATTTTTCATGTAAAACTGATTTAGACTCTTTCTTTTTAGGATAATGTTGCTTTAATAGTTGTACTGGAAGCAAAATTTGGTAGCCAGGCTGCTGACAATCCTGGGAAGCGCCAGCTACTTTGTGTGGTAAGTTTTCCATCTTTTCAATATTGTTCTTTTATTGTCAGAGATGATGATAGAGATGAAGTTATGTGTTTTCACTTCCTCTCCTCCTCTAAAGGTCTCGAGGTGATCATTTTTTCTCTCTTTCATGTATTTGATGGGTGTAGGCTAACACACATGTAAACGTTCCTCATGAACTGAAAGATGTAAAGCTGTGGCAGGTTGGTCTTTATTTCTCATTGTAAAAGAACTCTCAGATTTCAGGTTCTAACATCACTACTAATCCATAATGACTCTTGCCCAAATAGGTTCACACATTATTGAAGGGACTTGAGAAAATAGCTGCCAGTGCAGATATTCCAATGCTTGTGTGTGGAGATTTCAACACAGTACCTGCGAGGTCTGGCTCGTTATCCTATTTGTTATGCCCAAGTGGCAATTGTCAAAATCTATATTAAATTATGATAGTGGTTTCGACCTGAATTAAGTTGGAGTTCCTTCTTAATATTTTCAGTGCTCCTCATACACTTCTTGCTATGGGAAAGGTCGATCCGTTGCACCCAGATTTGATGGTTGATCCTCTTGGAATTTTGCGTCCTCACACCAAGCTTACTCATCAGCTGCCACTGGTAATTATCTTTCCCAAAAACGGAAAAGAGATGCAAAGAATCGTGAAAGACAGACTTCAAATTTTTTAGAATGGCAACATATGCATATACATCTTACCTTGTGACCATTGCAGGTTAGTGCTTACTCATCATTTGCAAGAATGGGAGGCAGCGTTATTGCTGAGCAGCAACGTAGAAGAATGGATCCTGCATCCAATGAACCGTTGTTTACCAACTGTACGAGGGACTTTATAGGCACACTTGATTACATATTCTACACAGGTTAACTTAAGTGATTACTTTCCAGCGTTCTCCGCCAATGCATGCTTTCAACTCAGATTTCTTTTCATCTGGTAAACAATTTGCTTTTTGTTTTGTTTCAGCTGACACGCTAGCAGTGGAATCATTGTTGGAACTGTTGGATGAAGAGTCCTTGAGGAAGGACACAGCTCTTCCATCTCCAGAATGGTCTTCTGATCACATTGCACTTTTGGCTGAATTCCGCTGCATGCCCAGGGCCAGACGCTGATGCTGCAAACTCACAGATGAAACAATATTTTATAGAGATAATGCAGCTGTAATAACTGATACTCAAAGACTGGTTCCAGTGGATATGGTTAAGCTACATGAGGTAGATCGCGTGGCCATGTCCCTGGGTTTTCTCCTGCTGGGGTTTTCACTTGCGTTCTACTCTGTATCACAGTTTTATTTACTTCTTGGTTCGTTTGGCTTTTCTTTCTATAGTTATTCCTCTTTGCCAGAAGGTTTTGTCTTCACTGGCTTGTCATTGTAACAATGTAAACATTAGATTCTTCAAGAAAATAGTGACTTCACCTTTTCCATATTATAAAATCTGTGTCTTCTATGCAAGCCTCCTTACACTCTAACCCTACAGCTTAACTATTAATGTTCTCTACTTTCTTTACTTCTAGATATCTTGCAGATACTGTGAAAACGAACTGTGAACAACTTGGTATATTTTATATGTAACCCTCCAATAACTGAAGATGATCCAAAACTCAAATTTCAATCCAGACATTAGACATGTTAACTGGTACTCATTATATAATCTTTTTAAATCAAGTTTCTTGCAGACTTAGAACTCTGAGTATCCCTCCCTCAACTAGAGAGGGAAACATATGTGAACAAGAAACAAGTCTTATAAAAAGCCACATTGAGTTCTTACTCTGCTGCATAAACTGATGGCTAGATTCATGGGTTACAATCAAAATCGACAAATGTTGGCTCTCTGCATAACAGTAGCAGTAATGTTTCTTGTTGTGAGATCAGAATTGAGTCAGGACATAAAGGGATGTCAGGAGGCCATGTCTGATCTCTACTCTTGTCTTCCTTTTGTCTCTAACAAAGCTAAAGCTCCAGACTCAACATGTTGCAGCACACTCAAGGCAAAAATAGACAAAGGGCAGACCAAGAAATGTCTCTGTACTCTTGTCAAAGACAGGGATGATCCTGGTTTGGGGTTCAAAGTTGATGCCAATCGTGCAATGAGCCTCCCTTCCGCTTGTCATGTCCCTGCAAACATATCTCAATGCCCAGGTGAGAGATTTCATATCTTCTACAATATTTGCTTGAAAAAGTATTGCATGGACACAAACTAGATTGTTCTCATTGTTTCATTTTGTTTGGAACAAGATCTTCTACATCTGCTTCCAGATTCACCAGCTGCTCAGATTTTTAAGCAATTCACTGAATCTTCTTCTCAGAATGTTGGACATAAAGGTACTCAAATACCACTCTTTTTACAGTTTTGATTCTACTCGTGCAAACATTAATTTTCCGTTTTCTCGGCTGAATAAAAATATTGCAGCGGTCACCACAAGTTCAAGCATCAAAGCAAGAGACAAGAGTCAATTTGGTTTAATGCTGGCTGGTGCTCTCTCAGTATGGTATTTAGTGTAAATCCTCTGTAATACAAGTTGATAAACACAATAACCAAAACCATTACACGAGCCATATCTATAGCTGAAGCAGATGTATCATGGCTTATTAATAAAATACTTATTGAGAAACTCGTAAGCATCATATAATACGATTCGAACTCTTTGAAGCATGTCATATACAAAGAGAGCTACTTAGTTTCATGGAAACATGTTTCATAAAAACCCAATGAAAGAAAGAAAAAGAAAGCTAAAACAAGACTTGACAAACATGGCCATGATCACCAATTAAAATCTGCTACCAATCACTCACTCACTCTCCTCAATGAATCTGATGACACCTTTAGCCACCAAGTCATCAATCTGGGCCTGATTAAGCATCTTTAGACGAGCATTTTCCTTTTCCAGATGATGTATTAAGCCAAATGCGACTGGTATTCCTATCAACAATGTTCGATTCCAAACATCTATTGCACCAAACCATTTCGCAAACCTTGCTACAGCACCCGCCATGACTGGATCTGGATCACAAGATTATAAAACCAAATTACCTACAAGAAGAAACTCTGAAAACCTTTAATCCGCAGATCTAGTTTCAACTAAAAATATTCCGCATGAAGCTTAAACATAATTCACAATTCGAAGAACGAACTTGTAATCCATTGACGCAGATCTTGAAACAAGCAAAGCTAAATTCAACTTAAACACATCAAGAGTATCTCCAAACTTCCGATGGCGGATTGAAACAAGAAACAAAGAAGAAAATGAAACATCACAAACGTACGGAGACATGCGCAAACGAAATTACCAGGGAAGAATGAAGAAGATGATGGAGAAAATCGAGTAGAAAACAACAGTACCTCGTGAATCGTAATGTGAATAAAAGCTTCGAAACTTGGATTTTGCTGAGAGAGAGATGATCCAGAGAGGAAGAGATTGAGAGAATGGAGAGTCTGGTATATGGGAGTATATATACTATTACTACTAGACTACTAGTAACCGGTAACAACAAAAAATATCTGAATGGCCGTTAGAAGATATTTTTGGTGGCCAAATATTTATCTGCTGTGCATTGGCGTATTTTGTTACTGTGTACTAATGCATCCAAAACGTGACACGAGTAGCAAAGCACAGTATAGGTCAATTATGATTGGACTTATCTTATTTGCTTTTCATTTTTTGCCTATTTTATCTGATTTATTATTGCTCAAAAAATAACTTTTCTATTAGGCTTGAAAACTCATATAAAATACATAACAAAAATGTGATTGTAACTTGTAAGTTATATAACTGAAGGATAGACATTTGTTGAGAGTCCTCTAATTATGAGCAAATTTTAGCTGTGTACTTTGAAGCATGTCAGACGAGGGAACATCTGAAGCAACTCTTCACGGCTTCGTCTCTGCACAAATTTAGACTGTGTTTAAGAATAGTAAAGAGAAATGTGTTGGTCTCGAGCATCCCCCACTACATAGGAACTGGTATATTGGGAGGAAACAAACTAGAAACTGAATTTTTTTCATATAGAGAAAAAGTCACCTTGATGCCGATGCAGCCATTGACGTCAAGAGTGGTGAGTGTAGTAGAGCATGTCTGCGAGAGGGTCTCCACACATCTATCAGTCACCCCAACTATTCCAAACAAGCTGCAATTAATTGGTGTCATTGAATGGTGTCAGCAAAAAGATTCATTAACGAAACCAAGCAAATAGTTCTAGAAATGGATCAAGTACCTGAGAAATTCGAGGGAGGTACAACTATTAGCAATGGTAATCACACCTGCATCTGTGATACGCACACACCTGCAATGTATAAGAAGCAATTGGCATGAAGACGCCGCTTCTTGCTCATTATCTTTCTTGCAAGGGAGAGACTTAGCTTACCATGTCAAGTTGAGAGACTCCAGTTTATTGCATTTAGCTATATGACCAAGCCCCTCGTCGGATAAATTCTGACAACCAATGTCGCACTCTTAGTTACAGATTTACATCAAAGATAAGAAAATCACTATCAAAGTGTATAATCTGTGCTATGGATATGCTAGCAACGATTCTTAGTTATACTATACAAGACAGTGAGAGATATCCATCCACAAAGGAAAAAGGACAATGCAACTAAATGAATTGGGATTCACCAACTCATACCTGAGCGCCACATAGATCTAAGAACCTTAGGTCAGCTAAAAGTGATATCTTCTTGTAGGCTTTGTCTGTGAAGCTGCAAGAAATTGCAATATCAGTTCGAGAACTTACAACTGCTTGCTTTTCAATGTAGCCAGAAACAAATAGACATATGTTGCTTATATACCCTGAAAGAGCATAGAGATTTAAGGTCTGGAGAGAGGAACATTTTTGTAGCACTTGAAGTAATCCATCATCTGTAATCTTAACACACCTAGCAGCATCGTGAACAACAAGACCAAACACCAAAAGTATTCAATAAAAATGTATGGACATTATGATTTCATCTTTGTGAACAATCAACAAATGAAGAATGATATTATCCAACAACGTTATGGATTATCTGTCCTTTTGAAATAACCACAGGGATAAGTAGTAGATGAGAACTAGCGACTTTAACATATTTAACTTACCTAGTGATATTCAGTGACTCTAAGTCTTGATAACTTTCAGCTACTAGCTGCATACTTTTGTCCGTTAGACTCTGCATCAATTGGTGCACATCCAAATAAAAATTCTCATCCATTACAAACAGAGAACACAGAAGAGAAAGGCTGTGTCCATTTGTGTAAAACATTGCCATAATTATCGCCACCCATCAGGAATAAAACTCTAGAAATGTAGATTAAGATACCTTGCAGCCACTTAAGTTCAAGTCAATGATATGTCTGCAATTTTTCACTAAATGTCTAATGCCAGCATCAGTCACCCTGTGAAAAAAAACCAAAGTATTAGGCTCGTCTGAGGAGATAAAATCAAGAAGTGTGACATAAATGACTAAGACAGAATATCACCTTACGTTCCAGTAGATAGAGAAAACTTTTAACTTTGGACATATGCTAGTTATAGCTTCAATTCCATTGTCTGATATCTTTTGGCACCCATTCAGATTCAAGCATTCTAAACTTAAAAGAGCATCCCGGCACTAAAATGTTCACACATCAGCCACTACAATATTTTTAAGAAATCCAAATGGCTAGAACGATCCTCATAGTCAAATATTCTTGAATTCAGCGGATTTTCAGAAAACATAAAGCCAGTAGAATCTGCAAAAAATTTACCTCAGCTTTCACAAGTTTGAGATGACTGTCCACAACACCCTGTGCAAATTCAAGATTGATATGCTTCACTTGTCTATATCTTGGCTACACAATTTGAAATCATGATGAGTGACTTCTGCTCAAACTTTCCAAACACTCACAACAAGAAATAAATCCAATGAATTCAGGCAAAGTCGAGTATGAAAGTATCAAACTTTTTATTGTTAACTAACCAAGGACAGAGCAGCTAAAAGCCGATCCCCTGCATTGGTCATCTCGTGCAAATCAATGTTCTGAAAGAGAAAAATCAACACTTTGTATCAGATAGGTATAGAAAATTTTGAAAACTTGGAAAGACCTGAGAAGAAGTCAAAGTTTTGTTACCAGCCAGATAGAAGGGTAGGAGATGAGGGTGCGATAAAGGCAAGGGCTAACGAGAAGTAGAGAAATTAGATCTGTCTGAGGCAATCTCGTGCTCACTAATCTCATAACGCTTGTTACTATCTCTCTCCTCCATGACTCTTCTTCCTCTTCTGTCACTTTCTTCGCTTCCATGATTCTCAATCCAAGCTTTGCGACTTTTTTCTACCAATCAACCTCAAGACTAGAGCTAGGATAAGCTTGAACCTTTAAACGAGCCAAGTCTTCCCGAGTAGCGCAAGTCGAGTCTCGAACTTGTTTCTACAAATTTGGTTGTACTGCAGACAAAACTTCGAAGTTTTTAGGTTCTGTCTGCAAAAACATTTCGCGAGGCCTCTTAAAAGCCTGTGGGCCTAGCGTTTTAGTAGAAGTAGAAAAAATCTCGCTTTTAGATTCCTTCAGGAATTTCGTCGAGCACCTTGTCTGCATTACTCTTCCCCACTTTCTTTCAGTGATAGGTCCATAACTAAACTCAGAGTGAACACTAAACCCTAAACCCATTTTGCACTCTCAATTATAAGATCACCCGCAGGTTTTCGCATTTTAGTCAAATCTCTTTAGATGTTCATCAAATTCCAAAGCTTTCTCTTTTCGGTGAGTAAGCTGTTTCACCACCAGCATCAACAATGGCGAGGAATGGGTGCAATGACAAAGGTGAGACTGAAGTGGGTGAAGAACAAGAACCTGGATCACGTCATTGATTACGAGACCGATCTCAAAGCAGCTTGCATTCTCAAAGACGCAATTAAGCGATCTCCCACCGGTTTCCTCACCGCAAAATCCGTCGCCGATTGGCAAAAACTCCTTGGACTCACCGTCCCTGTTCTCCGCTTCTTGCGCAGGTATCCCAATCAGAGAAATTTCAAGTTGCTTTAGAAAGTAATCAATTTTGTAATGAAAGTCGACAATTTTGTAGGTATCCGACTCTGTTTCATGAATTTCCTCATGCTCGTTACGCAAGCTTACCATGTTTCAAGCTAACGGACACAGCACTAATGCTTGACTCACAGGAAGAGATTATTCATCAAAGCCATGAGGCTGATACAGTGGAGAGACTCTGTAGAGTTCTTATGATGATGAGAACAAAAACTGTCTCTCTCAGATCACTGCATTCTCTCAAATTCGATCTCGGTTTACCCGATAACTACGAAAAGACGCTAGTCATGAGATACCCTGATCATTTCTGCTTCGTCAAGGCTTCTAATGGTAACCCGTGCTTAAAGCTTGTAAAATGGCGTGACGAATTCGCATTCTCGGCTCTGCAGAAGCGAAACGAGGACAATGGTGTTACCGGGGAGGATTCTAGTTACCGCGAGTTCAAAAGAGGTCAGTCTACGTTGACTTTCCCTATGACTTTCCCTAGAGGATATGGAGCACAGAAGAAGGTCAAAGCATGGATGGATGAGTTTCAAAAACTTCCCTACATATCTCCTTACGATGACTCGAGTAACATTGACCCAGAAAGCGATCTCATGGAGAAACGAGCTGTGGGTGTTTTGCACGAGCTGTTGAGCTTGACTATCCACAAGAAAACCAAGAGGAACTACTTGAGAAGCATGAGAGCGGAGCTCGACATTCCGCATAAGTTCACTCGTCTATTCACGCGATACCCCGGCATTTTTTACCTCTCATTGAAGTGTAAGACAACAACTGTGATCCTCAAAGAAGGGTATCGTCGAGGAAAACTAGTGAATCCGCATCCTCTCACTCGTCTTCGAGATAAATTTTATCATGTGATGAGAACAGGGTTTCTTTACAGGGCTAGAGGGCTAGGCATGGTCTCTAAAGAGGAACTTTTACTTGATAGGCCAGAGGATGACCTTGAGGAAGAAGGCTCTGAAGAAGAAGAGATTGTCGAAGGAAGTGAGCTTGAAGAAGATTCTGAAGATGAATAGCAATAGTTGTTGAATCTAAATGTCAAAGAGTTTTATTCATACAGAGCAACAATTTAAGTGCATTTTATCCTTTTGAAGTAATGGAACGGAGTTTGAACTATGTTAGCAAAAAGTCGTTCAAAGGATATAAAGAGAGATTGTATTTCACCAAGAAAGATTGTCAACAACAAAGGGAAACAAAAAGACAAATTGGATTTCAAAACTAACAAATGAAATTGTTAGAAGAAACCAAGAACAAGATCAAAATCGGAAAAAACTACTGTCTATCTTTTAGGACAAATCCTAAAAATAGCCTGAAAAAAAACAGAGAGATTCACCTAATAGCAAGATTAGTTAAATCCATCTCTTGAATGAGAGATCTCAAAGGTGGGGGAAAATACATGTACTCTCTTGGGAATGTAGAAGAAAGAAATAAATAGTCATGTTAAAAAGAGGAAAAATTGGGGAGCCTAATCGGCTAATCCCAAGCACTGGTCACTCCAGCACCATACCCACCGCTTGGAGCACCACCATATCCACCACCACCATAGCCTCCTCCGCCATAGTAATCATTGCCGCCTCCTCCTCCGCCGCCTCCTCTACTGTAAGAGCCTTCCCTTCTGAAGTCACGGCCACCAAACCGACCACCACCAGACTTTTTCTTACCACCACCAAATGAAGCACGTGAAGCGTATCGTGTGAGCCACTCGGGCACCTCTTGATTGGCTTCTTGCATCAGCTCAGCAAGCGACCTAGCCATTTGTGCATTGTTCTCGTTGAAGAAGGCAGTTGCTATTCCAGATTTGCCGGCACGTCCTGTTCGTCCGATACGGTGGACATAGTCATCGATGTCATTTGGTAGATCAAAGTTTACAACATGAGCCACGTGGGGAATGTCAAGACCACGTGCTGCCACGTCTGTTGCAACCAAAATAGGTGTTCTCCCAGTTTTGAAGGACCTCAGTGCCACTTCTCTTTCCTTTGAATTCATAACAACACAAAGAAGTCAATCAGATTGAGTCAACAGAGAACAAACTTACTGATGATGAACTTTAAAGAGTTCATTTCAGTAATATCATCGCGGTTTGTTTCTATAGTTTGGTTTTAGCTTTAGTTGGAGTGAAGTACATATATTACTCCACAATAGTAAGGTTTGATGTTGACAATTACATCCAAGAAATTCAACTTCAATCAATCAACAAACCTGTTGTGTTCTATCGCCATGAATGGAGGTTGCTGGAAACTCATTCATGCACAGCCAATTTTCCAAAGTATCAGCTCCCCTCTTTGTCTCCACAAAAACCAATGTCAATGATTGCTGTGTATAAAAAGAGAAGAAAGCCAGTATAAGTCAGAGCTTGAGTGATGATAAATCTTGGAAAAGTAAACAGATGGTAACTATTGCAATACCTTGTCTTGGGTCTCTCTCTGCGCGTGAAGCAGGTCCATGAGATGGCTTCTCTTGTCAGACTCTTGGACAAACTCAACCCTTTGGGTAATTAAATCAGTGCTTGAACCAACTCTTCCCACAGCCAAAAATATATAGTTTGACATGAAATCAGCTGCAAGTCTCTGTACAAGAAACAAATAAGGTAGTATTAAAAAAAACGTTAAGAACCAATCATTATTGTGCGTGCTGAATATTATGCAGCTGTTCTCACATACGAAATATAACACTCTAAAACTAAATCATCAATGGTTCACCTCATGATCTGGGAAGGAACAAAGTTACAGATATAAAACAAAGAACACTGTTATCCTCTGACACATAAGCATAACTATCATGCTACTTCACTAGAATTTAAGAGCAAGAAAAAGGTGTTTCATGGACAAGTAAAACCAACCTGGATCTCACTTGGAAATGTAGCACTGAACAACATTGTTTGTCTCACCCCACGTGGAGGCATGCCCATCTGTTCAACAATCTTTCTAATTTGTGGCTCAAAACCCATGTCCAGCATCCTGTCTGCCTCATCTAGAGCTAAAAATTTAACCATCTCCATTGAGACTCTAGCTCTCTCTAGCAAATCATTTAACCGGCCAGGAGTTGCCACAAGGATATCAACACCCCTCTCGAGTTCCCTGAGCTGAATAAACAATAAAAATGCGGTCAACAAATCGATGCTTGAAAACTGTTTGACTAACTAACACCTGTAACAAGGTTTAAAAATTCCAATGCTTCTGCATGTTATGTAAAGATGATACAAGCGATATGGCAACGTTCACTAGCATATGATTAAAGTGTGTAATACAAGATTTGAGTTTTGCCAATATTATGCATTTTGCTGACTTCAAAATCAGAACATATGTTCACAAAGGAGACTGGCCATAGGAAGAAAAGAGCTAGCAGAACTCAAATCAGTAAGCGTGAGCTGCTACTCACATAAAACAGAAAACAGTGCTATAATCATGTAGCAATATTCAAAGACAAGCTGAAAACAAAGAAACAAAAACGTGTACGATAATTACCTGCTGGTGAATAGGTGTTCCTCCATAAGCAACAACAACCTTCACACCAGTTTGGTAGGAGAATTTTTTGGCTTCATCATGTATCTGCCAAAAAATCACAGAATGAGAAATGTGTGTATATTATATACACATACATTTTTTTCTGAAGAAACCCTATTCTTGTTGGTGTGTATATTACCTGGCATGCCAATTCCCTTGTTGGTGAGAGGATGACTGCAAAAGGGTAAACCGCCCGTGAACCACGGGGTCTTTCTACATGCTGATCTTTCATGATTCCACTAATTATTGGAAAGCAAAAAGCAGCTGTCTTCCCAGACCCTGTCTGTGCACAGGCCATCAAATCCCTCTCTGCAAGCAGTATTGGAATAGCATGACGCTGTACCGGTGTTGGCCTCACGTACTTGCACCTCCGGATGTTCAGATTTAATGCATCCCCAAGATCTATGTCTGCAAATGTGTTAACAGGAGGAGGCACATCTCCCCCACTGGTCTCAACTGGAATATCTTCATAGGCATCAAAATTAATGCCTGTATTCTCCTGCTCCGTAAAGACCGGTTCTAACTCAGCATCATCTCCAAATGGGTTTACTTCACGTTCCCTACGGTCCCACCCTCCACTTCTGTTGTTCCAGCCACCACCTCCTCCTCCACCACCATAACCATAGCCAGGGCGTCCTCCATCATTCCTATAGGCACCGCCGCTGCCACCACCACCCCCACTGCTAGGAGGAGCCCATCGAGACCCAGCTGGTTGAGCACCATACCCTGCATGATTATTTTGTGGCAAAGGAGCAGCAACAGGCTCTGATGGCCTGTTCCGTAGGTGTGGGGGAACGTAAGAAGTCTTTGGCTTAGAACCGGCCTTCTCTGAATCAGCCACATCTGCCCATGATGCACTCATGATTGAAATTTGTAACGTCCTAAATCTAGAAAAAGTTGCAACTTCCCAGTAGAAAACTTATCAATAAACGATAACTTTATCCTTCTTATCCGCAAAAATAAAGAACCTGACAAATACCAAAAAAGGTCTATAGTTAGCACAAACGCAATCATAGAAATCAACAGCAGCTGGGTAATGTAAAAATCGGGGCTTTATCGAACTCCATAAGCAGGAAACCCCCAAAATCCCAAATCAAATCTATCAAGACGAATTTTAGAATAGAAACAAACAGAACCCAACCAGGGAAAGCCATACGAAGCAAGCAGATTAGAATCGTATCACACAAAACAGAAGAAGAAAGGTATTTCACCTCAAACGATAGAAACCAAAAGCAGGGAGCAATTAAGGAACCCTAGCTAGTTGATGATACAGCTCGAAATCGAGAGATAAACGTAGGCGGAAACAAAAAACGAGAGGATATAGAGAAAGAACCTCAAAAATCGGTAGAGAGAATCGAATCGAATCAAAAACGAAGAAAATCAACGGTAGTCGTTCACCCAACGGAAAAGCTCGGGGGAGAGAAAAACCCTAAATTCGATGTTTACCTTTTGGATCGGACACAACGCGATAAAATAGACATTTTAACACTCTTTTTATTAATCTTCAATAAGACCTAGTGCCAAGAATATGAAATTTGCTTGTTTTATTATTTTATTTTAAGATATTTTAAGAAAATCTAAAATCTAATTATAAACTTTTAAGAGTTTGGGAAAAATATTTACACCTAAATTGCCTTTAGAACGACGATTTAAAATTGTATATTTTCCAATAGATTTTAGGAATTTTCTTTTATTTACTTTCAAAACAATTCAACATATATATTAAATGATAGGAATTTTTTAGAAAGAGTTCCAGCCATATTTATTTCCAAAACATATATAAGTAAACTAAATGTTTCATGAACGTAGATTTTGAATATGATTTTTATGTTCTCACTTTGAGTTCTCAATAATTAGAAATTTATTTCCTTGGTTATGTCTAAACTATATTTGAAAAATTGAAAGTTTGAATGGTTTTAACAGACAGAACGAACTAATCGATTTAGAAACAAGACTTCTTTTATTCCTCATCATAAGTTTTAGGCACAATCGTTGCCAAAAACTCTCCATTCTCTCTCCTCCTGTAGACATTTCTTAGATCTCAGATCTGGTTTTGTATTTTCTTCTTGTTCTTCATTGGCAGTGATGGGTTTCAACGGCGAGACGGTGGAAGGCATCCCCTTCTTCTCCGACGACGATGTGGTGTGGTAGATCCGGTGGTCGATGCGGCTCGGTGGCTACTTCTCTGGCGGTCTAGAGCTGCTTCTCGGTGGATCAGGTCTGGTTGAGGACACTGGATAGATCTTGATGGGTAGGCGGCTCACGGCTTGGCTGTTGGAGGTAGAAACTGCGGAGGCGCGGCGGAAGTCGACTTCGGGATTGGTGGGTTTCGTTGTGGGTCACGAGCGTTCAAGGCAGATCCTTTTGGATCCTGGGATGGCTGAAGTTGGGTTTGGCAGTGGAGAGATCGAATTGAGCCATCCTCTTTCTCTGCTACCGGCTTTGGTTTCGCTCTAGTTCCGGATTGAAGATTGGCGTGCTTGCGAAGGTGGTTTTGGCGATGGGGGTGCGGCGGTTGTGAGGTATGCTGAAGGGCTTGTGTTCCCTCTTTTGCTAGGTACGGGATCGAGGGATGAGGATTCGAGAGTTTCGAGTGGTCCTTTCTCTTCCGGAAGAGAGTCGCGGGGATCAGGTAAGCTTCCAGCGGAGGCTCAGACGGTCGGATCCGGTTGCTCCGATCAGAAGGGTCGAGGTCGGAAGCTCGCCGCAAAACGGTTCTCTTGTAACCGCCGGAGGCTGCGTGAGAAGGATCCGTGTTCTTCTTTTTTCCGTCCAAGCTCCGATTAATCTCCGGCCAAAGTTTAACCGGATCTTTTTCTGCTTTTGTATTTTGTAACCCGTGGGCCCGTTAGGCCCATCACTCAAAGCCCATTTGGGTAGAATTATTAATATATATTTAAAAAAAAAAAAAATTTAGTATGCAGTATTAGAGAAAAAAAAAATCAATCACATAAATTTTGGTCAATTTTTTCAGTTGTAATCGTTCAGTGGAATATGATTGGAAAATAGGAATCCATGTTATCAAATGAGTTCTTCCAAAAATTTCAAATTTTGATTAATGAGATTTTAATTGGTTGATGTTTTGAATCAATAGTTGGGACATAATGTATTTTCTCCATATCTAGACGCTATGAAACTTTTTGTAAACACATTATAATTAATTAATTTATTTTTTGAGAAAATTTTTTATACTATTTAAAATGAGCAATTTTTCAAAACATTAGTATGGTTATAGTTTTTATGTTTTATTGAAAATAAAACGACTTTACAAATTTTGTGGGTATTATTACCATTGATTAAACACTTTAATAAGAAAATTAGAGGGTGTTTTGGTCATTGTGACTTGGATCTCAAAAGAGGAAGGGTATTAAAGTAAAATCAAGACACAGCTCGAAAGCTACAAACCCACTCGCCCCTTTACCTCACGCGCCCCTCTCATTTCGATTTCATCTCTCACTCTGCTCGAGAGAGAGAAAGAAAAAGCGAAGAATACGCAGAATCCATCCAATTTAGGGTTAGGGCTGCCCCTAATCTGGTAACCTGTTCCTCGTCTCTGATCTGTTTTCCGGATCCGACTAGAAGGAAAGAAGACGACGACGCTTTACCAAAAAGATGGGCGCGAACTCGCTTCCGACGGATGCAACCCTCGATCTAGATGAGCAGATCTCGCAGCTCATGCAGTGCAAGCCTCTTTCCGAGCAACAGGTGCCTGAGATTGTGTTATAATTATAGCTTTTCGTTTTCTTCGTTTAAAATTGGATCTGTAATTTAGTTTTCCGGGTGAACTTTGGCTATATCGATGATTGGATCTCGGATTTTGTTTCAAATCGAATGGTTGGTTATTTATGTGATTATGTGAGGATCTGATTTGTCGACAAGGATCTTATAGTATTGTTGTAGAGCTCACGGGTGGTCATTTCACGTCAGTTTTTATGGGTTGATAAAAAATGGATTTCATTTTTTTTTTCTTTTCAAAATGATGTCTGGCTGTATTGGCTTCTGAATAGGCGATTAGCTCGCATTTCAATGTTTGTCTCACCCACAGTCAAAATTGTCATTTTGATTAGGTGATTCACTAGTTAAAATCTCATCAGTTTGATGCGTTACTGGAGGGATACGTATCTTAAATGATAGTTTTGGTTGCAATTCGATTAAAGACGTTATGAGCTAATAACGAGGGGAAAATATTGATCAATAGCTGTAAAAAAGTCTTATTGGCTGTAGATGATCTTTCTGTTTGCTGCTTGTGTCAAATTGGTGTGTCTTATATGACATTTAATGTTATGGTTTTGATACTGGATAATACTGTTAGTCCTGTATCTCTCTAGGAAGTAAAAGAGGGGAAAGATGAATTTATCATGTGCAGTTTTTTTGTTTTTTTTTTTGCTTTAGGTCAGAGCATTATGTGAGAAAGCTAAGGAAATTTTGATGGATGAAAGCAACGTTCAGGTCAGTTCTTGATCTTGCATCTTGTGGCAATTATAATTCCCATGTGGTAGATTGTGTTACTACCCTGAATTCATTTAAGGACGCAGTCATTGGTTTTGTTTGAGTTAATATATATATTTTTACTGTATGCAGCCTGTTAAAAGCCCTGTGACAATCTGCGGTGATATTCATGGACAGTTCCATGATCTTGCAGAGCTTTTCCGTATAGGGGGAAAGGTAACATCTATAACTCTTGCACAATGGACAAAAAGATGCATGTTGTGTTTTTTAGTCTGCATCATTCCTTTCTAGCAATTATTAGTTATGGCTGGGGAATACAAGTGGATGCTCACTGAATAATCAGAACTATTTGGAGCCTATTCTTAGGGGTTGTATTTGAAAGTGGGTTCTAATTATTGTTGTCCATCTATCTTCCCTCAGGCTTGTACAAAACCTGATGAATGTTAATCTTACACTCTTTTGCAGTGCCCTGATACCAACTATCTGTTTATGGGAGACTATGTCGACCGTGGATATTATTCTGTCGAAACTGTTACGGTACCAAGTCTATACCATTAACATACTTCTTTTTTGTTCAATAATCTGATTTCCAAGTGGAAATACATCTTTTTGTCTTTTTATTTTGTTAAATAAAATATATTGTGTCCATACTGGATGTTTTCTCTTCTTAACGTTTATATTTGTTTGTTAGATTTACCATTCTGATACTCTTTCTTCCTTTTCAATTCCATTTCCAGCTTTTGGTTGGCTTGAAAGTACGATATCCACAGCGAATCACTATTCTTAGAGGAAACCATGAAAGTCGTCAGGTAAATTAACTTTTTTCTAAGTTATCACATTGTCTTTACTTGTACTTTTACCTTCTGAAGTATACGGTAATGAGTCTATAGACATATTTTGCTGTTTTCTGTCATTAAAATCTTAGATGAGACCCTTTTATAATTACAATTTATTTTTTCCATGTCTATGATATATACATTTACAAGTCAATTAAGGAATTTCTATATTTTGTCTGCTGCAATTTTCTGTCCTCTTTAAGTTTTTATCTGACTCATGGTTCAATACCTTTTTTTTGCTATGGCAGATTACTCAGGTTTATGGATTTTATGATGAATGTCTGCGAAAGTGAGTCTCCTTGCGAACATTTTTATGTTGTATAAGCTGCTAACTCGCTTTGTTCATGTCATGATAATCTTCTTTAACTAATACTATGCTTGTCCTCGTGGTTTCTGTTGTCGCTGCTAATATTGTTTCTTTCTGTATTCTAGTCCTGGCTATTTTATATTGATCTTTCGGATTAATATACCTTAGTTGTTGTTTGTTAGTTCCATTCAAAAATGAATTTGATAAAATATGTCTCCTTCTATACCTGTAGGAAAGTGTTTTTTGGTTATTTCGTTTTTAATTTGCTTAACAAAGCTTGCTTGTACTTGCAGGTATGGCAATGCAAATGTTTGGAAGATATTTACAGACCTCTTTGACTATTTCCCACTGACAGCCTTGGTTAGTACTTAGTACATGCATTACATCTTTATTTCCTTAAGCCTATAAGATAGATGATCCATTTTCTGTTGTGCATTCTTGTGCGTGTGTTAGCATATTTGGTTGGCAAGTTTCACTTCAATTTGAGATGGTTTGTATTCTGAAATGTTGTGAATGTCATATATATTGCATTTACTACTTATACTTTCTACAGAGAAAAGTGGACGATCTCTTAGATATAACTTGTCTGATTTCTTAAGAGTTTTAATTCCAAAAAATAATGAGGCTGTCTATCTCATATGTATATCCTTGTTTACAGGTGGAGTCGGAAATATTCTGCCTTCACGGTGGATTATCACCATCTATCGAAACCCTTGACAACATTAGGAACTTTGATCGAGTTCAAGAAGTTCCGCATGAAGGGCCTATGTGTGACTTATTATGGTCTGATCCTGATGACAGATGTGGTTGGGGAATCTCTCCTCGTGGTGCTGGATATACATTTGGTCAGGTATTGAATTATGAAGACTCAGTTTCAGAAGCTGTCCTGAATCTCCTTTTTTTTGTTTGGTTCCAATAAGTGTGTAAATTAACTTTCATTTTTCATTTTTGTTTCCATAGGACATTTCCGAACAATTCAATCACACTAACAACTTAAAACTGATCGCCCGAGCGCATCAGCTTGTTATGGATGGATTCAACTGGGCACACGTAATACAATCAAACTCCTCTTCCCTGCCTAGATTAGCCAAAACCTTAGATTCTTAGCTCACTATGTATACATTCCCGTTGACAGGAGCAAAAGGTGGTTACTATATTCAGTGCACCAAACTATTGCTATCGCTGTGGAAACATGGCCTCAATTCTTGAGGTCGATGACTGCAGGAACCACACGTTCATTCAGGTCTTTGCCCAAACTATGTCCTGAAATTGTCGTTTTAACTTCTATTCTGGGGAAAGGTAACTAACAGAGTATAAATCATGAAACAGTTTGAACCAGCACCAAGGAGAGGAGAGCCAGATGTAACCCGAAGGACACCTGACTATTTCCTATGAAGACACTCAGCTCCTCCTGCAGCTGTAAAGTCCGGTTGTTTGTTTTTGAAGATCTCTGCTTATTCCATTTGGTTCAACGCATTTGTGTTCCAGGTTGCTTCTCTTTAAAATCAATTTAGCCCTCTCCCTTGGAATAGTGTAATATAGGCAAAGAGGTCAATGAACTTTAAACCTCTCATGAACATGTGTTTGGCTGAACTTATTAGCTCCCTTCTGCATCAGAATCTGTTTATTGTGAGATATTATTTCGATTTATTTCACGTAATTTTTCTCTTTTGTTCCATATATCTGTTTTTTGCACTCTTTATTTGAAACCTAATAATATAAAACGAAATGATGTTCTTTAAAGCCAAAACAATGGACTGTGGGTATGGTGAAGTGGATACGAGTTGATGAACAAATGTCATGTACAGGCATTGATTTTATAAAATCACACAAAGGAACTGTTACTACAAGTTAACATAAGAGAATAGCGAAGGAACAAGATCAACAACAGACCAGGCAAGGCCTGCATATTGGAAGAACCTAATACCAGTATCAATATCAAACGAGTCCTGGCTCAAGAGCTCACATATTTTCTGCAAATATCCAACTGAGTTCTTGGGTTCGTCTGTCTTCTTCCCACTTGCATACTCCTTATCGACCTTGAGCTTGGGAATGTACATGCTGGATCTTATTGGAATCCCAAGTGCGTTGGATACTGTTGGTAAAGTCCATTTTGCAAGAGATTTACTGCAGAACTTCACTAAGAGTATTGTCGGTATCCCCACCAAGACTCTACCAAGGTAGGATGAAATAGGGAGCTCTGGTGAGAAGATTCGTGGAGCAGCTTCGTGGTGGAATTGACTGTACGTTTGCTGCACTCCGGTAACCTAAGACAAGTAAAATCACCGATTGAGGCCATTGTCTAAATAAACCATAACACTAATGCATATAATATTGTCTGAAAATCTTTCAATGCTTACAATCCCTAGGGTAACCCCGTTGAAGGCAGTGTGGTACTCGTAACTAGGAGTTGGGTGCTCAGGGGTCGGATAAGCAAAGAGCAATAAGAAACTCAACGCAGTCCAGAAGGAGCTAACTGCACAATCAAGAGAGTCATGGCTTTTCTGTTATTCAATGTTTGCAAGTAAGGAGCATTGTCAAACAATGAGCAAGGTGCTTACCGTTCTGTTTTGATGTAATGAAATCGTCAATTTTTTCGTTGACAGTAAGCCAAAGACCTAGAATCAGAACTCCTATGGCAAGACCACTGATGATATCGACGACACTGTGCATACCCAAGTAGATCCTTCCTAGGAAGAAAACAATGTTGTCAATTGAGGAATCAAATCCTTCCATGTGTGGTTATCAGGTATGAGTTTGGGTCTTACCAAAGGCGATTAGGGCTACCAACAAACAAGCAAGGGCAAATCCATAGTATTGGATAGACACACTTTCGTGTTCCAAGGAGGATAACACATAATGGAGTAGATAGCTGAAACACCAAACAATAGGGAGACATGTGTTATATAACCTCTATACCCACAGCAACATTTTCTTTACGAAAGAATGGTCACAACAAAGAAAACAGAGAACAGTAAATGCTTCACATTACATATATCCAAATAAACAACTATCAGCATCAGTTGATCCATTGTCAACTATGGGATTCTTTAGCATTCCAATTCCAGCACTTAGTCGACTATCTTCTCACAGCATTGAATACCGAGAGCAGACATTACTAGCTAGGTAAAGATTTTCTACAACTATGAAATTCTACAACAAACCTGGTAAAGAGTTAGCGGGTAACATACCCGGATAAACAAACAGTGTTAAGAGTATGTGAAGAAGGCAAGCCATATTCCATTGCATTGTCTTCCTCATCTTTTGTGGCAGTAATCCTTCTAACCGGTGGGCAGCTTGGCCTAGGAGCTGATACCACATCCTATATACAGAAGACTGTATAAAACCAATACTTCCTTCTATGAAACTTGTAAGCTAAGAGAATGTGTTATAGAAAGCCAAATACCTTAATGCAATTTCCCAAGTAATCACAGAATGCAATCAAGAGAGTCATCTGCCTAGCCAATCTACCATGTCCACTCTAGATTCATCATATCCACATTAAAATTCATATACAGTATAAGACGAAAGATTTCAACTTTTATGTTGAAGAAGAAGTTAGGAATGATACCCAGAAGAGCAAAGGCAAGAAAGCAGTGTAAAAGGGCACAGAGACAACACATGATAGCCCTGAGAAGAAAGCATCCAACACTCCATTCTGACATTTCTGCAAATACCCAAAATAGAAAATTTGAAGTCTAAGGCAAAATTCAGCTTCGTTTCTAATTTTTAAAAGATGATAGCTTTAGCTAATAATAATAAGGCACCTGGATTCTGAGAATGAGAGGAACACCACCGACGACTTGACGAGTGACCCATGGTTGTAAGAGAGATCTAAATTTATGGGTAAATCTGAGATAAGAAGAAGCACAGATCCATGTGACAATACCAACGAGGATCAAACCTTGCCATGTCCCTGAGCCTTCCATTGATCTTTCTAGAATCTTCTTCCCTCCCTCTTTCCCGTTTCAAAGAAAGAGGAGAGAGAATTTGAGACAGTTGGTAGATTTTCTGGCTAGGTTTCACAAAGTCAAATGATCCCCAAAGTCTTTTGTTTGGAAAATTAGGAGACGGTCTCTCTCTCTATCTCTTGAGCCGTATAGTGAGGAGCTCCAATGGATGTTTGCTGGCAGAGAGAAAGAGAGAGACAGAGATTGATTTAAACCAATATATTATAGTATTAGTTAATAAATTTTGAGACCAAGTTATATGAAAGATTTTGAGAGATGGGAAAAATTCATAGCCACCAGTTTTGATCCACCACTTTTTGAAAGTGAAGTCTACGTGTGATTTGCGTGACTTTAGTCAACGCACAATTATAGTCAAATTCCTCTTTTTTTTTTTTTTTTTTTTGATTGTGATTGCCATTTGATTGATTTTGTGCTACCAAGAGTTTCCCTTTTCAAAAAAGGAAACGTAGAAAACACATATTAACCAAACAATTCGTGTGTTAACAAAAAAGAAAGAAACTAACGTTTAGTTTGAAGTGTAAACGATAACTAAACGATTGTTCCTTTTTAAAACTAGCAAGCTAACTATTAGTATTGCAAGAACCATGTAACATTGACCCCAAAAGTACGAGATTAACTTCTGTATTTCAGGAGAACCATAATAAAATACAAAGGGTCAAAAAGACGCAGACCTCGAAAGAATGAGAGTCAACAACAACGGTGAAAATTAATCCGGAAAAGTAAAACAGAACAAAACAACGGTTTCCTTGTTCTTAGAGCAGTCAGAAACAGAGAACAATAAAGTCTTACAATATCTCCTCCTTTGGGTTTAAGTTTTGAATGTAGCCAAGTCAGTCTATGCACGAACACCTCGGTTAAGACTTACCATACGGCTCGTGCCATCCATCTGCATTCCTCTGTTCCCTGTTCCACCTCTTCCTGCATACCCACCACTCCCTCGGTTTTGACCTGACCAGTCTCTTGCATGTCCAGATGATCTGTTACCACCATAACCAGACCTAGCACCCCCGTTGTAACCTTGTCTTCCTTGATTGTAAGACATATTGTCTTGCCACTTTCCACCACCTGCTCCTCCTGCATATTCTTGATTGTTGTCTCTTCTCCTTGAGTTTAGATCCAGACCACCACCACCAGTCCTAGCCTCCATTGCTCTTTCGTTGCTCTCCGCAAGAACAGCAAGTTTCTCAGTTAACTGGAAAGCCAAGGTTTGCAACCTGGTGTGCTGGACATCATGAAAGATTATGCAACGTGTAGGTTGGTCCCAGCTTGCATGGAGTTCTTCATTGATCATCATCTTGCTCACGATGCTGTGGACTTGGTTTTCAGAGAGATCAAACATCTTGGCAAGCTGATCTAGACTTAGGGACTCGTAGGAGGCCGAGTATGTGAAGAGGTAAGTCCTCAAAGCCTCTTCTTTGATCCTATCCTTCACTATATCAAGGATGGTTTCCCGATTCTTGAACAGCTTCCAGACATCAAGAGACTTCACAACTTCAAAAGCCTTTTGGAAGTCTCCTTTAGTCAGAGCTCGGGTTGCTGCCATGGCATGGTCACGAACGTTCTCAGGAGGAGCAGTGAATGCTTGCCTCTCACTGATCTCGAGCAGGCGACGGAAATTCTTGCTAATCACCTTGCGTTTGACATCGTGAGAATTGGCTGCCATGTTAGGGACCTCTAGCAGCATTGCACAGATGAGCTGAACAGCTTCGAGAAGCTCAAGGTTTATGTGCATGTGATATGGCATCTGTCGTCTCCTCTCCAATCTTTCCTGGTGGGAACAGAAGGTTACAAAGAGTTAGCTTCATTTTCAATAGAAATAGACTGACGAAACAACATGAGTGTCAAGAACCCAAATACACAAGATTGAAAGAAGTTATTACACAAGATAGAAACAATTTATATGAACTGACATGCAAAAGAAGATACTATGTAATACAAACAAAAGTATGTACCTGCTCGGGAGTCTTCTCATGGTAGCGGCTTTGCGAGACACCTTGAGCAAGTAACTCCCGCACCCTTTGACCAGAGTACAACTCAGAGAGGCAGCTGTGAGCCTCTGTAATCATTCCAACCCGGAATGCGCAGAGACCAAGCTGTGCCATGGACCTATTAAAGAGGATCTGGGTTGAGATGTCCATGTGTTGAATATTGTCCTGCAGATGACTCATCAGCAATAAATCCCTAGCAGTCACAAAGTTGTCTACTAAAGCATGGTGATAGATATCACATAACATCGCACGGGCTTTAGTTCGTTCATCTCCATATTTGTATATAAGAGAGACAAGAACATCCATCATAGCTCGACTACTCTCTGGGAAGGTAGGCTTACGAGGAACAACCTCTGGAACAACAATGAATGAAGGAGGTCCAGTTTCCTCTTTGGGCTCCTCACTATCTTCTTCTTCATCTTCTTCCACCACCAGCTCAGCCAGTTTCCTCATGGCATCATAAACTTCCTGAGGCTTGTAGTAAATTAACTCAACTTGTCTTAAGGCCACCTTTGCAGCAGCTTTATAGTCACCAGACCGCTCAAAGTAGTCCTGGATGTTTAGAGCAAGAGCTAAGAACATCGGCTCATCTCTCAATCTCTCCACATACTCACGTGTATGAGGATCTATGCACTGCAAACTCTTGAAAAATTCAGTGTCTATCCTCTCCACGAATGCAACAAGATTTCCCCAGACCCGGATTTTTCCTTCAAAATCTTCTGGTTTTGAAGTTTCATTCTCATCAGGCTCAACCGTGTCATCAACAACGATGTTATCATATTTGACAAGAATGTCCAGTATTGTAAGCATGTTATTCACACACTTCTTCCAGACATTGATAGGCATGTGTCCGCTGAGACCAGGATTCACATCAAACTGTGCAGAAATAACACTAAACAAGATTTCAAGTTTCTGTGCTGGAGTTTTGGCAATCCTTGTCAGGTGTGTAAGCTGATCAACCAGTTCAAATCGTGCAGTTCCCTTCCTGCCACGGGCAGCCACAACTTCTTTGAACTTTTGGTTGACCCAGTCCCATGTGATCTCTTTAGGGTCTTTATTATACAACTTCTCCATAAGCTTATCTTTCTTGCTTAGCATCTTCTCCCAAGAGGGATCACCTTTATCGTTCTCTTCCTCCTCTTCAGACTCAGTATCCACAATAATACCATCCTTAAACTCAACATCACTGTCTTCATCTTCCGTATCTCCATTCTCTGATTCCTTCACTTCCTCGGTTTCTGGAGACTCCCTATATTTATTAATCTCTTCTTCATACAGCTTGTTGTTCTTCTTCAATCTCTGTTTCATTGAATTCAAGGCCTTGGAGTTGCTAGTACTCATCTTTTTCTTTGCTTCCTTGTTTGTCAGAGTTTCACTTAGAAAATCCTCCAACATCACAAGGGTTTTGATGTACAAGATTGGAGCCTTCACAGCCTCTGTAACCCTCATAACTTTTTCCAACTGCTTGTTAATCTTATCAAAGTTTTCTTGTAGACTAACCCAGTCATTGATATTCATGGCTTTCTTCATCTGATCTGCGGTACTAACCATCTCTTCAAAACGCTTGTCTTTGGCTGGCTGAACAACACGTTTACGGAGATCCTCGTTTTCACTATCACTGCCACCTGCTAGGTAACGCGAGGCACCACCAACATTGGTATCTTGAACGTCGTCCAAATCTTCCTCGACGTCACTCTCATATTCACTATCACTTCCACTCTGGTGGTCAGAAATTACAACGAGTAAGTAAAGTCAGTAAAGCCAATAGACCATACTAAAGAAGTTATCGATATAGAAGCTTCGAGGCAAACCTGAGCAGCAAAGAACTTAGACATCTTTCTTAGCGGGAATGGTAATCGTTAGGCAATGAAAGGAATGAGAACCTGCAATCCAAAAAACTGTAACATAAGCTGCTGAAAAGATAACATAACTCGAAAAAACCCAATATGCTAATCTAATGACTTGGAAACAGGACAGTACCGTATTCAACCTATCAAACATGCAAACAAACATAAAAACCAAACTTTTATAGTCTTCTATACCCTAAGAGGTCAAGTATTTGACACATGACACATTAACACATCTACCAAACGAAACAGATCCGATAGTGTTATAACTTCCACATACTAACATGTTAATACGAATCCAGAGGAATATAACCTAAAACCAATATCCGAATTAACTGTAGTTAACCCTAATACAGAAAATCAAAGAGTTTATAAAAAGCTTCAAAGAAACAGAGTAAAACAAAATTTCGAATATTTTTCAATCAAGCAAAGGTTTTGATAATCATAGAAATACGATAAGCTAAGAAATAAACCCAGAAATCATAATCCAGTAATAACAAAAGATCCGACGCCAAACCTTTTTCTCTAGGAAAAATCAATTAAGCTATAGAGTGCAAAATCTAATCTCAATCAACACCAAACACACAAGATTAGAGAGAAATCGAGGCTTGAATCTACCGAATTTGGAATCTGTACCGTGAGAAGAGAGCGAGAACGTAAGAGAAAGGATTAAATCCCAAAAGCCAGACGCCGGAACTGTGCCAAGTATTTGTAGGGCTTTTGCTTTTGCAATTTAGGAACCACTTCTTGTTAAATTCCTAATCTACCCCTGTCTGCTATAACTTAGAACGGTATTTGTTATGGCCTTTTGGGTATTATCGACTTTGCACACGATTCAGATCAATTACATAATCAAACCGTTTAAACCGGACTAAAGATTTGGTTAGCTTCATACTTTTTTTTTGGTAGGCACCGGGAGGCAATGCCTCCCGTTATTTATTAAAGTAAAATAAAAAAATTACACAGGAACTCGTCTTGGTCGTCCGGACCCAAGATTGTCCTCTCTCCAAATCGAGTCTACAACACTCGGAACATTAATAAACGAATGAAAACCAAGCTGTAAAGAGAATGCATAGTGAGCTAATCCATCCGCAAGACAATTAGCTTCCCTATACACATGCGAAATTCGGACTTCCCAGTCCTTCGAAATAAAGCCATGGCACAAGCGTACCAGGAATGACAAGGGATGGTGATCACTTATCCCCGTCGTGAGAAACCCAACCACCGTCTCCGAATCAATCTCCACCTCCACCCGAGGAACTCGTTGCTCCCAAGGGATGGTTAGCTTCATACTAATTACATTAGTTAATAACTTCAGATTTTATTTACATTTTAATGAATATTTTTTATGGACAATTAAATTAGTGAAGATTATATGATTCAATGGATTACACAATAATTACACGACAAAACATGAACAAAAAAAAAATTAATTTTCTGTTTTTCCAATTATGCAGAGTTGCAGACGTTACTACAACAACAAAAGAATAATGAATAGGTGACTTGAAGAACAAGGAACACACATAAGAAGACCATTCTTCAATTAAGCCCTAGTTTTTCTTCTTGGGTAACAAAAAATATTCAAACCGATCACTTCATCACATGAGCATTTGCGTCACATGTATATAAAATCGACCTAAAGCTTTTCAAGTTCTTCAGCCAAAGGACTTCTCCCAAGACTTGTTCCTCGTGTTCTAACCGGGGCAAAAGGAGATATCTTAGAAGAATTTGAAGAAGCTCTTGGAGATAAATGAGCTTGCTCAAGAACCCTAAATTGTAGCTCTGAAGGGTAATCTCTCATACAACTGATTCTAGGCCCTGCACCTGTACTCCATCTCGAATGTAGCCGCTCAGCTAACTGGTAAGATTTAATTCCTTTGTGTGAATCTATCCGTTTCATTATCTTCTCCTTCAGGACAGGCTTCTCGTATTCTTCTATGTCTTCATCGAACAGGTTTGATTTTGGATATGTGAACTCTTCCTCAGCTATGAATGTCTCCTCTGCTGTCTCATACCCTTGTTCTGAAGGGGTTTCAGGTTCTTCTTCATCATCCTGTTCCTCCTCGATCATGTTGTCGTCTTCGTTTGGAATCTCATCCAGTCTTGAAAGTTTTGAATGGAACCTTGTTAATGTTTGTAGTTCTGAATGATTGTTGGGCTTAGTGTTCGGACTAAAACCGGTCTCAGCATCCACAAAGTCACAATGTTCTTCTTCGGTCTCTTTGATTCTTGAAGGCATCCTCTTGACCTTAGCAGGAGCTTCTCCATCTTCTTCATCTGGATTCTTCTACAGAATATGAAAAAGAAAGTCTGTAATTGCGTAAATCATAGCCTAAAAACAAACCAGTGCTAAACCTATGAGATCTTGGTGACTTAAACTCAGACCAGAATGGACTTACCTTTACATTGGCGAGGTCTACATTGTTCTCCCTAAGAAACGACATGAACGCCTGAAAATTCTCTTCTGTTGGAAGATAATGTCCACTGTGAGGCCAAACTGCCTGAAAAGATCATCCAAAGAACTCAAACTCAACACAAAAAGTTTTAGCAAACTCTTACTTCTCTTCTTTTGCATAAGTATAAACGACGAAATTTCTTTCTTTCACCTTAAGAACACCATCGTCAACCACAATCCTTCCAGCAGATAATGTAGCTCCCCCCGCTAGAAAACTCGAGTGTTGAAAGTTACCCTTTTTCTTCATTCCAACATACAATATCTTAGATACGCTTAGGACAAAGATCCACTTTGCATCAGGAGGACCTTCTTTTGTGTCGAGAACTATCCCACTTTGCTTATACATTAGTTTCCCATTCTCAATTACAACTTCATATGCCTCCCTTTCGGTCTGCTCGTAAGAAAGAATAAAGCATTACAAAAAGGTATCTAACAAGCATGTCAATAATATTGGTCTACCAAGTTTTGCCGAGAATAAATATAAGGTTCATCAGAACTGGTCAACCAAGCACAGAAACTAGAGGATAAAACTCACCGGACCAAGATACTTGATGCTTTGTTGGTAAAGTTTTGATCTTGGACATCTTTCGTGGTTCAATTCTTTTCCTTGTCCTATGTCAAGCCTACATGTCCAAAGTTGGACGTTAGCTCGTAAATCATATGTACTCTTGATACTGTCATACTTTTGACTGTGTAATAGCAAGCTTACCAGTAGAAAAAGGGTTGTTTACTGTCACAGTGGAGCCAAGCATGATAATAGAATTGCAGATTGTGGCCATACCGATGTCGAGGATCAATCTGTTAAGCTAGAAAATTAAGATCACATAGCTTTACACAAAACTTAGAGCCACAGAGATAAACAACTTGTACAAGAATATTCTTACTGCCTCAAGCCAGTGCTGCAAAGCCAGCTTCCTAGCTTTCTCGTCTTTTGATAAGCCTTTACCCACCTAAGCGATAAAAATGGTCAAATCATTAAATAAAGACCGGAGCAAGGGAGGTATAATGGGTGCATCAAACGAACATATTTGATGGACTTAATGTTACCTTAGCAGCTCTTGTTCTTGCTCTAGACCAGCGTGAAACTGCAGTCTCTTGCTTCTCAATTTCAAAAAACGAAATAGAGCTTCTTTTAAGTTCAGCAAAGTCAAGTACCTTCCACCTGCAAATTCCATTTAGTTACCAAACCGAAATTTTGTTCTCTCTATATATACAATGCCAACAATTATAAAACCACGAACCATCTTTGCTCAACGACTACAGCACAATCAGCTAGCCGTCTTCTGGTTCGAAAACTTCTATAAACCTTCTGTAACTTCAATGCAGCTTGATATGTTCCATCACCTAATAACAAGGCTAAAAATTCTCTTGCATGATCGTTTTCGGAAACAGGTTTCCATCTCCGCATTTTATATCTGTCATCTTCTTTCATAAAAGTTAAAGGTTTAACAGAGAAGCTGTTCTCCACATCTCCTGGAGAAATTCTTGATCTTTGTGTCCCTTTACCACTGAGGGATCTATTGTACAGCTTTTTTCTAGTTTCAGGTGATTCAGTGATGGTTGAATCCGAATCAATGTCATTAAAACTGATTGATCGAAGAATGGTCTTTGTTTCTGCAGAACCAAGACAATTATATCTTAAGAAAATCAAATGCCTTCAAAATTTAGTCTATATCAGAAAATCTACCAAATCAAATGTTCATAGAAGTTGTCAAAAATACTAACCCATTTTCACTTGAAACCAGATTCAAGCAGTTCCTTATTTTGTCCTGAAAATGTCAAATATCGAAATTTTATCATTGAGACATTACATCGAACACATTACGATCTGGTTTTCAGGAGAAAAAAAAAAGAAACAAAGCGTGAAGAAGGAGCAGACCTGGAAGTCAAACAAAACCCATGAGACGAAATGAAACAGAGAAGAGATTCTTTAATGGAAGAAAACAACAGAGCCAAAAACGAAAGGAGGAGGCTTTGAATGGGGTCTTTGGTGTCTAGGATTAGATGGGAACGTGAGAGAGAACGCTAATGGCGGCCATTTCTGATCTAAGAGATTCTCATGAAATCTCAATCTATCAATGCAAATATGTTCCATTGGCGGGGAGAAAATAGAATCCTCTGTTTTTCTTCTTCTTTCTAACTTCCTAAACATAGAGAGCTTTCACAATCGCACTGTAAATTTTGTTGGCTCCTCCTCAGTTTTTACTAATTTTGGCGTCAATGTTTCACTTTTAAAACTACGTCCCTATAAAAATTTAAACTTAGTAGTTTACCCCGAGAAAAAAAAATCATAACAAAACCTTCAACTTTTTACAATTTCCATAAGACCATTTTATAAATAGTTTACCAATCAGAAACAGCAAAAAACATCATGTCTTTAACAGAAAACTTTCAAAAGTTGGGGACTTTTTATGAAATTTCTCTATAGACGGAAGCAGAACCAAAAGCCCTAATCCCTAACTGGCCGTGTCCGTTAAGTCCTCTCTTTTCCGAAGGATCTGACTTTATCCCGGGACTCCGACGCCGAACCTCAAATGGAAAAAGAAGATGAGCTTCAGAACTTAAACGGCCAAGTTTCAGCACCACGAGACGGAGATGTAGAAGATGACGATCCACTAGTGTTGAGCTCTCAAGCATTGGCGGCGCTCCAGGAATTTCTAGCCGACCAGAATAAGGCTGTTGCGAGCACGCCACCGGCGTCTTCCATCGCCGGAGAAGAGGCTTCGGATAAAGTGGAGCTGGTTACGGAGGATTGGAGACTCAGCCAGTTCTGGTATGAACCTGAAACTGCAGAGACTGTAGCAGAGGAAGTGGTCACTCTCTCTAGTAGATTCTCAGGCTGCAGAGTCGCTTGCATTGCTTGCCCTACTCTCTACGTTTATCTCAAGGTACTATTGATCAGTTTTGTTAAGTACCCTTAATTTGTATCGAATCCGTTTTTCTAAAAATCGATACTTTTGTTGTTGTCGATGCTAAATTTATGTATTCTGGGTTTTAATTTGTGATGAGTTCAGAAAAAAGATCCGAGTCTTGAGGTGCAATTGCTTGAGTACGATATGAGATTCGAGAGATATGGAAATGAGTTCACTTTCTATGATTACAACGAACCAGAAGATCTGCCGCTTCAGCTGAAACATTGCTTCCATATAATCGTTGCAGATCCTCCCTACTTGGTAAAGTTTCTTCAAGTTCCTAACTTTTCCGATGCAGTTCTATCATGGGAATTTTGGAAATCTTTTAGCTGCCACTTGATAGATAGGTTTAGAGCTGATGTGTAAAATCTGCTCTGAACTTCTGACATTCAAGAAGCTTCTGTTCGATGGGCATTGCTTATAAATAAATGTTATTATCGACCTTCTAAATCTTGTATTGTAGACTGTAGAGTTCTTTTAAAAGATTACAGAAAGTCCAAAATCAGGGAAGATGTAAGAAAAAAGTGTAAGCTCTACAATGGAGTATGAGTTAGTAATGGTCATGGCTTAATTCTCACTTCTTAAAGATAGATGCTTTGTGGCTCTCTGCTACGTTTTGGTTATCATCCAAAACATTCCCCGGATAAAGTATTTGTTACTTGTGAGGACATCATTAATCTGTGATGTTTTTGTGTGTTATATTGCTTGATAATCTTCAAAACATAAATGTCTGAGTACCTTCTAGTTAGCGTGTTAATGATCTTGATTCGTTTACGCTTGGCAGAGTAGGGAATGCCTGGAAAGAGTTAGTCAAACAATTTCATTCCTCGCAAGCCCAGTAGATTCATTGTTGCTTCTTCTCACAGGTACAACGACTTTATTTTCTCAAGTCAATTTCGTAGGATCTTATGATTTATCAACTGGGGGATATTTCACGTCTTGCAGGAGAGGTGCAGAGAGAACATGCAGCTGAGCTATTGGGTGTTCGTCCTTGTGTGTTTAAGCCTCATCACTCTAGCAAACTCGGAAATGAGTTTCGACTGTTCATAAGTTATGATCCCGGTACCAGATTAGGAGGCTTGGAAGAAGGCAGCTAGTTTTGAGTTGTCCATCTTTGTTGACTTACATGTAAGTTACTTGTCTAAAGTCTTTGACTGTTCTTTAGTAAACCATTGATGGTTCTTTTATCCTTGTGATCACAAGAGAAGAAACAATGTGATTTCTTCTCTGTAAGCGCCATCTCACGTGTTCATGTCTTCCCCTTTTTGCTGTTCTTCTTATACTCACTGTTAAATTCTTATGACGATGTGCGCCTTAACCAATCACAGGTTTCTGGCATGTCATCCTCTAGCAGCGGAGGAAGGAAGATTAGTGGCAGGGAACGCTTATGTGTGGTGCTTTCCTCTCATCCTATCTCTCAGCTCTCTGGTCTTGGATATTTTTCATCCATGTTCTCTTGGTGACCTCACTGTGTTCTATCGTTGTCTGTTCTGTATCTTGTTGCCACCGCAGATCTCAAATCTCATATACTTTACATTATCAAATCTCAACATATTTACCAAAATGGTTTATTGCATCATAAATCAACATGACATACGGAATTAGCTCATCACAAATAAATTATTCAATCCGTAGCAACTTTATAATTTTAGCAAGGAAGAGATGAATCAAACAAATATTGATGTTTGCTGTCTCAGCAAAAAGAAATTGGCCCGACCCGGTTCGACAAAATTTACCAGAATCAAAGTGCTAAACCGGTCGAAGAAGTTAAGATCTCGAGAAGAGTCTTTCACGGTGAGTTCTTCTTCTTCTTCAATGGTCATTGAAATTCAAATACACGCAAGCATCAGAGAAGAGGACTAATTCGCGACTTCGATTATGAGGCCGAACATTGTTACCGAGGTGAGATATGCTCAATTTCCCGCTTTGCTTGCTTATTTTCCTTGATCTTAATCAGAAATTGCTGAGGTTTTAGCTTAATTTGATTACCGAGAAACTCCTAGTGAGAACAAGCTATGGCTGATAGCAGAAATCAGTACGACTGTCTCTGTTAATTCGGTAGAGATGACTAATTAGCAGTTCGATTCGGCATAAGTTCAGTTTCATGGCCAATCATTCGTTGTAGAAACATTCTCTTCATAAAATAGGTTATAGCAGCCTCTGTTATTGTTGTATCATTAGTTCTTCAAGTTCTGGGTAATTTACTACAACTTCATCATTCTATTATACAACTGTGATTCTGGATCATACTATTTCAAATCCCCCTTGTGATCTTGGGTTTCTATGTCCAACTAAGTATACAATTGGCACAATGTTAGCTGTTAAGGTCTTGTATCGGGTTGTTTCTGATTTGTTATGGATTTCTAATTTTCTCATAGGCTGGGGTTCAAACTAGAGTTGGACAATGGTGGAATGCTATACCGTTTCTCACGTCATCGGTGGTGGTAGTCTGTGGGGTCATTTACCTGATATGCCTCTTAACTGGATATGACACTTTCTATGAAGTATGCTTCTTACCCTCGGCAATTATATCGCGGTTCCAAGGTATGTTCTCATATTATTGAGGCTTGCCTTTCATGTAGAATGGATTGTTAACTTTGCTAATTGATTTTCTTGAAACAAAATAAAATTATTCAAAGTTATTGATAAATGGTTTAGGTAATTTTAGTTTAGATGCTTGAGCTGTCCTGACTTTGTTTTCTCTTGTTCACTCCTTTCCCGTTATCTGTGCAGTTTATAGGTTTTATACTGCCATTATTTTCCATGGATCACTTCTTCATGTTCTGTTCAACATGATGGCATTGGTTCCTATGGGCTCTGAGCTGGAAAGAATCATGGGATCTGTCCGTTTGCTCTACCTGACAATTTTGCTGGCAACGACCAATGCCATATTGCATCTTCTTATAGCATCCTTGGCCGGATATAATCCCTTCTACCAATATGATCATCTCATGAATGAATGCGCCATTGGATTTTCTGGAATCTTGTTTTCTATGATTGTCATAGAGACAAGTCTTAGTGGAGTTACCTCTAGAAGGTAAGAGTTTTCAATGGCTACTTAAATAATTTAGTATACTCTGGAAGATTAAATTGTAAGTAAATATGAGCTTGTCGTTAGAATTCAGAAACATTCAAACATGTCAATGCAATACATGCATGTGAAAGCGCCTTCTGCAAATATATTTGTAAGATATGCGTGTAATGTCTTCTGAGTGTGGTCTATTTTACCAATCCTTTGTATTTATGAGGCATCTCATATATCTTAATTTGTTACTTTCTTTTTCTGTGCAGTGTGTTTGGTCTCTTCAACGTGCCAGCTAAACTGTAAGCTCATTGTCATGCTTGTTGACATCTTAATGTCCACCTGCATTTCTTGTTGCTCATATGATGTAAAAATTTGTATCCATGTGTAGGTATCCGTGGATCTTATTAATAGTATTCCAGCTTCTCATGACAAATGTTTCACTGCTTGGGCATCTATGCGGCATCCTGTCTGGATTTTCATGTATGATCTTTGACCTTTTTCATTGTCATCTGCTTTTGAAACCTGCATTTTCATGGACTGCTAATTTGTTAGTCGCTTTGGATTTCAGATTCTTATGGCCTCTTCAATTTCTTGATGCCTGGCTCTTCATTTTTTACCACCATTGAGTCAGCCTCCTGGATGGTAAGTACTTCAGAAGATCTGGCTTCTAGATGTTTCTTTTCATTTGTTAATCGAGAAGCCATCAAGAATTAAAAACTCATGCAACTTTATTTCAGCTACTGATTTCAACTTTAATTGCTACAACTTTCTAGTCTCGCTGTTAATTTGATATGAGGCTGTGAGTATTGCAATGCACATGTTTGATGTTTCTCCCTGAAAAAATCGTAACTCATCCAGATTCTATGTTCTCTTCCAGTCTAGCTTCGTAAGGCGACCCAAGTTCATTATGTGTACTGGCGGGAATCCTTCCAGCTACATTCCCACTTATTCTGCACAAAACACAACATCCAGGTGTGATTTCGTAAGAACATATGAATAACTGAACTGTGTGCCTAGAGAATATCCTAACAACATTTTTCTTTGAGCAGTGGTTTCTCTACAGGAAATGCTTGGAGATCCTTGTCCTCATGGTTGCCACAGAGGGAAGCATCAAATCAGGTACGTCCATGCTAATCTTGTCAGTTTCTTTGCCTTGGTGGATGCATTCACATCTAACCATATTACTTCACATGCAGTCTTCTGAGGACAGTAGATTTCCGGGGAGAGGTAGAACTCTTAGCACTACCCGAGATCCAACTGCTCCAGCTGGAGAAACAGACCCAAACCTCCATGCTAGACTGCTGGAAGATAGCAGCTCTCCAGACCGCCTTTCTGATGCAACTGTCAACACCATAGCAGATTCAAGGTATTTGATTTCTGCAGTGTATAATTTATCAGCTTATTACACCATTCTTTCAACCTGGCCCTCATTGCTCACTGTGTGCAGACAAGTGCCAATAGCTAATGCAGCAGTCCTGCCCCAATCCCAGGTTAGTTTTCTTCTCTTAGATATTTTGGCTAAGACCCAGACCCTAGTACGGGCTTCTAGAAGCTTTCTCCTATTGAGCTGTTAAAACACAGGGTCGTGTTACCGCTCCAGAAGAACAAATCCAGAAACTCGTTGCCATGGGCTTCGACAGGGTACGTTTCTTGATTCATACCACCCATAACAAAATAAAATAGTGAAAGAAGAATGTCTTAAAGTGTACGGGTTTGTTTCAGACACAAGTAGAAGTTGCGCTTGCTGCTGCCGACGATGACCTCACCGTAGCAGTGGAGATCCTAATGAGCCAACAGGTATAAAACTTTTCTGGACCAGAGTTCCATGTTTTAACATCTTAACTAACAAAGAGTTCCATGTTTTAACATCTTTACTAAACAAAGAAGCTATTGTGAACTTGCAGGCATAACACCAACAACTCGCGAAGTACTACTACTTTGGCGTGTATTGTAACGTTTGTTTCTCATTCCATCTGTTACTTGCATTTAGAAACTGTATAGCGTCTGTTTTCTTAAAATAAATTCCTTAACAAGACGATCAAACCGGTTCAGAATCTATACAAACGAAAAGTCGGTTTAAATTTTATATTTTACAAAATCTATTTTCAGAGTAGGTCACTTTTTTACACTGTATTAAGTTCGGATATCTTATTGTTTATTGACACACACTTTTTTCCCTCTGCTAAGTACAAACGGAATGAAATAGAAGTGATCATCACATGGTTTCCTTCATCACTTGCTCTTGAGTTCCTTCGTGCTACTAGTTGAGGTTTCTCTAGGCGGCCGCACAATTAGAATTGGGCATTTTGCATGTTGGGCACAGTAGTCACTTACACTCCCTAAAAAAGCCCTGCATATCCCAAACACCACAAATTAATGAATAGTCACAACCCGAAATCTCAATTTTTTTGTTAGACCTTGGACAAAAATGAAAGTTGCAACCTTTTGATCATGCCGAGTCCACGGCTACCAACAACAAGAAGATCAACGTGAGTTTGCTCGACCGCTTGGCATATCATCTCCTTAGGATCTCCTTCCAATATCTTAGTCTCTGTCTTCACCTACAACATAAACCAAAAACTCAAAAGAGATAAAAGACAATTCTAAAACACTAGACTATGTTTTATTTTAGGAAGTTAATACCAAGTTCGTTAAACTTTAAAAACACCACGATATATGAGTTGTGTGTAAAGATTAGGAAATGATCCTAGATGAATTAGAAACCATTCATAAACTCTTAAGAACCCTTCATAAACCTAAACTCTTATGAAACCTTTACCTTGATAAACCTAAACTGAAAGTAAACTTCCTAGACCTTAAACTTGTGGTATTTTTGAAAATTTTCCAAAATTGTAGGATAAGAATTTTGGAACTAAACATTTAAGAATATTTTTCACATATATAGCGCACCATTTTGCCTCGGCATATCTCCAATGCCCGTGTGAATAAGTTGGTCGTACTCTCTTCTCGTGCTTTCCTCATTGGTTCGGGCACAGAATCTGTCGCATACACCGCCGAAGCTAAGAATTTTCAAACTCACTCAATATAGTATATAATCATTCCCAAATATTATTATGTGCATAGAAAACAAACGAAAAGAATTGAAGAGAGAGAAAAGCGTTTTTTTCTTCACCAGTTCCACCAGAAGGGTAGATATACTGAAGGTACGTTGGGTGAACATGAACCAGCGTAAGTAAACCGCCTTCTTGACCGGTTTCCGGTTCAGCGCTAATAACAACTCTGAGATGATCCACAACCCATTCCAAAGCATCGAAGCTGTTCTTGCTTTCATCAATCGCAACCATCACTTTCAACTTCTTTTTGTTCTTATTTGTAGCCGTCTCCGTCGTTGTTGTGGCTGCCGTGTCCTCTCCAATCGCATCAACGTAAGTCTCCATTTTTTTCTCCGTAATGTTTTCTTTATTGTATGGTTATATGTTAGGCTCTAGCCACTAGACATTGATATATGTATAATAATAGATCGTATCGTTTGTTACGTGATGCTATTGAGTAGGTGGAAGATGAAGAGTGTTAACAGATGTTTGAGAGTGGATTTTGGATTGACACATCACATGTATCATGGACACGTGTCTTTCTTTTAACATAGACAACTGTTTATTTTGAATATTCAAAAACGGCTTTTGGTTTAGAATCGAGTTTGGTTCAATTACGATTTCGTTCTGCCCAGAAAAGATACCCAAAACGAACCGACTTAAATTCGGTTTGAATCAGATTAAATCAAGGTTTAGTTTGGTTTAATCTCGGGTCGATGCCTAGTGCCTAGCAACTTAGCAAGCTAGCAAGCATTACAGAGATGATGATGGCACAGAGGATGATGGAAGCAAATTGGATTTGGAAGCTAAAACATAAACACTACCATAATGGATTTAAATTTAGCCTCACTCTTGTGAATCAGAGTTGGGGTAAGTCCAACAAAGTGTTAAGTGATTGTTTCATATAAGCTCATTGCTTTGTTTCCTGAAGATTGCAAAGAGATTCTTAGGGTAGTGATTGTGCTATGTGTGTTGATTCTTTCTTATCATTTCATTTCTCAGAACTAGGATATTCTAAGCTCTATGTATCTGCTCGTGGTGTTATCCTAAGGTTTTAGGTTTATTTTCTTTATGAAGTAGAATCTCTGTATTTGTTAGAGGAAATTTTTATTCAAAGTTTGGATTTTTATTGGCCGCAATTCATTTGGTGCTCTTAATGTTTAGATCACTTGATGAGACAAAGAGTTTCCCCTAACTCTTTAGATGATCTTGTTTGCTGACTAGAGTTGTTAGGGATTCGGTGTTTTGATATCTTATTTTCTCCATTGGTTTCAAATAAGAGGTCCTCTCGCTCTTGTTGGGTACTTGTGGTTAAGTATATATTGATTCAATTTGATTTTGGATCAAACTAAAACCGACTTAATTTCGGTTTGGATTAGATTAAAATATGGTTTTGTTTATCTCGGGTCTGTGAGATATGAAAGCTTTTAATTTTACCTTCCTTATAAACCACCACAAACCCTACCACACTTCCGAATTAGGGTTTACTGGCGATAACTTGTGATCATGTCATTAGATTTGAAGATGCAAGAGAAATTTACTTGGGTTTTGGAAAACTTCTCATCTTTGCAAGATGAGTGCTACTCTCCCGTCTTCACGGTCGCCGGCTGCAATTGGTAAAGCCAGAAACGATTACAAAAACCCTTTTTTTTTTTTTTTTTTTTTTTTTCTTTCTTGTGGAATTTGATTCGACTTTGTTTTTGGTACAGGCGTCTTCTTGCTTGTCCCAGAGGAGTTAGGAAGAATGATCGTTACTTTTCCGTGTATCTTGATCTTGCGCCTGAATCTTTGCCACCAGGATGGAGAAGAGAAGTGAAATTTAGCATTACTCTTGTCAATGTTTGGCCTATTGCGAACAGAGTATTAGGTAAACTGTTTTCATATATGATCATGGCTTGGGATAGTGATTATGCTATGCGTGCTGCTTCCTTCTTTATCTTTATTTTAAGCTCTGTGAGTCATATGATCTCAGTTTTATGTCCTGTCTTTTTCTCTATGTAGTATCTTACTATTAGTTAGATCATTAGATGAAACCTAAATGGTATATCTGTTTCTTGGGAATGACAGGAGAGCCATGCTTTTTCGATGCAAAGACTAGCAATTGGGGTTTTGAAGATTTCTTGCTCCTTGAAAAACTTCGTAATAAAGGGGAAGGATTTTTGGTGAATGACAGACTCACTATCGTCGCTGAAGTACATGTTTTACCAGCTGTTGTTGTGCCATTGGAACCTGTGAAGATTATTGCATCTCTGAGTAGCAACGAAAGAAATCAAGCTGATAAATCTCAGGGGGACTCTCCTTGTCATCAAGTGGCCCAAACAACTGATGATGCTGCATCTCAAGAGAAGTTAGATGAGAATGATGATGATGATGATGACGACGCCTCTGAAGAGAGTACGGATGGTGATGATGATGACGGGTCTGAAGAGAGTTCGGATGATGAAGATGCATCCCAGGAGGATACAGATGATAATGATGATGGAGTTTGTGACATAAGTCTTTTGAACCAATTGATGAATTCCTTAGAGGATGCTTCTTATACGGAAGAAAATCATGGTATAAGTTGTAATAATGTGGTGGCTGAGACTGAGGTTTCCAATGGTCAAAGTGATGATGCACCTAAAAAAGATGATGATGATGATGAGGCTTCATCTCTTGTTTTGAATGATAGTGATGAAAACGGAAGTACTAAAGAACAAGTGAAAGTGACGAGGCTTCATCTCGTGTTGGAGGATGCCTCTCAGACATTTAAAAATGGTGGTAGGGGGCTTAACACCGTGGCATCTGTTATGGGGACTTGTGATAATGTGCTTATGGAGATTCAACAAGTACAGGAAACAGTGGATATCAATGGGTTTGAGGTTGTTTCTTCCAAGGTAAGAACGCGATTCATCTTCAATTGTTATCTGTAATATATGGTATAGAGTATGTTCTCTCTGTTTCCAAACCCCCAAAGCATGCTCTCTCTCTCTCTCTCCCTCATATATGTTTTCAATCGCAGGTGGAATCTGTGAGACGTATATTCGAAAGACACCCAGACATTGCTGTGGAGTTTCGTGGAAAGAACCAACATCTGAAGAACGCATGTATGAATTTTCTGCTCAGCTTAATCGAAACGATGTGCCAATCACTTGAGGAGCTCTCCAATGAAGATCTTGTGGAAGCAGACATTGCGCTGACATACTTGAGAGATGCAGGGTTTAAGGTGGATTGGTTGGAGAAGAAGCTGGACCAACTAAAGGAAAAGAAGGAGGAAGAGATGTCTGGTTTGGCACGGCTCCATGAGATAGAGGAAAATCTAGTGATATTGAAGCAAAAGTGGTCAGACCTGGATGCTCTTGCGGAGAAGGAGAAGGCAGAGTTGTCGGCCACCAGAGCTGCCATGTCTTTCGATGATTTTGTTTACTGACTTGAGTTCTCTTTAGGCATTTGGTGTTCTGATATCTTATTTTTTCTTTTAGTTTCAAAATAAGAGGAACTCTTGTAGGGCAATTGAACTTATGTCAGTATTTTACTGCGAGATGGTCTATCAAATTTTTAGCTAACAAATTTGTTGTCTCGTTTGAGTTTCTTGGCGAGAAACTAAATCGCTTTCCTTTGTCCAAATAAAAGGAAAGATGCTAAATCGCTTTGTGCATGAAACAGAGATCTTAGGTACTTGGGGAGTTTATTGACTAGGTTTCGAATTGAGAATCCACAATGTTTTAAATGTTTTTATAAGTTTTGAAGTATTGAACAAAGAGTGGCACTTGAAGAGTCGGAAGATGCTTATGAATCTTGAGAATAAAGTAATTTCCCTGTTTAGGAAAACAGAGAGTGGTACTTGAAGAGTCGCGGTCAAGCCCTTGATATTAATCGGTCGTACCATTTATTAATTCGTAATAAATGACTGAGTAGCAAGTAACGATGAGCCAAGTCTGCTCGTTTTTCATTTTTCCAGAAGTAACTTCAGAACAAGACAGAACCATTGTTGGTATGATTCTCAACTAAGCTTCTGATCCACTAGTTTTACTTCTTCATTGTATCAATGTTTTTGAAATCGGAGAGCTTATCAACTTCTGTTTCTAGGCTTTGAGTCCATATGTAGTGGGATTTTTGGCTTATTCTGTGTCTAGAGATTGTCTCTTACCGGTTATGAATTTGGGTGTGTGAAATTAAGTTAAAGGTTATTTATTCTCTTCAGGCATTTCGTATCTTGATTTTGAGCAATCTTTATAGAGTCAATGGAGAAGCAGGCTCATAAGAAGTTTTATTGGATAATAAAGAACTTCTCTCTGCAATCTGAGAGGTTATATTCTGTTCCAGTCTTGATCGGGGACTGCAAATGGTAAAACTAGAACCTTTCTATCATATATATTCACCAAATTAGATTAAGGTTATATCGTCTATGGTACTCATTATTCTGTCTTTTTGTTTTGTTGTAGGCGTCTTATTGCTTATCCCAAGGGAGACTTCTGTGATTACTTTTCTCTGTTTCTAGAGCTTGTTGATTTTGAATCATTGCCTTGTGGATGGGGAAGATACGCAAAACTTCGGCTAACGTTAGTGAATCGACTTTTTCCAAATCTTTCCATAGTTAAAGGTATTTTCATCACCAAACTCTGCTCACTTCTTGATTCATTTTTTTGAATTCTCCTTTGTCTTTTTCTCTAAATAAATGAAAGTTAATATATAATCATTTACACGTTATACAGTGATATTATGGTTCTATGTTGTGTAACGCTTGTTTGGATTCTAGTTTCTATGTTTGTCAAATGGGTGTTGTGTAAGTTTTGGGATTTTAGTCCAGTCTTTTATGCTCATGCAGTGTTCTTTTTGAGATTATTTAAATTATTTACATGAAATGTTGCAGAAACAGAGCAATGTTTTGATGAAAAGTGTACCACTTTGGGTTTTGCAACTATGCTTCCCATTTACAAACTTCAAGAGGAAGATCATGGATTTCTGGTGAACGGAGAAGTCAAAATTATTGCAGAGGTAGATGTTTCTGAAGCTGCTGGGACATTAAATGAATCAGAGATCTCTCAACTTCTGAGCAAGAAAAAAGGGAATGATGGCAATGAGTCTGATGATTTGATCAAGAAAACTTTGCCAGTAAAGGAAAGCAACAATATCATTAATGGGACTAAACAGGTAAGAAAATTTAGAAACTTTGTTTTACTTTGAGGGAGAGATGCCACTATTTGTTCTGAATTACTAGAGCATATTTGATTGCTAGGAATCTTTCATCACATCAGTGGAGAAGCAAGTTGGAAAGGATTTCGTGTGGATGTTAGAAAATTTTTCCTTTTTGAATTCTGAGAAATGTTATTCTGATCCATTTGTGATCCGTGGTGTCCATTGGTAAAAATGAAACTCTTCTTACAAATGTTCTTCCTCCTTGTAAAGTCTGGTGATACATTTTTACTTGCTTGGTGTTTTTCTCGGCAGGCGTCTTCTTGCTGAATGTGACCTTGTGTCTCTGTATGTGCATCTGTGCGTTGCTGATTCTCAATCATTTCCTTCTGAAGTTGTAAAATTTCGTCTAACTATAGTAAATCAACAATTTGAAAAGCTATCAATCTTGAAAGGTGATTCTATTTACAGTATTCACTTGTTGGTTCATTTTTGTTCATGAATGATTGCAAGTTCTTCTAGTTTGTTCATTTTTGTTCTAATTTGGACTGGAGTTACCGTTCCTCTAGGATGTTTTAACTCTTAAGTTTCTTGCCAAGTTGCAGAAAAGGATGTTTTAGACTCAGGAGCTTAGTTAAGATTATATTTTAGTACCTACTCATGAGTAGAAAGTGATTTTACAGATTCAGAGCACTGCTTCGATGAGCAGTATCCTACCCTGGGATATACAATCCCTTATGAACTCCTAGTGGAAGATGGTGGATTTTTGGTGAACGGAGATCTCATGGTTGTTGCTGATGTTATTGGTGCATCAGATATATTTGAAGAATCCATTCCCCAGAGAAAGTTAGATGTCAATGGATTTCATGTTCTTCCTTCACAGGTAATCAAGATTCTCCAAGACAAAATTAGTATGTATTTAGGTTTCCAAAAAATTGTATGATATGACATCCTTTCACTTGCAGGTACAATCGGTGAGGCGTATATTCGAAGTACACCCTGACATTGCAGTAGAATTCCGTGCAAAGAACCAACATCTGAGGACAACATTTATGAATTTCCTGCTCAGCTTAATCGAGACACTGTACCAGCCACTTGAGTGGCTTTCCAATGAAGATCTGGTGGAAGCAGACATTGCAGTGACATACTTGGAAGATGTGGGATTTATGGTGGATTGGTTGGAGAAGAAACTGAACCAATTAAGGAAAAAAAAGAGAGAGAACAGTCTTGTGAGGCCAGAGTGCAAGAAATAGAGGCACAGCTTCATGACTTGAAGCACAAGTTTGAGACTGAGAAAACAGAGTTGTTGGCCACTAGAGCTCCTATGTCTTTCCGTGATATTGTCTGATCACTTTAGTTCTTGGGCATCCATGGTGCTCTGATTTGTTCATTTCTGTCTTGGTTTAATAATAAGAGTCTTCTTGGTGCTCTGATGTATTTCTGATCTTCGTATGTATGTTTTATCACTTTTTTTCTTCTGAAAATTGTATTTTGCGTCTATTCAAGCTTTCAGTTATATTTTGTGGACTACATTTATGAATTTCCTGAATAGTTTAATGAAGACGCTGTACCAGCCACTTGAGGAGCTCTCCAATGAAGATCTGGCAGAAGCAGACATTGCGGTAACAAACTTGAAAGATGTGGGATTTAAGGTGGATTGCCTAGAGAAGAAGCTGAACCAAGTAAAAGAAAGAGAAAGAGAAAGAGCGGTCTTGCGAGGGCCGTGTGCAAGAAATGGAGGCATAGCTTAATGATTTGAAGCACAAGTTTGAGACAGAGAAGGCAGGGTTGTCAGCCACCAGAACTCCTCTCTCCTTCGATGATGTTGTTTGATCACTTAAATTCATAGGCATTCTAGTTTTAAGATAAGAGTTTTTATTGTAAGATAATGATCTCTTATGTATTTCCGAAATTGTCACTTTTTGTGAAAAAAAAAAGTTTTTCGCAGCTGATTATCTAAGTTTCAGCTACCAAATTTGTTAGATCTTTTGGGGGAGTTCCTCACATGGATATGAGTCTTGATGACAAAGTAACCTCTCTAGGTCTGAAACAGTGACTTGAACTGAAGTCATTGCTTTGACGTAGACTCCTTTAACATAAATTGGCATTTTCCAACATTTTAATTGGTAGTTTTGGCTTATTATCAAGTCACGATAAGTATAGCCGTTTTTTTCTCTGTTTTTAAAGCATCTCTATTGGTTTGACTCTCAATTAATCGTTGCTCCTCTGGTTTATCTTCTTCAAGTACTGCGCTTACCTAGACTCCTTTAATACTCATCTGTCTAACAATATACTTAGTAGTTATGGCAGAGTATCAAGTCACGAGGGACCAAAGACTGTTTTCATTCACGCACATCATTCGAGAGCCATGCATATTTTCGTAATATATGTATGCGTTGCAGGTAGAGTTCTCTCAAAAGGCAGAACTCCCTCACCGACTTTGTAAGGTCAGCATAGCTTCTTCTTTTTTGCCTCGTTGCTTATTGCAACACTGAATGTTTATCTTCTTGCTGCACCTGCAATATTTCTATCATACTAGTGTCACAGAGTAATTCAACTTCTGTACTTCCTGATTCCATTTAGAGTAGTGCTGCATTGTTGGAGTACAGAGTTTGTGCCTCTCTCTCTCTCTTATATACTTGATATAAAATAATTACTAAACCCTAAGTCTTGTTACTTGTGCAATACTCATAAGATACAAGAGAATATATGTATAGGATATCTCTATATATAATTAGATATCCTAATACGTAGTAGATTCTAATTCAATTCTGAATTTGATTGGCATATGACTTCGGATATGTGTGTGTGTGATAATCAGTCAAATAGACTTTTTTTCTTCAGGTCTTGTAGTTTGATTTGGAGTAAGCTTTTTGTATATTGATCGATGGCAAAGCAAGGTTGTAAGAGGTTCGCTTGGGTGATAAAGGACTTCTACTCTTTGCAATGTGAGAAGTGTTACTCTGTTCCATTCCATATTGGTGACTGCAAATGGTAAGCTATTTTCAAGCCTTTTGTTTAGATATAGGATCTATCATCCATGGTTATTGGTGACTTGTTTTCTTTTGTTTTTTTCAGGCGTCTTTGTGCTTATCCCAAGGGAAGAAACGTTAATTACTTGTCTCTGTTTCTGGATGTTGTTGATTCTGAATCATTGCCTTCTGGATGGAGCAGATACGTCAAAATTCGTCTAACCGTGGTAAAACAGGTTTCGGAAGAGCACTCAGTAATAAAAGGTGATTCTTAACTTGAGTCTGCTAGCTATTAATGACCCTTGTCAGATTATGTGGTGTAACCATTTTAGATAGAAAAAAAAAAAAAAAAAAAAACCATTTTAGATAGATGCATCCTTACATACATTTTTTAAAATCTGAAAGAGGTTTTGTTATGAAGCTAGTGAAAATTTATGATGTTTTGTAAAAAAAAATTGTGTTGAATTCTATAATGGTATTTCAGTGATGTGAGAGATTTAGTTCAGTAATTATTTTGCCAAGTAATGAACACTAATGTTAAGTAGTACTTTGTTCGATCTTGAATTGCTAGAAACGCATCGCTGGTTTGATGCGAAGCATTTAGGCTGGGGTTTTCCAGCTATGCTTGACCTCACCAAACTTCATGACGAGAAGGATAGGTTTCTCGTAAATGGAGAACTCGTGATTGTTGCAGATGTTCAAGTTCTTGAAGTTGTTGGCACTTTAGATGAATCTGTAAGCAAGATGAAGCTAGATGATGAAGAGGCATCTGAACCTGTAAGCAAGATGAAGCTAGATGATGGTGCGAAGTCTACTGATTTGCTCAACCAGACTCAACAAGTGAAAGAAAGCATTGATGTCAATGGGTTTCAAGTTCTTCCTTCACAGGTAAGAATGGTGGAAACTTCTTGTTACTTCACAAGAGGCGAGATCATATATTTTTTCTGTTCCCAGATCTCCAAAGATTGCTCTTCGAATGCTTTATACTTCCTTTGTTTTTCACTCTCAGGTGGAATCCGTGAGACGTATTTTTGAAAAACACCCAGACATTGCAATAGATTTCCAAGTAAAGAACCAACATCTGAGGAAAACATTCATGAATTTCCTGGTTAACGTAATCGAGACACTGTGCCAATCTCTTCAGGAGCTCTCCAAAGAAGATCTTTTGGAAGCAGACATTGCACTGACATACGTGAAAGATGCAGGATTTAAGGTGGATTGGTTGGAGAACAAGCTGGAGGAAGTAAAAGAAAAGAAGGGGAAAGAATTGTCCGGTTTGCTCCAGCTCCAAGAAATGGAGGATAATTTACTGAAACTGAAGCAACAATGTTCAGACCTGGATGCTCTAGTGGAGAAGAAGAAGGCAGAGTTGTCGGTTACCAGAAGTCCGCTCTCATTCGATGATGTTGTTTGATCATTTCAGTTTTTATGCTATTGGTGTTCGGATATCTTAATTCTCCTTTGTTTTTAAAAATAAGTTTACTGAACTTGTGAGTTTGTTACAGCTTTGGTCTATTGAAATTTCGGCTACCAAATATGTCGTATCACTCAATTTAAGTGCCTTGGAACATTGATCTTGGACGGTTCGTAGGCTCTTGGAGTTCATTAACTATTGGACAAAATGTTAGTTAATACGCAGTGGAGGGAGAGACTGTTTTTGAATATTCAAAAGTTAAAAGGCTTTTTGGTTTAGCATTGAGCTTGGTTCAAATACTGGTTTAGAATCGAGTTTATTGTGGATTCTGAATACAGTCTATCGTGGCACTTGGTTCAGTTAGTTTGATTCAGATTTTAGATTTGGACGATTTAGTTCAAAATATAAAAGAAAAAAAACACTGATTAGCAAACGTTAACCGGCTTTATTTCAACAATTCGGTAAAGTTTGGTTTAATGAAATTAGAATACGTTTTTTTTTGGTTTGATTTATTATGACAGTGGCAGTGTTCGTGACTTCGTGGGGTTTACGAATCAGTTTAGGGTTTTTGTTTTCGTGCTCTGGCGATAACTTTTCTTCATCGATCTAATGGGTGAGCAAATGGAGAATAAATTCACATGGATTTTGGAAAAGTTCTCTTCTTTGGAAGACAAGAGATGCTACTCTTGCCTCTTCACCGTCGACGGCTACAATTGGTAAGGGAGAAACGATTCCAAACATTTCCGTCCAATTCTCTGTTTTGTGGAAAATGAATTTAGATGGATTTTGTTTTGTAAAGGCGCCTTTTTGCTCATCGGAAGGGAGATAGGAGTGATGGTTACTTGTCCTTGTATCTGGAACTTGCGGATCCTGCATCTTTGCCATCAGGATGGAAAACACAAGTGAAAATTAGCCTCACTCTTGTCAATTTGGGTTGGGGAAAATCCAACAAAGTTTTAGGTAACTGTTTTCATTTATACTACGCTCCTTACTTGGTGTCTTTTGATTTCTCAGAGCTAGGAAAAGATTTGAGCTTTTGGCCATTATCACTTGTCATATGATATTTGAGGCATATACTAGTAGAATCTCTTTGTATCTGTTGTCTACATTTCGTGCAAAGTTTAAATATTATTGTTCACTCATTGAAATTCGTTTAGTGCTTTTTATGATTAGATCACTTGATGCAACAAAATTTTCTTGTTTTCTGTTTTGTCTCAGGAGGGCAATGTTGTTTCGATGCAAAGAATAAGGCCTGTGGTTATAGCGAGTTTGTGTCACTTACCAAACTTCATGAGAAGGGTGAAGGATTTCTGGTGAATAACAGACTCATTATCCTCGCTGAAGTACACGTTCTTCCAGCTATTGTTGTACCAGCGGAACCTGTGAAGACTACTGATCCTCTGAGCAGCAAAGGAGGAACTAAAGCTTCTGATGCATCTGTCAGTAAATCTCAGGGGGACTCTTCTTGTCAAGTAGCGCAAATAACTGAGAATGCGTCTAAAGAGAATTTAGATGAAGAAGACGCATCTGAAGAGGGTTCGGATGATGATGAAACGTCTGAAGAGGGTTCAGATGATGATGATGATGATGCATCCGAAGAGGATCCGAATGATGAGGGTTCGGATGATGAATCTCAAATAGTAGGAAATCGTGGTACAAGGTGTAACAGTTTGGCAGCTGAGACTGAGTTTTCCAACAGTCAAAATAATGATGCACCTAAAGAAGATGTGGATGATGAGGCTTCATCTCATGTTTCGAATGATAGTACTAGAAATGGAAGTTCTCTAGACCAAGAGAAGTCCTTGGAGGATGCCTCTCAGACAGCAGAAAATGGTGCTAGGAGGCTTAACACTGTGGCATCTGTTACTGGAACGTCTGAAAATGTACTTATGGAGACTCAAACAGGAAAGGAAACAATGGATGTCAATGGGTTTAACGTTTTTCCTTCCCAGGTAAGAACAGGATTAGTCTTCTAGTGCCAGCCACCAGAGATTCTCTCCGAGAATGATCTGAGCAATGCAGAAGACACACTAGTTGATCTGACTGATGCCGGGTTTAAGTTGGAATGGCTGAAGACAAAGCTGAATGAGATCTCTAAAAAGAAGAAGATGGAGCAGGGTAGTAGGGCCTGGCTACAAACAATGGAGGAAGCGTTGCAGAAGCTGAAACAGATGTTCTTGGATCTTGAATCTCAGCTGCAGAAGGAAAAGGTGGAAGCTTTGGCTGCGAGAGCTCCTCTCTCGTTCAAAGATGTTGTTTGCTGATTTGCAATGATTCTTGTAGCCGTATAATTGGTCAATCCCTGTCTTTTGATGTCTCGTAGCTTTTTGTTTTTTCTTTTTTCGACGGGACAGAGTAGTGAGATTAACATGGCATTTGATGATGTTGTTTGATGACTTGAGTTACAAGGCATTTGGTGTTTTGATATCTTAGTTTTTCACTTTCTGTGGTAAAGTAAATTGCGGTGATAAATTATCGAAGTTTTTTGGCTAATTGTTTTATCACTGAGTTTCTTGACCACAAACTAATTCGCTTTAACAGAAATCTTGGAGAGTTGTTAGGCACTTGGAGTTCGTTGACTAGTTTTCGAAATGAGAATCCAAATATATAGAGAATTTTGTCATATTTTTTGAAATATTGAACAGAAAATGGAAGTTGGAGAGAGAGTCACATGCTTATGAATCTTGATGATAAAGTAAATCTCTTTCTTCTTTTTGTTGGGTTCTAAGATAAAGTTCTCTCTGTGTGTAAGAAAACAGAGAGAGGCACTTGAAGAGTCGTGGTTAAGCCAGCTGGCTCTAGCGACTCCTTTAACTTAATAATAATACTCATCGGACTTATCATTTGTTATTTTCTAAATTGTAATGATAACAAAGTATATCAAGTCACGATGAGCCCAAGACTCTTCATTTATTTATATATATATGAAAGAAAGAAACTTACAAACGAGACAGAACTCCTTCAGTGTCACTGGCTTTAGTAAGTATTGCTGCTTTATCTTTGCATCTGTAAAATATGCTACTGACTGAGGCTTTGAGTCATTAGTGGAATTAATCTTAGATTTTTTGATATTGTTGCTAGAGATTGTGTTATTGGCATAAGTTTATGAATGTGGATGAGTGATCAGTTTAAGGTGTTTTATTCTCTCAGGTTCTTGTATCTTGATTTTGAGTAATCTTTATAACATCAATGGCTAAACCTTTTGATAAGAAGTTTGGTTGGGTGATAAAGGATTTCTCTTTATTGCAATCTGAGAAGTGTTATTCTGTTCCAGTCTTGATCAGCGACTCCAAGTGGTAAAAGAAAATGGACCTTTTAGTCTACTTTGATTTTCAAGTGATATCGTCTATGGTTTGTGATTCTGCTCTTTGGAGTTTTCTTGCAGGCGTCTTATTGCCTTTCCCAAAGGAAATAACAGTGATTACTTGTCTCTCTATCTGGAAGTGTATGAAGCTGAATCATTGCCTTGTGGATGGAGAAGGCTTGTAAACCTCCGCTTGAGTATAGTAAATCAACTTTCGCAAAAGCTCTCCATATTGGAAGGTTGTTTTTATCAATCTCTGCTCACTCTGTTGACTACATATAGTTGAATAGTCCTAGTTCTGTGTCAGTAGCATTTGCTTACATTAAACATTTTGACTGTCCCAATTATATGTAATCTATAAATCCTCCTACTTCCACTACCTTAGACAAAGGAAATTTTTATGAATCTTGTACTCTTGAGCTTGTCTGGACTGAAATTAGATGGTGGTCAAGTGTGTGTTGTCTTGTTTTTGGTATGCTTTTAGGACAGGTCTTGAAATTTTCTTGATGGATCTTCACAGTGTTGTATATGAAATGTGCAGAAACAAAGCACTCTTTTGATGCCAAGTCTACCACATGGGGTTTTCCAGCAATGCTTTCACTTTCCAAACTTCATGACAAAGATGGTGGATTCCTAGTGAACGGAGAAGTTATGATTGTTGCAGAGTTGGATGTTTTCGAAATTATTGGCACATTAGATGCATCAGAGAAATCTGAACTTATGAGCAAGAACAAGGAGAATGTTGGTGCTGAGTCTAATGATATGCTCAAGAAAACTTCACAACTACAGGAAAGCAACAGTGTCAATGGGACTAAACAGGTAAGAAAACTAAGAATTTGTTCTAGATTGTATTTGTGGTCTGTTTTTAAGTCTCCAAAGACTGATGTTTCCACCTGCAGGTACAAGATTCTGTGAAATCCAGTCCAACGAACAAACGTCTGTGGATAGCATTTCTGGTTATCTTCTTCTTACTAATGGTGGCTATCGTTGCGAGTGAGGCGGAGCATAAGGAACTCTTGGCTGCAAAAATGAAAATTTCTATCTTAGAGGAAAGGTTGCAGAAGCCGTTCTACAAAGCTCTTTGATTATTATTAGCCCTTTTGGTATATTTCCTTTTAATTTGCTCAGTCTTGTACTCTTGTTTGAAGTTTTCTTGTAAGGTGTGAAACCAACTCATGGTTTAATTTGGTTGAGACCGGTTTGCCTTTATTTTGTCAGGGTCGGATTACGGTTCTTTGACTTGTTTTGAAAGTTTCCAAAATTCTTTTTTCCTTATAACCCTAAACACTACGACTGATCTATTCTAGGGTTTAGTTATTTTCTCGTGGTCTCATTAGTTTGATTTTGAATCCTCTTATAATGTGCGAGCCCAACGAGAAGCGATTTCTATGGGTTTTGAAAAAATTCTCGACTTTGAAAGACGAGTGTTACCTCTCTCGTCCCTTCGTGTTTGTCGGCTGGAACTGGTAATTGAAAGAAACGATTATCAAAGATTTATAACCAATTTCGTCCATTCTATTTTGGATTTTGGGAATTGATCTTTTGGTGTGGTTTGTTTTGGTATGGTTCTTTTGCAGGCGTATTACTGCTTTTCCCAACAAGAAGGGACACTTGTCTCTGTATATAGGTCTCGTAAATCCTGAATCTTTGTCATCAATTTGGACAAGAAAAGTGAAGTTCCGTCTCACTGTAGTGAATAAGATTTCGAAAGATGATACCAAAGTATTAGGTGAGTCTCTTCATATAGGGCCTCATCATTCTCTTATGCCTCTCTGTTTGTTTTCTTACAATTCTTTTATGGTTAAGATCACTCGATGAGACAACATTTTAATATCTCTTATTTCTGATGGACATGACAGATGGGCAAAAAATTTTCACTGCACGTAACTACAGATGGGGTTTTAGCAAGTTCTTGCGCTGTCATAAACTTAGAGATGATGGATTTTTGGTGGGTGACAAACTCATTATTGTTGCTGATGTACATGCTTTACCAACATTTACCCCAGAGGATTTTGAGAAGTTTTTGGAATCTCTGAGACTCATGAGAGTCTCTTTTAACAGATCTAAGAGAGACTCTTCCTGTCAAGTGGTGCAAAAAACTGAGAATGCTGCATCTCAAGAGGTTTTGGATGATGATGACGCATCTGAAGATGGTGATGATGATGATGGTGCATCTGAAGATGATGATGATATCTCATCCGAAGAGGATTCAGATGATGATGGCTCATCTGAAGAGGGTTCAGATGATGATGATGATGATGCATCATCTACAATTTCTGATGATGGAGGTAGGGGAAAAAGTCCCTTGAACCAATTAAATGATTTGAAGGGCGAATCTCTTACAGTAGGAAATCTTGGTATGAGGTGTAACAATGTGGCATCTAAGACTGAGGTTTCCAATGTGGATAATGATGATGCACCTCAAGGGGCTTCCCATGATGATGCATTTGAAGATGATGATCAGGGTGATGATGATGATGTTTCATCTCTTCTTTCGAGTGTTAATGATAAAGATGTAAGTTCTATAAACAAACTGAAGTCCATGGAGGATGCTTCGAAGACAGTAGAAAATGGTGATACAGGGTGTACCAATGTGGCATCTGTTACGGAGGCTTCTAATGATCTGCTCAAGGAGATTCAACCAGTAAAGGAAACCATGGACGTTAATGGTTTTCACGTTTTTCCTTCACATGTAAGAATGAATCCATCTTCTCTTCTTTTTAGTCTGAAACTGGGAACCTCTATTTCTGATGTAGTTCAGGTTTTAGTCTCACAATCTTATTCCAATATAGTTTACCTTGTTTTCACTTGCAGGTAGAATCGGTGAGCCATATCTTTAAAAGACACCCGGACATAGCATTAGGCTTCCGTCCTAAGAACCAACAGATCAGAAAAGCTTACATGAATGAACTCCTTAGCGTCATCGATATGCTGTGCCAGCCACCGGAAAAGCTCTCCGAGAATGATCTGAGGAATGCTGATGAGACACTTGTTGATCTGATTGATGCCGGTTTTAAGTTGGATTGGCTAAAGACAAAGCTGGATGATATCTCTGAAAAGAAGAAGATAGAGCAGGGTAGTGGTGCCCGGCTACAAACAATGGAGGAAGAGTTGCAGAAGCTGAAACAGATGTTCTTGGATCTTGAAACTCAGCTGCAAATGGAAAAGGCAAAGGCTTCGGCCGCGAGAGCTCCTCTCTCGTTCAACGATGTTGTTTGCTGATTTGCTAGGAGTACTTAGATAAATCATTGTCTTTTGATGACTCATAACAAGTCTTTTGTAAGTCGGAGGTAGTTACATACTTACATTAACCTGAGAGGTATTTTTTAAAAATCATTTGAATTATATCTGGAGACTGAATTTATGTTCTGCGGGCTTAAAATGCCTTTCAGTCACCAGAGTTCGAGATGGAGAAGGCAGTGTTTTCGGCCACCAGAGTTCCTCTCCTTCGATAATATTGTTTGATCACCTGAAATTCTTTGGCGTTCTTGATGTTCTGATTTCTTCATCTCTGTTTTAGTTTTGAATTTTAAGAGATATAGTTTTCTTGTAAGATAGATAAATTTTAACTTTTATGCATGTTAGAAGTTGTCATTTTTTTTGTTTGTGAAATAGGTATTTTGCGGCCGATGATTAATTAAAACTTGAGCAACCAAATTTTCTTTGTATCTGAAACAAATCTTCTTTTGGAGAGTTCTCAAATGGATATGAATCTTGACAATAAAGAGAGTGGCACTTGAAGGGTCCGTGCCTAAACAGCTGCCTTGAGGGAGACTCCTTCAATGCACATTGGTAAATCCATTATTTAATACGTAATTATGGCAGAGTATCAAGTTACGATGAGCAAAGGCTGTTTACATTCGCACACCTTCTTTCCATTAATCTTTTTTTTTTTGGTATCAACCATTAATCTTCATATATATATATATATATATATCTCTTGCCTTTAGAAGAAACTCACGAATTAGCTAGATAGAACTCCCTAGCTGGCTTGGTATGTATAGTCTCTTTTTTTCCCGTTTCTTTTTGCATCTTTGTTCGTTTGATTTTAACAGTGTTCCTTTAGTCTTTGATCTCGGGGACCTTATCAGATTTCTGAGCATGGTAACTAGATATATATATATATATATATATACTATTTGGTAATTTAAAACCAAGTACTGATTTCTGGTTTCTTTTCTGTACATTCTGCAGTTTGAACGGGAGAGGTTCCTATTTTTTCGATGGGGAACAGCGTTGTGAGGATGATGGTCATGGAAATAAACAAGATTTATGATCGTTATGCGGATAAAGAGGGTTTGGTGCAGCATGATGACGTTTATTCAGAGGACTGCAGTGATTACTACGAATATGATAATGATTGGGATCATCATGATTATTCTTATGCAGATAACGACATGAGTGATTGTTATGCGTATGAAGAGGAGTCGGAGAAAGAGTTTGATTATGGAGATGATTCTCCTTTTGAGGGTATCTCTGCATCGTTAGTATATGGCTAGAGTTGAGAGAACAACAACTTAAAGCTCATATTTAGTTTAAAGTGCTGATGTTCTGATGTATTTGAGTTTATGTCGTACTTGTTATAATAATCGTTGCATTAAGACTTAATTTTGTTACTTTCCGAGTTTAGTCTAAATTTCCCTTCCGTTTATGAAAATCTTTTAATTTGGTGTAAGTGTTGCAGTCTTTTATTTCTTGTACTTTGTTGGTTCTCTCCGGTGTGGTAATTAGTAAAAACCTTGTTTTATGGTTGGCATTTATGAAGTTTAATTTAATGCCACCATTTTCCTAAATCTCTCCTAAATTTAATTTGCAATCTGTTATTCCTAATTTATTTATATTTTCTTAACTTGTTATTTGATCATATTAAATTTATAGAGGTTTTAGTGAATCATTTTAAATTAGTTTAGATACGTTAATTTTTTTTTCATAATTATCAATATCATGTACATATGGTTTCCATAAATCATACTTTTTCTTTTTTAACATCTCAAAATCATACTTTTCTATATTTCTTTTCCATTTTTTTAGGGATTAAACAGGATACTTCTGGCTGAAACTCATAATTTCTCTTGGCAAGGACGAGAGGAAATTTAAATACTAAGTCCCTTCCCAACTACCCTCAAACCTAGAGGACAAGATTTCCCAATTTTTGCTGATCTTTGTATGTGATTATTCTTATTTTATACGTAATCTAAAATAATTTGCTATGCAGATGCAAAATTTATAGACTGCTTGTATTATAGAAACCCTTTTTCGATTGGTCAATTCTGTTTTTGTTAGTGAAAAATACAAATAGAAAAGGTTAATTAAGGAGAAGAAGTAAGAATCGAGCAAAAGAGTTAGCCCTAGGACCGAGAAGCAAAAGCGACTCGCATCCCTCGTGTAAAGGCTTTAGTGTAGTTCGAACTTATAAAGGCTTTGATCACATATTGGAATCTTAATTTCTATTTGTTTTTGCGGCTCTAGATTATTGTTTGATTCTCCAACTAAAAAAAAATAGGGTGTCGGGTTTTAGGGTTTATCTGATCTCCATGTTCTTGCTAGTTTGATTGCAGAGGAAGCTTCATCAAGTATCAATGGGGAAGAAATTTAACAAGAAGATCACTTGGACGATTAAAGATTTCTCCTCTTTACCAGCTGACATTATTTACTCTGATCCTTTTGTCGTCGATGGCTGCAATTGGTAAGAAGATTTAGGTTTAACTGTTTAAGGGGATATTCTTCTCTATTTTGCTGATTCTTTTATATTATTTGTGTTTCATGCAGGTGTCTAACTGCTTATCCTAAGGGATATAACTTTATTGGTTACTTGTCTCTGTATCTGGAAGTCGCTGATAATGGAGCATTGCCTTTTGGATGGAGAAGACGTGCACGATATACCCTAACTATAGTAAATCAAAACTCGGAAAAAAACTTCCAACCAACTGGTGATTATTTCTCCCCACTGTGCTTTGCAAGAGCGTTTGTCTCCATATTTTATTTTAATGACAGTATTATAAACACAAGATTACCAGTTGGACTGTTACGTTAACGCCACATGAGCATAGTTCATATAGTGTGATTTATTAGATGTAAATGAACTGATTATTATGTTTTGTGATTTTGTAGAAGCAAAAGAGTGGTTTGACGACTCGACCCGATGGGGTTGTCCATCCATAATTCCCCTAAATGAAATTAATGCCAAAGATAGTGGATTTCTCATAAACGGGGAACTCAAAATTGTTGCCGAGATAGATATCCTTGAAGTTATTGGAGACGTAGATGTATCAGAAGGTATTTCAGTAGTGAAAGAAACCATAGATGTTAATGGCTTTCAACTTCTTCCTTCCCAGGTAAAAAAGAATTGATGTTAATGGTTCTTTTGGGATGTCTACCAAAACTGTCTCTGAATACGGAATCGAATTTATTCTTGTGTTTTCATTTGGCAGGCAACATCTGTTAGTCATATGTTTGAAAGACACCCAGCGATTGCATCTGAATTCCGCCCTAAGAATCCAAGTCTTAGGACTGGGTACATGAGTTTGCTACTCAGTCTGATTGAGACCTTATCCCAGTCACCTCAAGAACTTTCCAAGGATGACTTGTGTGACGTATATATTACACTTGGATATATGACAAATGCAGGGTTTAAGTTGGATTGGTTGGAGAAGAAACTTTTTGAGGTGGCACAAAAGAAGGAGGATGATGAAGCTGGTGAGACTCGGCTACGAGAACTGGAGGAAGAGTTGAAGGACATGAAGCTTAAGTGTTCAAAAATGGAAGCTCTAGTGGAGGAAGAGAAAGCTAAGGTGTCGGCTGCAAAAGCTCCTCTCTCATTCGATGATGTTGTTTAATGTTCTTGTGTTTTTCGGACACTTGGAGGTTGGTTCTGCTTAGTGTGCTGGTCTGGTCGTTAATAGCATTTGGTTTCGTAATGAATGTCCTCTTATAACTTAGGGAAGATAAAAGAGACTCATGTCTTGGAAATTTTCCGCAATGTTGTCAAGAGGATTTAGGTTTCTTCTTGCTGTGTCTTTGCTTCTAAGTGATGACTCTTCTTTAAACTTTGGAAAATGAATTATCGTAAGTCTTATTTCCTCATGTAGTATTTTGTAATGGAGTGAGTCCATTGGTTTCTTAAACTAAGTTACTTGATGAAAAAGTATTTGCTCTGTATCTGAACAGAGTGTGGTAAATAGGACAGATCCACATTTTCACATCTGTATAAGTTTTAGTTACTGGATTTGTAATAAGAGTATGACTTAAAAAAAACTGTTTCAAGATTATATAAAAAGCGTCAGTTTAAATCTTCATCGACTTAAACAAGTATTTATATACTTCCTAATACTTTAAAAATCTGTATCCTTTACTAAAAAAATAAAAAAAAATCTTCGTAGAAATCAACATTATGAGAAAAAGAAATTAGCAAAACCCCTTTTGAAAACGTTAGGCATATCCCTGTTTCTCTTTTCTTTTTTTTTTGGTTTAGGGTTAATCAGTGTGGCGGAGGCAACGTTAAGGAAGGGGGTCAGTTGACGCTTTGTTTGTGAACTATTCAATCAAGTAATTTGTTTTTTGAATTGGGTTCGTAGCTCTGACACACTTGGTAAGAGTTCTGACTTCTGAGTCGCTCTCTCTCTCTCTCTCTCTCTTTTGACTCGCCTCTCAAGGGTAATCGCTTGGTTCCCTTAATCTTGGATGTCTTAGAATATTTCTTTTCCTCAAGTACAATTAACTAGTTTAAACTACTGGCTGGAACTTCATATGGCTTTGAGTTCATAGTAAAATCTTTGTTAAAATAGAGAGTGTGTTTGATTTGTAGGTATATGAATTTGGTTTAATTCTCTTCATGTTCTGGTAGTTTCACCGCGAGTAATGGAGAAGGAAGTTGACAAGAAATTTGTCTGGGTGATAAATAATCTCAGCGTTTTTAGTCCAAAGCAGAGTCATTCTGATCCATTTCTGATTGCTGGCAGTCGATGGTATAAACTGGACCAACTTTTGTTCTAAAAGTACTTTTCATTTATTTATGTTGTGGTGATTTGATGATTTTTTTTTTTTTCTATGTAGGCGTCTTCTTGCCCTACGCAAGGGAACTACTTTTGAGTTCTTCTATCAGTACATGGGGGTTGCTGATTCTTGCCAATCACTGACTTCTACATGGAGAAGACATGTAAAACTTCGTTTAACTATAGTAAATGGAATTTCTCATAAACGCTCCATTGTGACAGGTGATTCGTCTATTTATACATTTTGCAAAGCTTGTATGTTCTATAGGAATGTTTGATTTAGATTAGTTTTAATGTGATATTGATGTTTTAATACTTGTCGTGATGCTACAGATTCAGACCTCTACTTTGATGAGAATCTTCCCGCTTGTAGTTATCCAACAGTACCACCCCCTTTTAACCTTCTTGCAAGAGATGCCGGGTTTCTGGTTTGCCGAGAAATAACAATTGTTATTGAGGTTGTTGCTCTTGAAGTTATTGACACATCAGATAATGATGGTGTCAAGTCTAATGATGTCAATGGGTTTCAAGTTCTTCCTTCACAGGTAAGAATGTGCTCAACTAGCTAGAGTATACTTCTTAGGGAAGAGTTTGTGGTTTACTGTTTTGCAATAATCTCTGATGTACAAGTCCTTTAGTTTCTGGATTTAAGTGGCAGAGTACTAAACTAGTATGTTTCTCTGTATAGTATGATATCTTATTTTCTTCTTTCACAGGTAGAATCTGTGAAGCGTATATTTGAAATATACCCAAACATTGCAACAGAAGTCCGTTCAATGAACCCATGTCTGAAGAAAACATACATGAATTTACTCCTCGGAATAATTGAGACGCTGTGCCAATTGCCTGGGGAGCTCTCTGATAGTGATCTGGATGAAGCATCCGTTGCAGTTTCATACGTGGCACAAGGTGGCTTTAAAGTGGATTGGTTGGAGAAGAAGGTCAAGGAAGTAAAGGAAAAGAAGAAGAAAGTGGATACTGGTAAGGCTCGGCTGCAACAAATGGAGCAAGATTTTCAGGAACTCAATCAGAAACGCTTAGACCTGAAAGATCTTCTAGACAAGGAGAAAGCAAATGACTTGGCCGCTAATGTTCCTCTCTCGTTCAGTGATGTTCTTAAGAAGTTTTAGACTAGGTTTGAAAAACTGCCCTCTGATAAGGCAGAGATTTTGTCTGCCCAAAGATCATCTATATATGATGATGTCTTGAGTTCTTTCTTAGGCATTTTGTGCTAAAGCATTGTGAGCTTGAAGTTTTTTTTTTCTTACTCTAACTTTAAATTTAGGAAAGTTTAAGATGTCTATTATAGATCAAGAAATCAATAAATCAAAGCAGAACATAGAAGAAGTAATCCCTTGAATATAGGAGCTAACTAAACTGTATCAAGTAACTAACCTTGATCATATCCAAACTAATATATACAAATCTTATCCCGAATTGTAAATGTGTTTAAATTATACAATCTAAATTGTGCATAATTAAGGAAAATTTGGAAACTGAGTGACAAGAGAAACAGAGTATCCCTGGTAAATCACCATGATTGGGGAAACTATTGATTATTTATAATATTGCATTAACTTATATACACCAATAGTTACACTAGTTTTCAATTCATGTTTGGTAAGCCATATAAAAGTGATTCACTTTCCTACTCGAAATGGATTTGCATTCATGTCTCTCCCTCTTTCTCTCCAAGATGTTTTGAAGTAGTACTGCATTGTAAGAGTTCAGAGTCTGAACCGTTTTTTCCCTTAGTCT